TTATCGACCGGTCGAAAAACCAAAAATTTATTTTTTTGTAAAATATATGTATTTAAAACGTTTTAAAATGATGTTTTGTGAGCCTAAAAACTATTGCAAATAAAGATTTCGGCAAAAAATTATCGACCGGTCGAAAACCAAAAATATTTTTTTTTAGTTTATTGGCTTAATTTTAAGCGTAGGCTTGAATTAAATATTGGTTTTGTTTTAAATTTGATTTTTTTTATCTTTTTATCTACTTTTTTATTTTTTTGCACAGTGCAACAAGATTTTAGATTGCACCGTGCAAGATTTTTCAAACGATCTTATTTTACGTTTTTTTTTAAATTTTGGTAAACATTGTTCTAGTACTACAAACATGCTACGTAATACTTTTATAGATCAATAATTTTATCATTTAGTTAATTCAAAAATTTTTTATAACATTTCAAAATTTTTTGCACTGTGCAGCCCTCTAAACTCACTGCACCGTGCAATTTTCCCTCTAATTTTAAACTTTTTCAAAACTTTCTCTATATACCGTAAGCTCAGCATTCGAAAAACATGCTGAAGTTTAAAAATAAAATGTAAAGACTGGAATTAATATTTTTGTTATGACCTCGACACTCCTGACATCTCTTTTCATGCTTGAACAGCTTTTCCGCTCCAGATTCTGAACGCATATTATTAAAGGCGCCGTTCAAACCGCATGTTTATATGACTTTTGGAGAGGTTTGAGGCTTGTTTTTGTTTGCTGGATATTATTTTTGGATAAAATTTTAGGTTTTGGAAAAAAAATTTTTGAGTTTTTGACTGGTCGATAATTTTTAAGCTAAAATTTTGGTTTTTAACAGCTTTTAGGCTTATAAAACGTCATTTTAATGCTATTTTAAACACATTTTTTAAAAAAAATTTGTTTTGTTTTTCGACCCGTCGATAATCTTTCCTTAGCCCTAGCCTTAGCCAAAGCCATATTATAGCTCTAACCTTTCTCTAGCTCTAGGTTTAGGTAACAAAAACCAATTTTAAAAACCAATTTTTGTTGACCTTTTACTTGCAACAGCTTTTAGCCTGATCAAATGTCACTCGAAATCGAGCAAAAAAGCAAGTTCGACGTCCACTTGTCAGGTCAAAGCGCTAATGCTAACAAAACCGCACGTTTACTGGGTTTTCGAAATCTTGCGAGCTCTAGAATACTCTTGAAGACTTGTGGTAAATTTTTTATCACTGGCTTTTTTACTATACGTTTGACTTTTTAAATCAAAATTAAAAATATTTTTTTAAATTTCAAAAATTTGATTTTTAGAACCTACTATAATATACTCTACTATAAAACTACCAAAAAATTTTTTCTAAATTTTATTTTTGTTTATTATTATTCTTATCAACATTATTGTTAACCATAGAGACCATTAAATTGATTTCCAAACGCTTAGCAGCCATGTCCGACCATAGCTCAGTTGGTAGAGCGGAGGACTGTAGTTGAAGCGGAAATCCTTAGGTCGCTGGTTCGAATCCGGCTGGTCGGAACTTGCTTTTTGGCTCGTTTTTTGATGTTTTTGTTATAAAAAAGAGGGTTTTGTGGTAAAATACGAAATAGAAAATAATTTCATTTTAATTTTTGGTGTTTTAAAATTGAGTTTGGGTTTAAAAAAGGTTATTTTTAAAGGTTTTTGGTCTAAAACATTGGTTTTTGGTTTAAAATGCGGCTTCTTGGCCTGTTTTTTGTCGTTTTTGTGATAAAAAAATATTTTTTGGTAAAATACGTTGTTTAAATCTGCGCAGATTTATTTGTTTTATTTTAAAATTTTCTTTTGTTAAAACACCATTTCTAACCTTTCCTACCATTTTCAAATCTAAAACCCTCACGTTATGACAACAAACCTCTATATTATGTGTGCTGGTCATTCCTGACAGGTAGTTGTTTTCAAGATTAATACTTTTCCTCATCTGTTTTATAGCACCAGGAACGACCTTGCACCTGGGAAAGAGAGAAGAGAACGGTCACAAACGTTCCGATGTGTTTTTTTGGCTGGCTATCTGTCTGTTTCTTCTTCTTCCGGACCCAATTTCATATGTATGAAGTGTTGTTAAAACGCAATTCTTGCAATTGTTTTTGTGTTTTGAGGGTATGGGTGAATAATAGGGATGAGGGTCAGGGTGAGGTTAAAGAGAATGAGGCTAAAAAAGGTTGTTTTTGCTTTTTTTTGTAGAAGAGTGTAGAAGAGAGGATACTTTTTGTAAATATTATGTCATTTTGTTAGGCTTATAACCAAACAGAAAAATTTTGGTCTAGACTATAATAGTAGGCTGATTGGCTTCGGCTTATTAGGCTTAGGCTCAGTAGACCCAGACTCAGTATACTCAGGCTTAGAAAGCTTAGATTTAGGTGGCTTAGTCTTAGTAGGCATAGGCTTAGAAGGCTTTGAATAGCGAGGCAGAAGGTTAGTAAGCTAAGACTAAAGTGGCTTAGGCTTAGGCGTAATAGGCTTAGGTTTGAACTTGGCCTTGGCATTGTTCTTGGCCTAACACGTAAGCTTAGGCTTAAGCTTAGTAGGCTTAGGCTTATTATGCTTAGGTTTAGTATACTTGGGCTTAGTAGGCTTAGACGTATTAGGCTTAGGCTTAGTAGGCTGAGGCTTAGTATGCTTAGGCTTAGTAGGCTTGGGCTTAGTAGGCTTAAGCTTAGTAGGCTTAGGATTAGTAGGCTTAGTCTTAGTAGGCTTAGGCTTAGTAGGCTTAGGATTAGTAGGCTTAGTCTTAGTAGGCTTAGGCTTAGTAGGCTTAGGCTTAGTAGACTTAGGTTTAATTTTCATTACCTTCTGTACCCGTACATTTGTAAACGCAATATTATAACAAACCGTTCCGAACATTATTCTCCCACCGTGCGAGGAACGTTCCTCGGACACTGAAACACTTATTAGGGCTCTTATCTCCGCAAGCCATCCCTCTTCCAGCCCTCGGGCCGGAAACCAACATGTTCGGCCGAATATTTTACATTATTTTGAAACTTACATTCTCTGTACGTTAGGGAAGAGAAGGGGGGGGGGGTGGTGTTCCGCGCTGTTTCGGGTCCATTTAAAAATGAGGAAAAAGCCAAAAAATAAATCTTTTGACTCATTCCAACCGGCTCTTTAAGCTACTCAAACCCGTCTTTTGGGTTTAAATTGGAATAATTTTTTTTAGGTTGGGGGTGGATAAGCTGGTATGTACTTTAAAACAAGGCGCAGGTATGGAATTGAATTTTTTTTTGATTGGAGTAGAATAGGCAACAATTTTTTTTTCAAAAAGAGGTGAAAGATCAATTTTTTTTTGGATTGGGGTGAGATGGGCTAAAGGAGGTCAGAAACTTTTTTGAACGAAACTATAGGAGGGGGGAGAAGAGGAGGGTAGAGATATCATTCAGTGTTTAATAGAAAAAAATTTCCTGTTTAGACTAGGGCATAATCTCAAAGGCAGATCAATTTTTAGGGTTAGGCTTTTTCTTGAGTAGGTTAAATTTTAAGGTAGGGCATTTTCGGGGGTAGATTAATTTTGTTAGGGTACGGCGTGAACGAGGTAGATCAATTCTAGTGCTTGAGTCAGCTAGCGTAAAGTAGGGTAGGGTAGGGTAGGTTAGGGTAGGGTAGGGTAGGGTAGGGTAGGGTAGGGTAGGGTAGGGTAGGGTAGGGTAGGGTAGGGTAGGGTAGGGTAGGGTAGGGTAGGATATTCTGTTCGATCTTTAATCACTACTTCTATCTATTCTAGCTTACCATGCCTTGCCCTAGCCTTAAAGTAGCCATGGATGTTACTCTTGCCTCTAACCCTTGACATAGTCTAGCAGTACCCCGTCCAAGCCTTTTACTAACCACCCCACCCTCTACTTAATTTTACTCTACCCTGGTTCTACCTATGGGATGTTCTATCTAAGCTTACCTTACGCCCTACTGTACATACACTCTGCCCTCTCTCTTTTTTGATAATTTTTAAAAATTTTAAAAATTTTCATTTGGAAATGATCTAAAATGGACTTTTCGCACCTTCTAAAAGCTTTCAGACATCTTCTCTTTTTGCAAAACCAGACTCATTTCAACTTCTAATTTGATTAAAATGCAACTTTTTTTTGTTTACACAACATTAACGTATCTAGGTATACCTGTAAACTAAAGTACGACAGCTCTTTTTGTTCCTTTTTCAACTTTTATTATATTTTTTTTTTAAATTTTACTTTTCTAAAATACGATTTTTTACTTTTTGCTGGATATTTATTTTGTATTTCGCGGCGTTTTCAATATACTCCTCGAAACTCAAAAGTGAAGTCTCCGTTCTCAGAGATGGAGATACTTACAAAGAAGATTTTTTGCGTGCTGTAAGTTTAGGCTATTTTATGCAAATTTTGAAAAAAAGAATTTTCTATCTTGCACTTTACGAGCTACAGAAATTATTCAAATTTTCATAGCGAAACGCAAAAATGAAGTCTACCGAAAATTAAATTAAAAACGTTGTTTTGGGGGAAGATTTTAATTTTAAACGTGGCATGGTATTCCTTGTATACTATAAATATATTATTCAATGCCCAAAAGCGACAAATTTTTGACCTTTATATTAATTTGGGTGACTGCAACACAGTGGTGGAAATAAATCAACGTTAATCCAACACTGGATAAGAGTATAAAGTGTGTTACAAAAAGACTTAAGGGGGTGCCGTAAGACCCATAAATGATCAACTAACCCTTCTGGGGCCAAATAATACGTTTTATTTGAAAAATATTAAGATTGATTGGGGAGGTGAAGTAGTGATAGGGTAATATTTGTATGCAACAAGATAGTATCTTGCTGTTTAGGTCTTTAAAACAACGTTCATGTGTGCTTTGACCATCAAACACCTAAATAACGTAATTAAGTTGCAAAACATAGTCTCCCGCCTTTAGGAACTAATGTCATAATAAGTCATGGTGTTAGTGACAGATAGCAATTACAAAACGACTTGATTACAGAACTCAGGTAAGACATAGTGTGTTTTTGAAGATATATGTACCCACATGGCCATGTCTAGTGACACAGAAGCGCTTTTCATCTTTGTATATCCACCGTTTGAAATTAGTGGAATAGCGGTAATGTTGTTCTGCAAAGCTGATACGCAGCTGCAGGTGGTTCGATCTCAAATCGAGTACGAGATAGGTGATACTATACTAGACATCTATTTTCTTTATACACATTTGCAACAAGCGTTTAGAACATGCCAAATTCAACGTACCGATAACCATTTTAGTGTTGCCTATATCCGTCGTTGTAAGTTTTTAAAAGTTAAATGTATTATTTGACCTCCGAAGGGTTAGTTGATCCTTTATGGGTCTTATGGCACCCTCTTAAGTCTTTTTGTAACACACTTTATACTCTTATCCAGTGTTGGATTAACGTTGATTTATTTCCACCACTGTGTTGCAGTCACCCAAATTAATATAAAGGTCAAAAATTTGTCGCTTTTGGGCATTGAATAATATATTTATAGTATACAAGGAATACCATGCCACGTTTAAAATTAAAATCTTCCCCCAAAACAACGTTTTTAATTTAATTTTCGGTAGACTTCATTTTTGCGTTTCGCTATGAAAATTTGAATAATTTCTGTAGCTCGTAAAGTGCAAGATAGAAAATTCTTTTTTTCAAAATTTGCATAAAATAGCCTAAACTTACAGCACGCAAAAAATCTTCTTTGTAAGTATCTCCATCTCTGAGAACGGAGACTTCACTTTTGAGTTTCGAGGAGTATATAAATTTAAAAATTAAAATTTTTTGATATATTAGCTAATATTATCATGATTTTCAGCCGTTCTCAAGCCGTTTCTCCGTCCTTTCGAAAGCAATCATGGTAAGTTAAGACTGAAGAATTGCATTTTATTATCTAAAATTTGACTTTTAAAACTTTTGTTACCCTAAAATTCAATTTTTTAACTTTTGTTACTTAAAATTCAATTTTTGTTATCTAAAATTTTATTTTTAGATTTTTTGTTACCTATATATAATTTTTTAAAGCTTCGTTACCTAAATTTCATTTTTAAGTTTTTTTAACTAATTTTATTTTTGTTACCTAAAATTCAATTTATTTACCTGACGTTTTGCTTTTCTAAAACTTTATTTTTACCTAGATTTTAATTTTTTACTTGAAATTGTTACCTAAAATTCAAATTTCACGAATTTTTTTACCTAAAACTTTATTTTTAAAAACTTTTTGTTTGAAACTCTATTTTTTTGCTTAGATTTCAATTTTTTTACTTGAATTTTTGTTTTTGTTACCTAAAATATAATTTTTGAACTTGTTACCTAAAATTTCATTTTAAAAAATTTTTTATTTCAAATTCTGGTTTCGTTACCTAGAGTTCAATTTTTTACTTGAAATTCTATTTTTGTTACCTAAAATTTCATTTTCAATGTATTTGTTACTTAAAATTCAAGTTTTAAAATTTTTGTTACCTAAATTTTATTTCTGTTACTTAAAATTAAATTTTTTAAAACTTTTGTTACTTAAAATGCATTTTTAAAACTTTTATTACTTAGAATCCTACTTTTGTTGCCTAAAATTTCATTTTTAAAACTTTTGTTGCCTAACTTTCAACTTTTTAACTTTTGTTACTTAAAATTCAATTTATTTACCTAATATTTTGCTTTTGTTACCAAAAATTTCATTTTTCTTACCAAAAAGCCCATTTTTACTACCTCAAACCTCGTTTTGTTCGCCAAACAATACCTTCTTCAGCGTGAAGTAATTTCCGTTCACGTTGGCCAAGCCGGTGTCCAAATCGGTAATGCTTGTTGGGAATTGTACTGTCTGGAGCATGGTATCCAACCCGACGGTCGTATGCCTTCTGAATCCCCAACAGCTGGTGACGACTCGTTTTCGACCTTTTTCTCCGAAACTGGCAATGGCCGCCATGTTCCTCGTGCTGTTATGGTCGATTTGGAGCCGACTGTCATTGGTAAGTGGCATATTTTACTTTAGTTTGCTATATTTTTCTATTTTTTTTGGTTTTTCGACCGGTCGATAATTTTTCTAAAAAAAAAATTTTGAGAACGATTTTTAGGCTTACAAAACATTATTTTAAAAGCATTTCTAACACATTTTACAAAAAAAAATTTTTTTTTTTCGACCGGTCGATAATTTTTTTGACAAAATTTTTGGTAGAAAAGAGTTTTAGGCTTACATATATCTCATTTTAAAGCCCTTTAAAAACATTTTTCAAAATTTTTTTATTTTTCGACCGGTCGATAATTTTTAAGTCAATTTTTGTGTTTGCAAAGGTTTTTAGGCGTATGAAAACTTTATTTTAAGTTAAGCGTTTTTAATACCTTTTCCAAAAAAAAATTTTTTTTAAATTTTTTGACCTGTCGATAATTTCTATGACCAAATCTTGTCCAATTTTTCAAAATTTTCAAAACTTTAATTGTAGACGAAATCCGTACCGGCACCTACAAGCAGCTCTTTCACCCAGAGCAACTGATCAATGGCAAAGAAGACGCGGCCAACAACTACGCTCGTGGCCACTACACCGTCGGCAAAGAAATCATCGACACCGTACTGGACCGAGTACGTCGTACTGCCGACAACTGTTCCGGACTCCAAGGATTCTTGATCTTCCACTCCTTCGGCGGAGGAACTGGCTCTGGCTTCACTTCTCTCTTGATGGAACGTTTGTCTGTTGACTACGGCAAGAAGTCCAAGTTGGAGTTCTCGATCTACCCAGCTCCTCAGGTCTCCACGGCCGTGGTCGAGCCCTACAACTCGGTCTTGACTACCCATACTACCTTGGAGCACTCGGACTGCGCGTTCATGGTCGACAACGAAGCCATCTACGACATTTGTCGCCGCAACTTGGACGTTGAAAGACCTAGCTACACTAACTTGAACCGTCTCATCTCTCAGGTCGTCTCTTCAATCACTGCCTCTCTACGCTTTGATGGAGCTCTCAACGTCGATCTAACTGAGTTCCAAACCAACTTGGTGCCATACCCAAGAATCCACTTCCCATTGGCTACGTACTCACCAGTAATCTCCTCGGCCAAGGCTTATCACGAGTCTTTATCAGTAGCCGAGATCACCAACTCCTGCTTCGAACCATCCAACCAGATGGTCAAGTGCGATCCAAGACATGGTAAATACATGGCTGTGTGTCTGTTGTACCGTGGTGATGTCGTGCCAAAGGATGTGAACGCTGCTATCGCTACCATCAAGACCAACCGGTCGATTCAGTTTGTTGATTGGTGTCCAACTGGATTCAAGGTAAGGGTTTTGATAGGAAAAAATGGGGAAAGCGGGTTTATGATCATTAAAAGGTAGTTGAAATTGAAAATTTGATTAAAAATGACGATTTATAAGTAATTTTGAGATGTTTTTAAAGTGGAAGCAGAGTGGAAGATTTTTAGTGCAAAATATACTAAAAATCTTCCACTCAACTTTCATTTTTAAAATGTCATAAAAAGGCTTAAAAACACCTTTTTGACACTTTTTGGAAGTGGAAGTTGAGTGGAAGATTTGTAATGTATTTTGCACTGAAAATCTTTCACCAAACTTCCATTTCCGAAAAGTGTTAAAAAGTCATTTTTAAGCCATTTTAAGACTTTTTTAAAATGAAAGTTAAGTGGAAGATTTTTAGTGAAAAATACATTACAAATCTTCCACTCAACTTTCACTTTCGAAAATTGTTAAAAATGATTTTTTTTTGGTTTTGTAAAATACGTACAAGCTTTTTCAGACAACAAAAACCTTGTTTTAGGTCGGAATTAACTACCAGCCCCCAACCGTCGTTCCAAACGGTGACTTGGCCAAGGTTCCTCGTGCTGTGTGCATGTTGTCCAACACCACTGCCATCGCCGAGGCCTGGGCTCGACTTGACCACAAGTTTGATCTGATGTACGCCAAGAGAGCCTTTGTGCATTGGTATGTTGGAGAAGGTATGGAGGAGGGCGAGTTCTCCGAGGCTCGCGAGGACTTGGCCGCTTTGGAGAAGGACTATGAAGAGGTTGCTATTGACTCGACTGATGCTGGTGCTGGAGATGAGGATGAGTACTAGAGGGATAAGCATGAGTACTAGGGAGTACTATAATGTATTAGTACTATTTTAGTTCGTACTGTATTTCTTAGTACTATACAGTACTCATAGTTTGTACTGTATTTTTAGTACTATAGATTACTGTGTTTTTGGTACTATATAGTACTGTTTTTTACATAGTGCTTTTTTAGTACTGTTTAACATTGTTTTGTACTATACTTTTCCTAGTACTAGCTTAGACTCTTTTAGTACTGTAAAATCGTACTCTGAATAGTATGGTGCATAGTACTGTAAATAGTACGATGTATAGTACGATACTATTTTTGTGTGTTATTCTTTTGAATAATTTATATTCTTGGCTTGAATCGCTTTACATTTGGTACTGTAATTTAGTTTTTTAGGACTATTAGGGATGTTTATAGCATTAAAACGAGCTTTTATAGTACTATAATACTATCATGTAACACTAAAAGGCAGTGTCTTGGTATTAAGAGTCTTTATTTTGTACTCAACCACTTTTTACTTAGTACTATCTTTTTCAGTACTATATTTTCTCTTAGTACCATACTACACCCTGTACTTCTTCCAATACTATAGCCCTTTCAGTACTAAAAAACTTTATTCCAGTACCACCCTCAACTTTAAGAGTATCCTCTGATCTGTCGTCCTATACTAGTTCTGTGTTTGATCTTATCAACCTCTAGTTATTTTGCATTTTTGTAACTTTTTATTACTGTAGCATTAATATTTTTGGATCTAATAAACAGAGCTGGATGTACTTTGGCATTACTCAGTAATTTTTTGTTTTACCTCTGGTTATATTACTGTAAATGTGAAAATATTGTTGTTGGTATACCTATATCTTACTTTACAGAGTAATTTTTAGTTTTACTTTAGGCTATCTTACTGTAAAAATGAAAATATTGTTGTTAGTATACCTATATTGGCATTACACAGTAATTTTTAGTTTTACCTCAGGCTATAATACTTGAAAAATGAAGGTAAGGGTGTAAGTATACATATACATTGACCATACAGAGTAATTTTTAGTTTTATCTTGAGTTATAATACTGTAAAAATGAAGATAGTAATGTAGGTATACCTATATCTTGGCATTACAGAGTAATCTTCATGTTTAACTCTGGCTATCTTACTGCAAAAACAATAATCAGGCAAGATATGAATATAACAACATTAGTAATGCAGTAATGCTGTTGGTATACCTATACTTTGATATACTTTTTCAAAAAGTTAAGTAATAAGTCAATAAAACCTTGGTTATGTTGTTGAAATATGGAAAAAAAGATGTTTATCAAGAGTTGTTTATTTCTCCTCAGCGCTGTTTTTGTTCTCTGGTGAGCAAAGATTACATTATGAGCAAAATACATAGATCTCGCTTTGGTTTTCTTAACCTTTAAGGTCAAGAAGGGGATGTTTAGCTAATAACAATCACTAGTTACTGCTAATAACACCGGCCATAGCCCTAGCCCTAGCTTTAGTTCTACTCTAGCCTTAACCCACAGCCCTAGCCCTAGCCCTAGCCCTAGCCCTAGCCCTAGCCCTAGCCCTAGCCCTAGCCCTAGCCCTAGCCCTAGCCCTAGCCCTAGCCCTAGCCCTAGCCCTAGCCCTAGCCCTAGCCCTAGCCCTAGCCCTAGCCCTAGCCCTAGCCCTAGCCCTAGCCCTAGCCCTAGCCCTAGCCCTAGCCCTAGCCCTAGACCTAGCCCTAGCCCTAAGAGCTTAGTTTTAGCATTAGCTCTAGTCCTAGCTTTAGTTTTAGCTCTAGCCTCAGCCCAGAGGTTTAGCCTTTGTTATAGCCCTAGCTTGCCTTACTCTATGTTATAGTACCTATCGTGGCATATTTTTACTTGATCTTGTATGATACAGGCCGTATTACTGTATCCTAGCCTACCCTTTAGTCCTACAGTACACATTTCGTGGTCTTTCCCTCAAGCCAAATGTGAAAGAAACCATCTCCCCCATCCTCAGTTGAACGTTAAAAAACCCCATCCCCCTTTCTCAAACCAAATCTGAAAGGAACCCTTCCTTCACCCCCCCCTCCCCCCCCGCTTTCTCAAGCTAAATGTCAAAGAACTCCCCCCCTCTCTCTTCTGTAAGCTAAATGTCAAAGAACCCCCCCCTTCTGCCTTACAAGAAACATATTACGCGCCTTTCGCTCACGTGCTCCCCGAACCGAATGTTTCCATCATAAAAACATGACGCTGTGATGGAAAAAATCAGACGCCCGCTCCCCCCAACTCTTTTTTGTGAGTTCCGTCTCGTCGCGACACAATGGGAATAGTAAAATGATGATTTTAGGCGGGTTTTTCACAATTTTTGAATTTCACTTTTTCGAATTTTGACGTAAAACAAGGAAAGGAAAGTAAAATAAAGTCGTCTGTAGTGGTTCAACTGGTTTTTAAATTTTTTACAAAAATTTTATTGTTGCTAAGGCAGTGTCTAGTGGGTGGTTTTTGCCTGATTTTAACGGCAGGAGAAGGTTAGGCTTGGTAGGCTTAGAGTAGCACTATTAGTAAGAATCGATATATAATAGTAGGTTCGGAATAGGAGGCTGAGGCTTACTGAGCTTAGGCTTAGTGGCCTTAAACTTAGCATGTTTCGCCTAAGTAAGGATTAGTTAGCAAGTTTAGGCTTAGTATAATACTTATCGACAGTAGGCTTAGACTTAAAGGGCGTATGATTAGTAGGCTTAGAGTTAGCAAACGTAAGAATTAAAGGCTTAAGCTCAGCAAGCTTAGGCTTAGTTGGCTCAGTCTTAGTAAGCTTAGCTTTAGTAAGCGTAGGCTTAGCAAGCCAAGACTTAGTAAGTTTAGGCTTAGAATGCTTGGACTTAGTAAGCTTAGCATTAGCAAGCTCAAACTTAGTATGTTTAGGCTTAGTAAGTTTAGACTTAGCAAGCTTAGACTTAGTAAGCATGAGTTTAGTAAGCTTAGACTTAGTACGCTTAAACTTAGTTGGCTGAGCAGGCTATGGATAAGTAAATTTATGTTCAGTAGGCTTAAGTTTAGTTTCAGATTCAGCAAGTCTAGGTTTAGTGGGCTTAGGATTAGTAAACTTATGTTTAGCAGGCTTATCAGAACGCTTACTTAACCTTCAAAATCAGAGTACGCTACATAATATATGAAGCAGTGTTAAGGCTAAAAAGAATAAGCCTTCAATTTTCCTATTATAAAATTTTTATGTAATTTTAAGCCTAAAATACCTTAATACAAAATTTACCGCGGAAGCCCAGAATTGCTGACTAAAATAGACGGGATTGTTTGTGACTACTACAAAAACATTATTTTTGCGTCGTTTCGAAGGCGAAAGTGAATGCTTTTTCCGTTATTTTCTCGCGCTTAAATGGGTCATATGATCGTGGGGTCCCATGAGCCTTCCCAAACCTTTCATACCGTTTTCGATTATCAGTTGCTAATGTTTGGGGTTATACTGGGCTTGGAGATCCTCTTACTATTAGTAGGTATGTTATATAGGATTGGGAATGGGAATTCTGTGGGATTTGGGAGGTGTCTTTGGCTGTTTCAGGGCTTTCTAGGCTAGTTGGCTTGGGTTAGTACTGCTACAATATAAAATGGAGCCAAGCGGTAGTAGTGTAAAACATGAACTGCTTCTTTTCTGGCATTTATTACATTTATAGGCTATTTTGACTCCATAAAACCTATTTTCCCGATACTGTACTGCTTAGTACTACTGTAACATCGAAGCCAATATCTTCAGTACCAAGCAAACTAAAACAACATAGCATGGCTTAAAGCTATTTTTGAGCTTGCCGTAACATAACAAACAGTTATAATAGGCCTGAACGATGTAATTTTACATAGATTTGCATAAAAATTTTGGTGGAGTTGCTGCTATGCAGGTATAGATTTATATATATGAGGAGGCATTATGCAAACACGTTAGTTTGACCTTGCAGAAATGATGGCTTGTTATGACTTGAAAAACGGATAGCCAAGTTCATACTGGCTTGGTGTTTGTTAGAATAGGGATTAAAAGGGTTGATTAGATGGTTTGAGTACAGATTAAGTTTTTATTCTTGAGATGCTGGTTTGTTGCAGTAATTTCTGTATATTTCTTGTACCAGTTGTCTATGTTTTCTGAAATTTAACGTATAATAGCCTATTGAGATGGTTTTTTAATATTCATTTTGACGTTTTGTAAAACAGATTTTATTTTTGGATATTGAATTAGGTATATGCATGCCTACAAAAATGTTATCATATCTTTAATACCTGGCGTTAAGATAGTCTGAAATTTTGCAGATTACAGTATTTTGAAACGTTCTTTCATATTATTTAATCATTATTGTCATCCTTAGCCATTATGCCATTTATTTGAATATTGTTGTACATGCTCGTACTGTATCAATAATTTTTATGTATCACCCCTTCCAAAGCTCAAAACTGGATGAAAATTATTAAAAACTCGTATTTTAGAACGTTCTTCAGTTTGTATGATTCAGATTTGTAGTTTAAATTTAAAACACAACCAAATTTGCATATTGTGTTAGATGGGTCATAACATTTGCTTTTCTCGTCGCTTGCTAAAACTAGCTTTATATAACACCTGCCAGCGTAAAATAGTCTTGTCTACACTCTAAATTTTCTTTTTCGCTCCGACAAAAATTATTACTCGTCTTTTGACGCGTTTTATACCAAATTTTAGGATAATTGTGGCAATATAAGAGCGTTTCTAGGCTTTTATTGCCATTTTTTAATGGACTAGCTAGGAAAAATTTACAAAAACGACTTATAATAGATCAAGGAAACTTATATCTTTATGTTTGTTCAAACCTTTTGCTGGGTTTTACTCGTTAGATCTCGGAAATCTCGAGTTTCCCTGCACCTTGGCCTTTCCGCGATCGATGCGAGAGAGGGCACGCTTCGCGGAGGCGCCAGACAATTGTGACGCGCTCTCGTGCTCGCTTTTTTATGGATTTTAATGAGGCGGCTCGTGAGCTACTTTGTCTTCCAGTTTTGCTTCATTTACTTCTTATCTTTTCAATGTTTTAACACATTTTGTTACCTAAAATCTTTAAAAATTTTAAATTTTGAATAAAATCTGCTTTTTTGACCAATTTTCTTCAAAAAACCCAAAAAAACCGGTGGAAGAAGGGTCTTTTAACAGAACATTGAAGAGTTTATCGGGTCAAACCTTGTGTCATGTGATAATCTACATCTCCACCAAACATTTCTCCACATGACACAACACTTGTGGTATTATACTTTCTCGAAAAAGTAGTTTTCCTCGGCTTTCCCAGTACAATATCAGTGTTTTGTTTATAATAATATTGTTAGTGTCTGGTGGACGTGTTTCTCGCTGTTATTCATTGCTAATCAATGGGAAAGATTGCAAATGACATGTTTGTTCTGGTTTTACAACGTTTCTTGAAAATTTCTTTGAAGAATTTGGTCTGGGGAGAAATTATATTGTTTTAGAGGGACTGTTGGGTGTTTTATTTGAGTTTGGTCGAAGGATGTGAGGCATGGTAAAATAAGTTTTAGTAGAGCGAAAAGGATACTTTGATACACATTTTGGCTAAATTTCGATTTTTTAACTTTATTGGTTTTTGAGTTATATCAAATTTCCTTTTGTAAATCGAAAATTTGGGTAATTTGGCTTTCCATTGAATTTTTAATTTTTTAGGTAACAAATGGAAGATACAGCTTTTAGATATTGTAAACAATACTATAAGCTATAATTTACTTAAATTTTATTCTTTTTACATTTCTAATTTTTGATTTTTAATAAAATTACGTTCAAAGGGCTTTCTTCTATGATAATATCGGGGTTTTCGTTATGTTTTACTGTGTATTTCGTGTTATTTTTAATCGAACCTGTTATAACTACGCTTGATATCATGTTATAACAATATCAACTAAGTAAAAGCTAATTTACCCACTTTCAGAGGCCAATATTGTTGTTATTAGTTGTTGCGTTGGTCTCTCTTTTGCACCAGTTTCCAAAATTCTTGTAAAAATTTGATTTTACACAATTTTCACGGGCCGTTCTGGCCGCCAATTTTCCATCGTTCTCACGGGTTTTGTACATAAAACGGGCAGGAAATAATGGCGTTCTACAAGCCGTTATGTCGATTTTTGATTCATCGCTACATGGGCGAGTACCTTAATACCCAGATCAGCACGGATCAGCTGGAGTTGAAGCTGTTGGAGGGCACAGTCTCGGTTCAGGATGTGTCACTTAATGCTGATGTAAGTTTTTGAGTTTTTATTGTTTTTTGGTTTTTAGGATGAAGAGTTTGGAAGTATAGACGAAGATTGGGCTCTAAAGGGTTTTTTAGTTAACAACTGCTGTTTTTTGACGAACATTAGCTTGTACTCGTATTGTTTAAGCTATGTTTAAGCTTATGGGTTTAAAAAGAAGGCTAAAATATTTAAAATTTAAGTTTTGCAATCTGAAGTTGACAATACCAAATTTAAGGTGCTATAACTTTGTGGTAAATAGCTCTAAAGAGGACATGTTAGTATGAAAAGGTGTACAATTAAAAGTTTTATTATGATTACGACATTTGGTAGAAAGAATGTTATGAGTTTTTTTAAATTTTGTACTAACAAGTTGTCGGGCAATACAAAATGCCTACTACAATATCGTTTTTGGTGGTTTTAAAGGTTTTTGCTATATTTTTACAGAAATTTTTTGGATTTATAGATACAGAAATCAATTCTTAAGCTAAGAATACTAATTTTCAGTACATCAACGAGCAGCTGAAAGATGTAGGCCTAATAAGGCTGATTGAGGGCTATGTCCGCGAACTCAAGGTGTGTGTGCCATGGACCAAGTTGATGGACGAATCGACCATCATCTACGTAAAAGGATTGGATTTGACATTTGCACCATTGAATATTGACAATTTTAATGCTGAAATGATGTCATCCATGTTTGGGTCGATTGTCAGCTCTATGTCAAGATCAACTAATGAGATCATTCAAGAAGAGATTCAGAAGTGGGGTTTTGAAATTATCGGGCGGGGTTGGGGTAAATGGGAGTGGATTTTGGTGTAGGATGGGTTTTTAAAGTAAAACTAGTGGTTTTGAGGGGTAGTTTTTGAAGACTAGTGATATTGAGGTAGGTGCTAGAAGGTCAAAAATAGTGATAGATGATTGATACTGGGTTAACTATGCAAATATGTATTATGAAATGATTTCTAGGGTAAAAATAAGTATTTTTGTTTAAAAAACTGTGGCATTTTTGAAAAAGTTTGTATGAAACACCATGGATATTGTGGTAGGTACTACAATATACCTTTTTTTCAAAATTGACTTCAAAAATTAACTCAAACTAATATCCCGGCATTCCAGTGAGGTAGGAAAGGACAATCTAGCCCTGATGATAGACAATATCATCAATCGAATGAAGGTAATCTTCGAAAACACCACGATCCGGTTAGATTCAGAAGCCGAGCTAGCTACGGGAATTGAGCTTCGAATCGAAAAAATGGAATTTGTGGATGAAGTTCTTGAAGCCAGTGAAAAACAAAAACAAGAAGGACCGGTTACGGCTCAGCCGACCAGTTTGTACACGGTGACAGAGCTGAACAAACTGGTACACTTTGAAGGCATTCAGTTGTTTACGGATATCTACAGTAGTATGGTAGGTTGATATTGAGTTAATATTTATGCTTGATAGGTTTTTGATTGGTTTTTGAGGGCGTGGAAAAAAATTTTTTGGGCGGGGTAAAATTTTTTTTTGGGGGGGGGGTCGGGGTAGGAGATGACAAAAAATTTTTATAGTAGGGAAATGGAAGAAAATTTGTTTTGGCTTGGAATGAATTTTTTTTTGTGGGCGGGGATGGTAATTTTTTGGGTTAAAGACAACTTTTTGATTAACAAAGTGAAATATTTCGAACAAAATTTGTAAAAAAAATGCATTTTAGCGCCCATCGTCGGTAGCATCGGACCTCAGTTTCGACAACAAGGACAATATTACCTCGACCACTTCGTTGGACACATCGGCATTCCAATCCTGTTATTCCCAGTTAAATACGTCAGCTAGGAAAGAGTCTTCGGTTTCTGGATCGAATCAGCTTAAGTAGGCTTTGGTTATCTTATTCCTAACAATTTTTACCTTACTTCTATTCCTACCCCTGTCCTACTCTTATCCCTACTCTTACCCTTACTTCGACCGTGAAACCTACCCCATAATCCATAAATCTATCTAAAACCCCCTATTTCAGCCTCCAAACCAACCCGATCCCCTTTCTGGTGATCGGCGGAGAAAAGAGTACGGTTCGAATCAGAGTCAATAACACCGCAGTCAAGTCGGACGGAGCCTATAACAAGAAAATGGACGTAGACTTTCAACTGATGGGACACGCCTTTGCATTCCTAACACCAAGTCAACTGAGTTTGATAACTGAACTGTTAAGCAAGCTGACCTCAGCTCCATCACAAGAGAAACCATCGCATTTGACCGGAGGCAAACCCATGGGACCAGAGCACTTTGAGAGGCTGAATGATCAACTACAAGGTGAGGTTTTGTTGTTTTGGAATAATTTATAGGTAAAGGGGTGAGAAAGTAGATTTTACAAAGTTGGTTGGGTAGATCTTTTAAAAGAGGGAAGAGTGGGCATGGGTTTTAAAAAATGGATTAGGGAGGGCATTTTTTTGGGTTAGGTGGTGGTTTTGAAGGCTTTTAAGAAATTTTAAAGGTTGAAAGTTATTTTTTATGACTTGTAATGGCTTTTGATATGATATTTTTTTACAAATTTTGAAAATTCAAAAAAATTTTTTTTAGGTAACAAAAATTTTTTTTTGTTGATTTTATGTTGAAAAATGGTTTTTTAAGACATCACGAGCTTATAATAGGCATTTTTAGTTATTTTTGTAATATTATAATACGTTTGCTGACGTTTCTGCGAAAAAAAAATTGGGTAACAAATATATTTTTTCAAAATTTTGTTGAAAAATACGATTTTTGGTTGGAAAATGGGCTGAAAAGGAATTTCTTGGTTTTTTAAACAAGGTCTTGGGGCATTTACATATATTCCTAATTACCCCTACTCCTACCTACCTTACTATCTCTACCTCTGCCCAGGAGTAGATGTAATAGGAATAGGGTAGTTTTTTATTAAAAAATTTTTTAATTTGATTAATTTTAATCACCACTACCCTTCAGGCGACGCCATAGTAGATCAAATCATTCGCGACTCTCATAACACGCCACCAACAGCAACCTTTCATCATGGTAACGCGCTGTCACATGCATATGAACAACAGTTCTATGAAGTCAAATCACATGTAGCAGCTACAAGATTCAGCACGATATCATTGGATGAACCATCACATCAGAGGCACGGTAGTGGGCAAACCTACGCGTCACGTTCGTCTGGAGGTGACAGTGATTCGTTGACGGATCGGGGAACTCATCGTAGGTTTTTTCGATTGTTTTTGTTGGTTTTTAGGTAACAAAGTTGGAGTTTGGAGGAAAAAAAGTATGGTTTAGGTAATAAAAGTTCAATTTTTGGTTAAAAAGTGGCATTTTAGGTAACAAAACTAGTATTTTAGGTAACAAAGTTAGTAGTTTAGGTAACAAAACCGGTATTTTAGGTAACAAAAAATGAATTTTAGGTAACAAAATTTTTTTTCATTGTTGTATCTCAATACCTGACCTAAAAATGTACTTTTCTAACTAAAAATACCATTTCAGACGGCTCGAATCTGACCCTAACGGAACGTCGGCCCAATGTCTTCCTCTTCACCTTCAAAATGCCATCCTTGGTGATGATAGTCACTCACGATGATCCTTTATCAGTAGATAACATCCGGAAACTCCGCCAATCCGACCCTCAAGCGGTCTGTAATCAAGTCAAGGCCTTGAAGGAACGGGCAGATAACTTCTTCAAGGCCGCCCTCCAGCCATCTCCACTCATCGTGACTGGAGCACCATTGGATCAGCAACGTGCCACTTTCACGGCACTGTACCCGCACGATCATTTGAAGCTGTTGTGTAGATCGTCAGTGTTCAAGCTGACCAACGAGTTCGATGAGGTCAAGGGCGGGTCTTTCGATTTACAGTGCAGTTTTGGACACATGGATCTGAGCGAGTACTTGGCGAGGGAGAGTGTGGTACTTAATGGTACTAATGGTACTGAAAACATGGGTTGTCATGATGACAAAAGCAGTACTACCTATAGTGCCACGGACAAAAACAGTACAACCATTCATACAACAGTACCAAAAGAAGGCCTAAACATTGACATCTTCAACTTCTCTCGCTACGAGTCGGACGAATCATCGTCACGCAGCTACGGCCATCCAACTTCATCAGAAGCCAACCTCACCCTACGCATCACAAACGCCATCGAATCCCGCGAACCAACGGTACTAGTCGAGGTCAATATGTCAGCATGCCAATCCGAAATCGACCCCTCAATTATCGACCGTATCTCAGCCTTAATCGTGAAACAGCCCTTCTACAAAGACCGTAGCCTCCTACTGGTCGACGAGATTCTACCTCCAAGTTCGGCCAGTACTGATGGTACTACTGCCTCAGCTCTAGGGCTAAATAACGCAAGCTTAAGCTTAGGCCTAAACGAAGGATTCTCGGCTCAGAACGACGGGTTTTTAGGCCAGAACGATGGATTCACGGCCACGAATTCGGGCTTAAACGACGCGTTCTCGACCGGCCTACGAGACAATTTTTTGGACACGGACCTTTTCACAAAATCCTCGGATAAAATGCAAATTCAAGTCCGGTTCTACTGCCCGAAGTGGGAAATCGACCTTAAGATCCCCGTAGCCGATTACACTGAAACTGCACCATCAGCTTCTAAACGCAATCTTCATCATGAGTTCCTGAAGCTACAGTTGGACGAAGCACGGCTGGAGATACCCAAGTTTGATCCAGAATCTATTGGTACTAATCTGATGCTGAATGTGTACGCTTCAGCACTACAAGGCAGCTTCATTGGCGATTCCGAGGTTCTGAACTGTCGTCACGAAGATATGACATTCCTATATGCAAACGGCTTCAACTCGAACTCACTTGGCACCCAGAACGTGCACATCAGAATCCAGTTTGACTCAAGAAACAAAAGCCTTCATCTGGTCAACAAACCGGACCCACTAATGGCCAAGTCAATGTACGAGTCCTACTTTCAAATGGGATCAGAGAACAAGGCCGAAGGACCCTTTAGCAAAGATGGATCATACTACGAAGGTCAAAAGATCATCCAGCCAGGTACGAATGAAGAACTGAGAGAGTTCAGCGAAAAAGCTAAGCAGCTAGCCAAAATAAATGTGGAGCTAACCATGCCACAACTCAATCTTCACTTACCATCTCATGAGTTCCTGGAAGTCATGTATAATCGATTTGCTAATGATTTTGCTCTGTTTGAACCGAAAAGCAATGCTTATAAGGTAAGGTATTGGGGTTGGAGTTAATGGAAGTGAGGTTTTAGATAACAAAATTGGCTTTTTAGGTAACAAAAGTTGAACTTTAGGTAACAAAAAGGGCATGCAGGTTAAAAAAATCGAATTTTAGGTAACAAAAAGGCATTTTAGATAACAAAAATTGATTTTTAGGTAATAAAAATTGAGTTTTAGGTAATAAACATGGGTTTTTAGGTAACAAAAATAGAATTTTAGGTAACAAAATTGAAAATTTACGTGTCAAATTTAGAAATTTAGGTATAAAAAAGGCTTTTTAGGTCACAAAAGTAGTACTCTGGGTAAGAAAAATTGGTTTTCACGCTAAAAAGTGGCATTTTAGGTAACAAAAGAGCATTTTTTAATCATTTTAAGTATTAAAATTTAATTTTTCAGGCCCAAGAAAGAAAACGAATTCAATCGCACAGTTTCAAGGAATGCCATAAGTTCACAGACTTTGGTGCCTCAAATGGCTCTTCCAAGTCCAACTTCAATGACGATGAAGACGAAAGTGCTGGAATCAAAGGCAATCTGTTTGCCTTTGGCCTAAAGGCCGAAAAAACCAAAATCCTGCTCCAAACCCAGATTCTGGATGCCGAGGCGGCCAAAAAAAGAGTACCAACAGTTTGGAGTACAGTTTGGACTGGAACTGATCGATGCTCAGCTATTCTTCGTTCATGGATTCGATCAAGATCCGAACTTGGACTACATGTTCTTGACTAGTCATAAGAGCTTCGTTCACCATCGGAATCTGTTGGATGGAGTCAAGAGTCTACAAAGAAATGTCATGGAAAGCAATTTCTGTGCCAGAAGAAGTGCTGATACTCATGTTGAGCCATTGAATGTAAGGGTTGTTGAAGCAGTTAATATTAGGGGTATGCTTGAAAGCCGGCCTACTAGACCCGGCCTTGCTTCGCTCTCGTTTTAGGCCGAATTAAATTTGAAAAAAGGGTGGGCCGGGTCAAGGGATTAGTCTATATGAAGGACCGAGGGACCCTTATGATCTTAGATACTGATTTTTATTTTTTTAAATTTAAATTTTGAGACTTTTATGAAAAAAAAGTTCTCGAAAAAAGTCGAGCTTGGTCCCCCCTGTGGAATTTTTTTCAGAAATTTTTTTTTTGGTTTTTGGGTCTTTTATGGGTGATATGAACATTTTAGGTAACAAAAAAGCTTTTAAGCATCAAAAATCATTTTAGTTTAGGTTTGACTGTGAAATTTTTAATTTTGAAAAAAAAATCATTGGAAAAAGTCGAGCTTGGTCCCCGCTGTGGGTTTTTTTGAAAGAATTTTTTTTTCTAGATTTTGAACGGAAAATAGAGTACTTTAGGTAATAAAATAGCTTTTACACATCAAAACTTATTTTTTTGAGCTTGGTCTCTCCTGTGGATTTTTTTGAATTTTTTTAATTTTGGGATTTTTAGGTATGATATGGGCACTTTATGTTTTAATATGGTTTTAGGAATCAAAATTTATTTTAACGTTGATTGAAAAATTTTTAATAATTGAAAAAAAAATTTAAGAAAGTGGAGCTTGGTCCCCCTGTGGATTTTTTCGAAAGAAAACGGTTTTTGGAGTTTTTGAAGGGAAAATAGAGTACTTTAGGTAATGAAAGTTGAATTTTACGTAAAATACGAATATGTAAATTGCGGTTTTCTATAAAACACAACTTTTTTAATCATAATCTCCAATTCTAGGCTTCCGAACCCCTCCAATCCGATGAAAATGACTCATTGGTTGTGGCTCTCAAGGTTCATCAAGTACCAGAAGACAACGTACGCAAAATCGTAGTAGCCTTCGCCGTCCGCAACTCTACCGTTCACATCAAACCATCAATCAACCCGAAACATCACTTTTCACAACAATTCACTGACTTTTTCGTACTCAGAGACTACGGAGTACCTGGGTACGAGTGGCCTAAGGTTTCAGTTGGAGTTCATCTTAACATCAGTAATGTCTGTTTGGCGTATGATCACTGTGAGGTTGTACCCGGGTCACCAATGATGGCTAGGTAAGGGCTTGTTTTTAAGGTTTTGAGGGTTTTTTGGGAATTTTAGGTAACAAAAATAACTTTTTTGTGAAAAAAGTGGATTTTTAGGAACAAAATTTTGAATTTTTGGATAAAAAATTGATTTTTAGGTAACAAAAGTAGTTTTTTGGAGAAAAAGTAAATTTTTAGGTAACAAAATTAGGTTTTTTGGAGAAAAAATTTGTTTTTAGATAATAAAAGTAAGGCTTTTTGGTGAATAGGGTTTTTTTTAGGTAACAAAAAGTGAATTTTTAGCATGAAAATTACGTTTAAAAAAAATTTTTAAATTGAAAAAAATTTTAAATTTTGAAATTTTTTTTTTAGAATTGGTATAGGATCATGCAATTTGTCAGCTGCCTTCCTGGAACAATCAGAATCCCACCGTTTCGAAGTTTTACTCGAGAACTCCCATTTCTACTTGGCCAAGAAGCGGCCAACAGTCACCGGCCCAAGGAAACTCGGTTTCAGCGATCAAAAACGCGCCAAAACCAACTTTGTAAAGCTAGCCAGATTCGGCCTACTGCGCCTGGACCTCTCTTATCAACCCGGCGGCGAAATTGAGGCCGGCGCCCAGCCTCAGCTCTCGATTCGTGTCACTAATGATGACTTTATCGTATGGACGTGTTCGGATACCATCACTGAATTGGCTAATATGATAACTGAGTTCATGGAGTCTGATGTGGGAAGGAGTTTGACGTCAAAAAGTAGAGACAATTCGACTTCTGAAGGCAACTACACGGTCGACGAAGAGGATTTACCCTCGATTTCGAGCCATGGTTCCAGTTTGAGGTCGAACCCGGCTTCGAATCTGGCTTCGAATGTGAAGGTGAGTTTGATTTTGTAGTTGAAGATGAATCCGGCTTTAAATTTGGCTTAGTATCCGGTTTTAGTTTTGGCTTTAAATTTAGAAAAAAGCTATAAAATCAGCCAAAAACCTCAATTTTTACCCAAAATCAACCATAAAATCTCAATTTTCAGCAAAATCTACCCTCAAACTCCTCTTCAAACCTCAAATCCACCCCCTCAACAAACTCCATGCCCAGAATGAAACGCCCATCGTCATCATCTCTATCCACCCAGTCCATTGCAAGTCAAAGTCCAAAGCGAATAACGGCCGAACAACAGGAAAAGCTGGTCGAACTGATGGAATCAGCCATGGAAGAGGACACTCCATCAGCCAGTCGAATGGAAAATCGACCGGAAAGCTCACGCAAGTCGTCGAGAAATGAAGACAGAAAGATGAGTGAAGGCATGGGTAAAAGGAGTGAAGGTATGGGAAAGAGAAGCGAAGAAAAGCAAGAAGAAGACCCTATTCTAGCCGAAATGGCTTCAGCTATGCAGGATTCAATGCTGGGAGACTGGAATCAAACGATCTATGACAATCCGGTGCAGGAACTGATGCCTGAATCACCGGTTTTTGATAGGGTAAGGAATGAGGGAACTCTTGTTTTGAAAAATGGTGGGTGGGGTAAAAAATTTTTTTGTGTAGGGGGATGCAAAAAAATTTAAATTTTTAAAAAGTTCTTAAAATGCATTTTTAAGCGATTTTAAAGACATTTTGAAAGTGGAAGTTGAGTGGAAGATTTTTAATGTATTTTGCACTGAAAATCTTCCACTGAACTTTAACTTTGAAAATGTCTAAAAATGGGCTAAAAACACGTTTTTGACACTTTTTGGAAGTGGAAGTTAAGATTTTCAGTGCAAAAATTTAGTGTATTTTGCACTGAAAATCTTCCACTCTACTTCCATTTTTTGAAAAGTGGCAAAATGTGCCTTCAGGTAATTTTAAGATTTTTTCAAATGATTTAGGCATTTTTATGACATTTTATATTTATATTATTTATTTTATTATTTATATTTTTTTATTTTTACTTAAATTTAAATTTTATTTTATTACATATTTTTTAAATTTAAAAATGTTTAATTTTGAAATTTTTAGGAAGACGATGTTACAGTAACCGCCAACTCCTCCAGAACCTTCTCTGACGACGAGTTTGTCATGATTGACGACATTGTTGGAAGTGGCATTACAAACGCGGCCGGAGATCCGAAAGTTCGCATTTTTGACGAAGAATTCGTGGTTTCAGAAGACTTTCTACGTGTACCAGATCCAGAAGATGTGAACGAAATGGTACGGCTACCAGCCTCGAATCCGGCTCCATTGATCAAGTACGAAGTGAAAGACTTCTCCATCATGTTCTACCTGTTTGGTGGCAACGACTTTGGTGATGGCATTGAACAAAAGACCTACAGCGAGTACGAAACAAGACGCGACGACTGCGACAAATATGACTCGGAAGGTGAGAGTTGACACAGTTTTAAATAGCTTAGGATTTTTTATGTTGTTTTGATTGAGACATTCTAGCTTTGTAAGCTTACTCTACCAAGTTCATATTAGAAAGGCTTATTAAGAATAGGCATGGGTTTGGGGAAGGGGAGGGGGTCGAGGGTTAAAAAACTAAATTTTTTAAAAAGTGTCAAAAACGTGTTTCTAGACAATATTAAGGCATTTTAAAAATGGAAGTTCAATGGAAGATTTTCAGTGCAAAATGCACTAGAAATCTTCCACTCAACTTCCACTTTTTAAACTTATCATCGAAATCTATGGCTTATTGTTCAAAATGTTTTAAAATTTTAGACTGATTATATTATAGTCAAATAATAATAAATATTCTTTCAGGAGGCTCATTCCGAGATCATACAGTGTGTGTAAGTGCGAATATCCACAAAATTTCGTTTATTTCCCAACTTTTCAACAAGGATTCACCGATTCTGTCACTGAATATGCTCACTATCGCTGATATCAAAGTCAAGGATCATCTTCTTATTTCAGAAATCAACAAATTGTTCTATCAGGTAGGGTTTGTTACTTAAAAATTTTGTTTTTGAGGGGTAAGGCAGTAAAAATGGCCTTTTGTTACCTAAATTGGCAGTTTTTTTGGGATTTTTGTTACCTAAATTAGAATTTTATACTTAAAATGCATTTTTATTTCCTAAAATACAATTTTTTGAAATTTTTTGAAAAATTTATGTCTTTTTCAGTACGTCAGCCCAGCCATGCCAAAACGAATGGCCCCACTCCTATCAGTACGAATGGTCGAGGATCAAGGTCGTGAAGGCAAGCTCAAAATCTCTCTCCTTCCAATCCGACTAAATATTGATCAAGACACTCTCGAGTTCCTCCAAGACTTTATCAACCAAATCCAAAAGGACATCCAGCCAGGCCAATACGACCCCAGCGACGACCCACCCGACCTCGACCTGCCCGTCATGGAAATCAGCCCCGAAATCCGCCCACGGAGCATGGACGCGGAGAGTGTGGCAACAAGGAAGTCGTCAGAATCGTCGATTCAGAAGCACGACAGTGGACTGTTGCCAATGCAGGACGATGTGTCGGTTCAGTGGAAGAGAAGCGGCGAACGAGCGGATTCTGGAGGTCTGATTGATCTGGATGATGACAGTGTGAACTTGTTCAAAGGCCGACCTGAGAACTTGGGTGAGTTTGAGGGGTTGGTATTGGAAAAGGAGGGTTGGTACTGTGAAAGGAGACTTGGTACTGTGAAAGGGGGTTTGGTGTTGGAAAAAAGCGGGTATAGTACTGAAAATGGATTTGATACTGAAAAACGGGTATAGTACTGAAAATGGATTTTGGTACTGGGCAGGGTTATTACTGAAAATGGGTTTTATACTGAGGGAGGGGTAGTACTGAAAATGAGTATGGTACTGCCAACGTATAAAATATGTAAAAAACCTGTTTTTAGTTAATTTGAAAACGTTTTGAAAGTGGAAGTTGAGTGGAAGATTTGTAATGTATTTTGCACTGAAAATTTTCCACCCAACTTCCATTTTTAAAATGTCTTAAAATGGCCTAAAAACAGGTTTTTGACCATTTTTAGAAGTGGGATTTTCGTGGAAGATTTTCAGTGCAAAATACATTACAAATCTTCCACCAAACTTCCATTTTTTAAAAATGCTAAAAACGTGTTTTTGGTCATTTTAAGAAATTAAAAATATTGATTTTAAAAAAATTTAATTTAGCTAAATTTGACATTTCAGAAGACCTCTTCAACGGCCAGCTCAACTTCGATGACGAACCCACCTCAAGCACCCAGTACACAAGACCATACCAACCGAACATCATGGATATGAGTCTACAAGAGAATCAACCAATCTTCAACTTGGGCTCACAAACTGCAGCTCCATCTGTTGTAGCTGATTCTGAGGCCACGGAGACTTCAGAGAGAACTAGAGCTGTGGTGCTGACTAGGGATACCTTCTTTAAGTAAGTTCTTGGTTTGGAATGGTACTACGGATCCCTAGGATAACTAGGAGAATATGGGTAGCGGTAGGAACTAAAGATACCTACCGCTACCCATACCCTTCCTTACCTCTACTCCAATTGCACTACAATTTCAAACTGGATTTCAATTTTTTTTCAGAGAATTCACCTTCGACCCAGCCTGTGTGATCCGCCTCGATTACGTGGGCAAACGAGTCAAAACGGATCAAGGCGCCTTCCTCGGCTTCCTAATTGGCATGACAAGCCTAAAGTGCACGGAAATCACGTTGAAAGAACTGAAGAACGATCGAGGAGTCCTCGGCTTCAATAAATGTGTCCAATTCGCATTGGATCAATGGCTTCAGGACATTAGAAACAACCAAATACCGAATGTGGTCGGCAGTTATCAACCCATCAGTTCATTGGTCCAAATTGGTAAGGGTTTTGGGGTTTTTAAGCTTGATTAATTTAGATTTTTAAGGCTTTGGGGGGTTGATTTTTTTTATTTTTATTACCTAAATTTCAATTTTAGGTAACAACTTTGTTTTGAATATGAAATTTGTAGCCATGGTTGTTGTTATCACTTAAAAGTGATTTTTTGTTACCTAAAATTCAATTTTTTGGCTTAAAACTTTATTTTGTTACCCAAAAAGTTCAAAATTTTTAAAAAGTCTAAAATTAGGTAAAAATCTTCAAATTTTCCTAACAAGTCATTTAGGATCGTGTTTAACATCTCCAATTCGTTATGTTATCAAACAGTCCAGTCCAACTCTCAGGTCTCTGATTCGAATGGCTTTAATCAACCTAGTCAAGTCTACGTCTGAATATTGCTCTCCAGCGTCTGTACATTACTAACATAATGTTTAATATAAATATATTGTGATATGTCTGGTTATGTTATGTGTTTTGAAGGCTTTAAGATGCCTGCATGCCTTTATCACTGCCTCACAATAGCCTAACTTACCTTTCCCTACGTTTTCCTATCTTACACTAACCGGATCTTTTCTACTTTGACCTACCTAGCTTTACCCCTGCTTACGTAGCTCTGTCCTGTTAATTATCTGGCCTAGAAAGGGCCAAATTTTAATTTTTTTTAAAAAATGATACCTAAAAGTAGTGGAATGTAAATCTAATCTCTTTAAAACAGTCTTAACAACCTTGTTTTCTTACAGCTGACGGCATCTCTAAAGCCTTAACATTCCAAGAGATTTTACTATGCACATTTCCACTGGGGTTTTTGACGGTCCTCCAGTGCACGGTCTATCGGGCGGCACTGTATAATCTAGGCAGTACGTTAAAGTCATTTACATACTATATCTTAAGCTTTATTTTGGCATTTTTACTAACAACTCATAGAAACTTTGAAAACAATAACCGTCAATATGAACCTAAATACCCTTTTACAAAACAGCTATATAATTCTGTGACGAAAATTGAATTGATAGTTTTATATTTTACACCATTATTTGTTTCAGCCCAAGGCATCAGAGACCTCTTCTATATCCCCTTGGTGGAGATGCGAAAAGAGGATGGTCGTATTGTGCGTGGCATTCAAAAAGGTGCTACCAGTTTTGGTATTAGCACGGCCACTGCGGCAATCGACGCGACACAACAAGTGTTTAGCGTTATTCAGGTAAATATTTATACAATGAGGATTTACATAGAAGCAAAGTTAATATAGTAAACAACCTTCATGAGCAAAACAAAGCGATTAAGTCAAGATTTACCGAAATATAAATGAATAATAATTTTAAAAACCATGCTTGAAGAAAACAAGAAATTAAACACAACATCAATATAAAAACACTTTTGAACATTACATTTCTAGACCGCAGCCGAGCTAGCCTTTGACCTAGTGACCCCCGACCTACCGTACCGTGACCACCGTCGACCACATCAACAGCTCACGGTAGCTAGAGGCCGGCAAGTACCTTCAGATCTACGTGAAGGTATTCACCTCGCCTACGACACTGTCTACCAAGGCGTGCGCGAAACCGCGTTTGAACTAACGCAAGCGGCTAAAGAAGACCGTGCCAGAGTACGTCACAGTACGAACTCGACCGACTCTGGTGGCCCAACTTTCTGGGGCTTCAGAGGTTTGCTACGGCAAATGACTCCGACGGCAATTAGGCCGTTTGTGATTTCCTCACAAGCGGCCGTTCAAGTGTTGGCTGGTATGAAGAACCAGCTGAAGCCCGAGGATCATAAAGAAGAACTCGGCAAGTGGAGACAACGGAACAGTCAAAAGAAGCGGCGTCACGAACGACGTTAGCCGTTTTAAAGATTTTGTTAAAAAATGTCTTTGCCACATAATTCTCAAATGCGTATTCTGATTTATGAAATTTTTGTGTTAATGTCTGTATGAAACATTCATTACAATGTTGCTCAAATTCCTAACCCTTTCCTCGAATCCGACTACCTGGAATATTGTTAATTGTATTCTAAAACCCAGAATATTGTTAATTGTATATTGTTAAATATCATTTGTACATTATATTTTTCCTATCACATCCGCATGTATGTATCACTCCCTTTACAGTTTGTTGGCGCTGTGTTTATAGTATTCTTCACGGGGTACTTTTATGCAGGTTTTCTATTTGAAGCATTTTTTGTAAATAAACTTGAAAATGAATACTGAGCGATACTGCTTTACCAGGCCATTAGTTATATAGGGTATACAAAAGGACAAGGGTGACTAAAACGTAAAATAATTTATAGTAATGTAGAACAGACTGAAGTAAAACCTAATAAGCCTGAAGACATTGCTCTAAAAAGACTTTTTAAACATTATGTCTTTGATGTTTAAGGAATGTTTCGACGGACAATTATAAAATTTTACGGAGTTCCAGCTGAGCTGTGATTAAAAAACGGATAGTGATGTACATGAACATACATTTGTCAACGTTGCTATGTTGGCAGAACGTCAATTTATTTAGCGTTTTGGAAGTTAAAATTATTGTTTTTGCTGATAATTTTCTAAAATGGGCTGCAGTAGCTCTCGATGTTGTCAACGTCGCGGAAAGCACAAGATTTTGCCTAATGGCGTGATTGTTCCGGCTTTTAAAAATATTAAAAAGGTATGCGATGTAAAATAAGTAGTAAATAGATGTAAGAAAATATATATGTCATCATTATAATATCTCAAAACTCTAGAATATACTATCTCAGTACTCTAGAAAAATAATTTTTAAAGCTAATATTAAGGTAGACAGCAAACCCCAGTTAAAAAATCAGAAGCTGGAGGCAACAAAAAGTAATGCTGAAGAGAAAACCAAAGATAAAGATAACGAGAAAGATAGAGAAACCAAAGTTGAAAGAAGAAACAGTACATTTGATTACTTTATGGGTACGAACATTAGTCTAGAATGGCTATTGGAGCAAATTGGGGAAAAGTTTCATGCTGAATTTGCCACTAAACCTACGTGGATTATTGAGAGACTAAATCAATATACAGAAAAAGGTAACATTCTTAATCTTTTTTTCACTTATTCTTGGTCTTCGCCTCACTTATCTTATAACTTATAGACATTGACAAAACCTCGGTGGTAAGAGTGTCTTTTGGATGGGATAATGAGGAGCTTCCAAAGAGTGTTGTCCTCAAGATCTCAAATAAGCGTATTGGAAGCAAAAATGAATCCGAAAATTTGGCCGGGAATTTGTTCAAAAAGTAAATTTTAGTTTACTATTTACTGTAACGACGTAGTATTTTCTGTAACTACATAGTGTATGCGCTTTACATTGCTTACACACTGTATAATAACAAATGGATTGTTCACACATTGTATGGTAACAACTCTGACTTTTAGAGAATGCAATACATACGAATGGCTTCAAAAGGTTAAGCGGGCTCGGATACCGAAAGTTCATTTGATACGGGTAAGTTAGGCTACGTGTCGTATCTGTGCATTATAATCAACAGCTCAGTAGCTAGAGGTCGTCAAGTACCTTCAGATCTATGATCCAAAATGAACGAATTATATAAACCAACGTGTTCCAAACAGAACAAAGAAGTATATAAAAACTTATAGTCCACATTCACAATAAACAACGAAGAACCACTAATCTTTATGGAAGACCTGACTGAACGTTCCAAACCTCTCGAACTGGATGACCCAGTAGAACTTGACCTAATCCGAGACCTACTAAAACAGCTAGCACAAGTTCACGCAGCCTCATTTTTACGACCAAATGAATGGAAAAATGACATTGAGCCAAACCCAAAGTTGTTTTACACAGAACTAGCCGAGCTAGTCGAGTCATCCACAACTGGTTGGACTAGTTTAGGGGATGCAAAGTTTAAAAAGTTGATGGAATTTGTGAATGGTGAATATATGGATAAGACTGTCAAAGAGGGGTGTAAAGAGTTGGGTGTGGATGAGTGTTTAGTTCATGGCAATCCTATTGCCAGAAACTTTTTTGCTGCTGCTGATGATAAACATGTGGCGGCTATTGTGGATTGGGTTCGTAAGTGTAGTTTTTGAATTTTTAGGGTAGGGCCGGGTTGTAGGGTACAGTAAGACATGCTAGTTTAGGGTGGGGTCAGTATGATTATTATAAAGTATAAGCCTGTAGGGTTTGTAGGATGACTATGGGATATAAGACTATAGAATTCATTAAGAGAACTATAAAGTACTAAAGAATACAGTATTCTGAGGCAACTTAGTAGGCTTCAACTTTCAAAAAGTAAGCTTTTAGAAGCCCATCCAGGATGTTTCGCTGAAGATGTGGCTAAAGCAATATGTTGGAATTTGGCTCCAAAAGACCGATATCTAAATCAACGCAAGCTATTAGAACATTACCACTTCAATTTACTAAAGTATAGTGAAGGCAAAGCCAATAAAATAACGATGGAAGTAATCGAAGCCGGCTTCAAATACTTTTTGCCATTTGTAGCTGTATGTTACCTAATATACCTACCTGACGACTTGTCTCATGCTTCTATAAAACAATTAGAATTGGCACAAGTGCTACTAGATGACGGATTAAACGATTGTAATGGTGGATATTCGTTCTTAGAGAATGATGATGATGTTAATAGTGAAGATGTTGAAAATGAAGAAGATACGATTAAAGATGACAATGGTATGAAATGTTTAGAACTTGTTTAGTTTTGAATTTAGGTAGGGGTTTTTGTAGAGCAACTTTAAGTTATTTAAAATTGATGTTTTAGAAGGAACATTCATCAAAGCTACAAATGAAGTGATACACTTGAACAATGTGTGTGGTGTGCTACAAGATTCAGAACCTTCGAAGCCATCTGATGAAAAAAATGAAGGTTTGAAAGCTTCTGAAGACTTACAAAATCAGGGTAATGAAAATTTTCTGTTGACTTAAACTTAGAAGGCTTAGTAGGCGTAGGCTCAAGCTTAGCAAGACTATGGTTATTAGTCTTTGACTTAATCGCACACTTAGTAGACCTATCCTCCGGACTCTTAGGGCTCAGACATACTATGCTTAGGTCTATCTGACTTTAATAATGACATCTTGAAACACTACGAGTTCGGTTTATGCACTCATAAAGCATGGCAGATAACACTTAGTTCCTCGCGGAAAATTGGAGCAAAATCCCAACACTCGCAGTCACTTGTTGGGTCGTTTTACATCGAGGTAAATATTACAAAAAACGTCAATATTATATAAGAAAAAGTTGCGCAATACGATTTCTTGCAATTTCTCTAAGGCTATCTAGTTATATCATCAATATTAGGTAACCCGCAGAAATTTGATCAGCCTTTTGTTGGTAATGCTCAGGTTTACAAGGCTATGGTTAGTAGGGTTAAGCGTAGTTTTGTAGCCGGCTTAGTAGGCTTAGGCTTAGTAGGCTTAGGCTTAGTAGGCTTAGGCTTAGTAGGCTTAGAATTAGTAGGCTTAGGCTTAGTAGGCTGAGGCTTAGCAGGCTTTAAGCTTAGTTGGCACAGTTGTATTATACTGTTTAATATTAGCCTTTGGCTATCATTGGTATAGTTCAACCAATTTTTAGAGTCCCAAAAAGGTACAGCAGAACAGCCTGTAGCCTCTCAAGTACAAGGCAATGATACAAATCCGTTTGCAGACCCAACAGCAGATCACGTTGTGAATCTAGTGGAAATGGCAATGGAAAACGAAAACGAGGTGATTGAAGAACCAATTGATACGACTATTTTAGCAGCGGTCGAGAAGTTACAAGAAGGCCCAGGAGACGTTGCGCAGCCGGCTGAGACTGAAGGCACACAATAAAGCTACAGTATGACATTGTACATAACTTTTTGAAATTTTTTGACATAAAATTAAAATTTTTTCGTAAAGAAAGTCCTTGTCATTTTTTTCTTTGTAAAGAAAGTTCTTGCCGTTTTTAATTTGTAAAGAAAGTTCTTGCATGTTTTGTTTTGTAAAGAAAGTTCTTGCTATTTTCTGTTTTGTAAAGAAAGTTCTTGCCATTTTTTGTTTTGTAAAGAAAGTTTTAGTCTTTCTAAGTTTTGTAAAGAAAGTTCTTGTTATATTTTGTTTTGTAAAGAAAGTACTTGCCATTTTCAGTTTTGTAAAGAAAGTTCTTGCTACTTTTTGCTTTGTAAAGAAAGTTTTGCCATTTTATCGTTTGTAAAGAAAAATTCTTGTCATTCTATGTTTTGTAAAGAAAGTTTTTGCTATTTTAAGCGTTGTAAAGAAAGTTCTTGTCAATTTTTTGTTTTGTATAGAAAGTTCTTGCCAATTTTTCTTTTAAAAATAGGAAATGACAAAATGTGACCAAACCCGAGTCCAAACCCTAAATTACGTCAAAAGTGTAATTTAGCTAAAAGTTTCACGTCAAGTGGCGTGTCAAAATTTATTCCCATGCCAATTTAAGGAACTAAGAAATAGGAAAAAACCGTCTTTGAGTTTAAGTTTGAGGAAGACTGTTGGGTTTTCTTTGGGTTTTGAAGCTTTTTGATGTCTTAATATAGCTCTTGAAAGATTGTTTTAGGGTTATATTGAGATAGGGAATAGTGCAAGGTGTGATCAAGGGGGTAGTGTAGACCCCCGGCTGGGTTGTGGAAAAACGTTTAGGGTATGACATGGATCGGTATGAAAGATAATTCAAAATATTGTAGTAAGGTAGGGTGGGGTATAGTAGGCTAAAGTAGAGTAAGGTCCGGCATGATAGGGTAGGGCATGAAAGATGATTTAAAAAATTATGCTGATCATTGTCGAATTAGCGATCTAAGTTAACATAAAACGTAGATTATAAGCCATAGTATAGATTAAAGTGTAGAGTAAAGCACGGAGGATAGAATAGGTTAGGTATGGAATAGCTATGGCCTGATAGGTACAGGCTAGTTAGGCTCCGTTTTAGTAGACTAAGGCTTGATTTCGTAATAGGCTTAGTAAGCTTAGGCATAAAACTCTTTAGCGTGATAGATTTTGGCTCAGTAGGCTTAGGCTACATAAGGCATAGTATAAGCCACAGGGTATATGTAAGTTGTAGAAATGAAGGGTAGAGGGGTAAGGTAGGGTAGGGTAAAGTAGAATAGGGTATGGCAGAGTTGGATATAAGAAAGGGAATGTTGTTTTAGGTTTGCTTTTGCAAATTAATGATTGTTCTTTTAGCATGTGTTTACTTCTTTGGTATCAAGTAACATCCCAATTAATTTTTTGTTGTTTTTACACTTATTTTTAGGTTTTCCAGATTACTATGCCTGCTACGCTTGAAACACATGAAGAAAGGAGGGGTTCTATTTATGGTATGGTCATTTTATTCATTTTTAAAATTAAAAATTTTTTTTATAATAAAAAATGTCATTTCAGCTCTGTCCAACTCCTCGTCCTACTCAAACCTAGCCGAATCCTTCAATATTCACCATGACATTCTACCGAACAAGCCTAATGAACCTAATTTCAAATTAGGCTTGGAGCCAATTGATGGAGCTTGCTTTCGAATCGACCAGAGCTCATCAGAACCTGCTCATATCAATGTATTCTTGGAGAATAACACTGATCAACGCCAGACTTTTAAGGTAGGCTTCTTTTAGACTCCTACCCCTACCATTATCTCTTCTCTAGTTTGCCATGCCCTGCTTTATATTACCATGCCCTGCTTTGTTTTACCATGCCCTGCTTTATCTTACCATGCCTTGCTTTGTTTTACCATGCCCTGCTTTATTTTACCATGCCCTGCTTTATTTTACCATGCCCTGCTCTATTTTACCATGTCCTGCTCTATATTACCATGCCCTGCTTTATTTTACCATGCCCTGCTCTATTTTACCATGTCCTGCTCTATATTACCATGCTCTGCTTTATTTTACCATTCCCTGCTTTATTTTGCCATGTCCTGCTTTATTTTAACACGCCCAGCTGTAGTTTACATATAGGGCATAGTTTTTGCCCCCCCCTCTTGTTCCCTTCCTTATAATGTTTATATCTCACCCCCTCCCCTACGTTAATTTACCTTACCCTACCTACTCTAAACCCCCCTCTTCTTCCAGATCAAAACCACCCTAACCGAAAAGCTTCGTGCCAAGCCTCCGGTAGGCCTAATAGAGCCTCATTCGGAGCTGTCGATACGGTTGTCGTATAATGGCAAAGAGATACCAGATGGTTTACATTACATTGCCATCTACCACATTAAACTACAAGATCAGTCAGATCATGAGCTAAAAGACCTGAGGGAGTTTTGGAAATGTCATCCCAATTTCGATGGAGTTCGACGAATTGTTTTGAATTTCGAAATCGAATTCGCTGATTTTTAAAAATTTAAAAATTTTTTGAAATTTTGAAATTTTTTTAAATTTTAATTTTGAAGTCGTTTTGGGCTTGTCAAACATGTTTAAACTGATAATTGTTGTATAATAAAGACAGTTTTTTTCCAACAATGACCACATCTTTTTATATAAACCCTAAAATGGCAATGTTATAAAAATGGAAGTTGAGTGGAAGATTTGTAATGTATTTTGCACTGAAAATCTTCCACTCAATTTCCATTTTTAAAAAGCCTTAAAATGGCTTAAAAATGACTTTTCGGTATTTTTTAGAAGTGGAAGTTGAGTGAAAGATTTGTAATGTATTTTGGACTGAAAATCTTCCACTCAACTTCCACTTTTAAAATGTCTTGAAATTGGCTAAAAACATGTTTTTGACAAATTTTAGGAAAAAAAAATTTTGTGTAAATTTTTCACCCTTACCCACCCACCAGCCCGCCTCTCCCCCCTCTGCCTAAAAACTTTTTTATCGTGCCTATCCCTACCACTACGCGGATCCTTACCCCGATCCCTTCCTTTACCCATAAACTTATTCATACCCTCGCTTATCCCTGTGCTTACCCCCGCCCATACCCCAGCTTCTATTCTTACCCCTACCCAGTGTTTTGCCCGGACCGGTCCGGAGCGTTTTTCACCGGTCCGGTCCGGCGATTTTCAGGTCCGGTCCGGTCCGGTCCAAACCTCAAATTTTTGGGTCCGGTCCAAACCCAAAATTTTTGGGTCCGGTCCGCTCCGCAAAAAATTTTTTTTTTATTTTTAAAAAAAGCAGGGAGCGCTAAAACTGCTTTCTTTTTGCTTAAAAACACTTAAAAATACATTTTATTTGCAATTTTTAAATCATTTCTATTAAAATAAAAAGAAATTTTTCTTCCGGACCGGTCCGGAGCTTTTTCTTCGGTCCGTCCGGTCCGGCAAAACACTGCCCCTACCCCTGTTTTCCTAAACCCTTCTCAAGCCAAATCGTATTTTTTTGTTTTTCTAAATTTTCCGTCAACTTTTCGACCGTTAACGCCCAATTAACCGTCAATTAAGCCCCCCGTTTTCGCGCGCATATTGCCGAAAATGAGCCGCAATAAAATAAAAAAAAAGTTTTTCCAAATCGAAGTGACCTTCACAGTTCTCGATCATTTTTCACGTTCGCTCATCAGCGTTTGAAGGCCGGCTTATAGTGGTAGATTTGAATTTTGCATTATTTTTGGGGGTGCGACGGCTTTAATCTATTGTAAATGGCGTTGTAAAGAAAGTTTTTGAACTTTTTTGATTTGTAAAGAAAATTCTTGCCACTTTTTGCTTTGTAAAGAAAGTTCTTGCTATTTTGTGTTTTGTAAAGAAAGTTCTTGCCATTTTGTGTTTTGTAAAGAAAGTTTTTGCTATTTTTTGTTTTGTAAAGCAAGTTGTCGCCATTTTAGACTTTGTAAAGAAAGTTTTTGCCATTTTAAGTTTTGTAAACAAAGTTTTTGCTGTTTTAAATTTCGTAAACAAAGTTCTTGCAATTTTGTAATTTCAACAAGCTTCCGTTTACACTATTCGGCAGGCTGCGGGGGCCAAGTTATAGGATTTTGAAATTTTACTGTTTCTAGACTTGTAAAGAAAGTACTTGCCATTTTTTGTTTTGTAAAGAAAGTTCTTGCCATTTTTTGTTTTGTAAAGAAAGTTCTTGCTATTTTTTCTTTTAAAGCAAAAAAAACATTTCAGGCCGCTCGAAAATTAGCTAAAACAAGGATTGTCAGCGTCCCTCTTCAATGATTTGGACGTAAAATTTTTGGGACAAAATAAAAGCCAGCGGCCAAAAACAGGCTCGAAGAGCCCGCAAAGTTTTGACTCAATTTGGGCCGGAAAAATTAAATAAACCCGGTGAAAGATGGGCCGAAAGTTTTGGGATAAAGTCTAGAATGGTGTTTTGGGAGAGGTTTTAGGCTTATTTATCATGCCCTTTATGAGGGTTTTTAGGGAGAGGGGGTTTAGAAAATGGATAGAGCTAAAGTAAAGATGGGCTAGGGCCAAGGTTAGGGCTAAGGCTAGGGTCAAGGCTAGGTCTAGGGCCAAGGATAGCGCCAAGGCTAAAGCCAAAACTAAAGCCAAAGTTAGGTCCAAGCCTAAAGACAAGCCTCGGGGAAGCCTAGAACCAAGCCTAGGGCCAAAGCTACGGCCAAGGCAAGGGCCAAGCTTAGGGCGTAGAATTGGGGCGAGTCTAGAGCCAAGCCTAGCGCCAAGCCTATTGTCAAGCCTAGAACCAAGCCTAGGGTCAAAGCTATGGCCAAGGCAAGGGCCGAGCCTAGGGCCTAGACTAGGAACAAGCATAGGGCTAAGGCTGGGTCTAAGCCTATTGTCAAGCCTAGGAACAAGCATAGAGCCAAGACTAGAGCTAAGGCTAGGGCCAAGACTATGGTTATAGCTTTACTATGGTTTACTTACTATTAGCTTTTTTTAATTTTTTAATTGTTTTTGCGATGCATTATACCTTGATAGTAATATAGTAGAGGTGGATAATATCACAGAAAACAACGGTGATATTATTCATAGTCCGGATTAACTGAAAAATGCGTTTTTCAATGATCTTTTGTTTATTTTATTACTGTGCCAGAGCTAGGACTAAGGATTTGGGCTATGGCTAGTTTTTGTATATAATATTTTTTTGTTTTGTAGACTGCCAACGGTTGAATCTTTTTTAATTTTAACTACATATAACAAACTTTAACTATTAGATTGTTTATTTCCTTTTTTTCGAATTTCAAAATGCTTGTTTGAACCAGTGACGATTCGTTTTTGAGTCAAATAAAGGGAAGGGGAAGAATTGAAGAAGAGGAGAGGGAGACGGTTGGCTGTAAGATGCCAAAACAGCGAATCAGAAATGACTTTAGGCTTTCTTTTCAATTTTAACAGGTTCTATACCGCCTTTTCTCAAAAAAAAACATTTTGCCCCGCCCAACATTTTTTATTTTTACCCTGCCTGCTTGCTTAATTTAATATTTTTTTACCCTGCCCAAAATTTTTACCCTGCCCAAAATTTTTATCCCGCCCACAATTTTTTACTCCGCCCATTTTTTAGGCTACTCAAATTTTCTCGTCCCACTGTAATTTTTCTATCCCGCTTAAGCTTTTTTACTCTGCCTAAAATTTTTACCCCGCCCACATTTTTTTGCCCCGCCCGACTTTTTGTCTTGCCCAATTTTTTTACCCTACCCAAATTTTCTTATCTCACTGTAATTTTTCTACCTCGCTTAACTTTTTTTTACCCTGCCCAATTTTTTTACCCCGCCCAAATTTTTTTACCACGCCTAAATTCTTTTTTAAATTTTGAAAATAAAACATTTAAAAATTAGTTAGTTGGGCCATTTTATAATTATTTATCAAGTTTTCTACGGCTTCACCTTAATAATAATAATTGTGCGGACTTTCACGCCATTCCCCTTGAGGGCATTCTAATGGGTAGTGTAATGAAAATATTTAGAAATGTAGTATTGATTTTTAAAGCTTTGAAGGTACAGCCTGTTTTGAACGCTTATAACTTTTTCTACTTTACCACGCCCTTTAGTAAACTAGTAGTGGCCAGCTTTAGCCCAGAGCCCTAGCCCAGAGCCCTAACCCAGAGCCCTAGTCCAGAGCCCTAGTCCAGAGCCCTTGCCCAGAACCCTAGTCCAGAGCCCTAACCCAGAGCCCTAGCCCAGAGCCCTAGCCCAGAGCCCTAGCTTCTGCTCTTTGATCTACCCCCAATAGCTCTTGCCCTAGCCCCTACTCTACTTTACCCTAACCTACCTTACCCTGCTCTATACTGGCCTTGTTTCTCTTAAGCCCGTCTTTTCTCTAGAAATGGGGAAGGGGTTGGACCGGGCTTGAACAAAATAAAAAAACGGGCCGGGCCTAAACTACAGATCCGATCGTTTTGACCCTTATTTTACTACTACCCTACCCTACCCTACCCTATTCTACTTTATACTAACTCATTCCCCATGCCTCGGTCAAACCGACTGCGTGGAGCCGTGTATCCCACGAATGTTTATTTACCTTTCCCTTTTACATTTAATATAATCCCAAAATTCTCTTTAGGGACGGTCGAGTGGTTTCCCATTGTTTGTTCGCTTATTAGATACATTCAGCGCTCGAATTTAAGTTTATTTACGAGTTGGGGAGGGGTGGATCAGAAATTGTTATGATGACTCATTTTACTCTGTCATTGGTTACTATGGTATGACGTTACTTTATAGGTTTTTATAGTTTGACGTTAGTCTATTGATTACTATGGTTTGATGTTTCTCTATAGGTTACTTTTGGTTGACATTAATTCACTCATTTTAAAAGTTTTAGGCAAAAACTTTCTTTAAAGAACAAAAAATGGCAAGAACTTTCTTTCAAAAACCTTGAAACTCAAATTTAAGTAATGGAAGTTGAGTGGAAGATTCGTAATGTATTTTGCACTAAAAATCTTCCACCGAATTTCCACTTTTAAAAACTGTCAAAAACGTGTTTTTAATTTATTTTAAGACATTTTAAAAATGAAAGTTGAGTGGAAGATTTCCAGTGCAAAATACATTACAAATCTTCCACTCAACTTCCACTCTTAATATTTGATTTTCCAGTGTTTTGTAAAGAAAGTTCTTGCCATTTTTTTATTTTGTAGAGAATTGTTTTGTAATGAAATTTTCTGTTATTTTTGTCATCATGACGAAAAAGCCTGTCATCATGACGAAATATATGCGCTTTGAGTGCTTTTCAAGTTTTTTTTTAATTTTGCCAATTTCTGTCGAATCCAGAGAATCTGGAAAAGGGCTTCTAAAACAAACAAAAAGTAATTAAACTGGGATTTTTTGAAATTTTTATGGATTTTCATTTTGTTTCTGAGGTCAGTCTTAAATACTAACAAAAAAAACGATTAAAAATTTTTTATCCACCCCCAAAAAAATTTACCCCGCCCAAAATTTTTTTGCATTTTTTGGTTGTTTGTACTGTGATAAACCTCCTACACCTCTTTTTTCACTTCAGATGTCCTCAATTTTGTTGTTATGCTCAATTATATATCGATTGTCACCTAAAATTCCCCAAAATTCCCAAAAATGTTTTTTGAAAATTCGACCCTGCGGCTAATTATGCGTCGATCTCGAATTTCCCAATGTTTTTTATACTTTTTTACACTCTCGAATTGTATAAAAATGAGTCAGTTGGTTGGGAAAGTCGTTCCGTTTCCAACTGTCATACAATAAAAATTGAGCGCGCGAGTTTTACAATCAACTTTGCTTTAGGGTTTTAATCAACTTTTTGGTATTGTAAGAGGAGATTTTTTCAAATATGGTAAAAAGGTCTTTTGTTGTGTTAATACAGTTAATTTTTTCATAAATTTTGGAATTTAAATTGCGTTTTTGACCAGTCTACTTATGTTGACCATGAGGATTCTTACCTGTTCCGAAAAATCACTTGCCCTGAAGCCCAAAACTTTCATACAGCCCTAATATTTTCACGGTCTAAACTAGGGCTAATAGTATACATTATATCTAAAAACTGGCTTCAAGTACTCATTTTTAAAAAAGGTACAGTAACCTGAAATTGTAGTTGCTGTTCAAAGAAATGACGCTTGAATTCAAACATTTTCCACGAGTTTTGAGAAAATTGATTTATAGTAATTTAAAAGCTGTTTAAATTATGACATTTTGCAAAACTTCACATTTTTTGAACTATTGGCTTTTAAGTTACATCAAAATGAAGGTTCGTTGCACTAAAATATCGGAGGGTCCGCAAGTTTTAAATCATCATATCTTTGCCAAAACTTCTTGGATGAGTATAAAAATTTGGTAAAAGGTGGGCAATATCATTGGCTACGAATCTGTTATTTTAGTTTTTAAAAATGTTTTTAAAATTTTTCAAAATTTTAAATTTAGTCGGCCAAAGCTGCTTTTTTCAAAACTTGGCCATTTCACCTAAAACGTAATTTTTATGCTAAAACTGATAAAGAAATGCCAAGAAAGGTTTGAAATTTAAAATACCACTAAAATTCCATATTTTCAACACCTTTTATTTCCAATGTTGTTCCCCACATTAACCGTAGCAATTATAATTTTATTGCGCACAGCCTTTTTCCAGTTTCCTCTGATTGGAATTCTCGTTAAGATTTGTGGAAAACACTTTATTACAGAGCACACAGATGGTTTTAATTCTTTCCACTTGGGTTAATAAAACAAGTTGATGTTTTGTTTTTGAGTTTTTGGGAAGTTTCTGGGTATGGCGAGGGTTTTTGGGCTGTTTTTGAGGGATTTTAGGCGGTTTTTGTAGGTTTTTGGCTGTTTTTTGAAGTTTTTGATTAGTTTTGATCATGTAAACTATTTTTCTATATTTTACCTTCCGTATTTTGTCAAGCTCCACCAATTTCAACTATATTTCAACACTGCTTTTTGCTGAGCCAACTCTCTCTTTTCTGCTTTTCATTTGGTCAAGTCTTTCTGTTGGCCGAAAAATTGCGATTATTCAACTTCGTCGATGTAAACCTCTATTCCTTGATAATTTTGATGTTTTGAATTGCCTTTTGTTGATAGTAACATTAAAACTACGTTCTTCTAATTATTATTCATCTTTTCAGGTAAAACGAACGATCTCGGCATCATAATACTCGACATATTGTTACGATGAACCGCTCCGAAACAGCTCGCGAGGCCGCGATATCAGTGTTGAAGGATTCTGGATCAAAGGTATGTGTTTTTATTATGTTTTTTGGATTTTAGAAGCTAATGGCAGCAAGAAATGGCTGGAACTTCGAGAAAGTAATGAGATACGGAAAATTTATATTGTTATAGATAGATGTAGGCGAAATTTTAATTAAAATGAATTATTTGTACTAGTTTTTGATCCAGTTTTATATTCCTTAGGAAGATTTAAGTTGTCTTAACGTTTTCAATGTAAACTTAGGTTTTTTGGATTTGTAAAAGTTGAGTTATGGCCGAAAATCAAGGGTAACCTTAAAAATTACCTAAAATCTCTCATTCTGTTTTAATTTTAGGTAATACTGATGTTAAAAGTACCTGGACTGAAGCGACAAAAGTCACTAATCAAGGCATTGATCAGACTTTTCAAAAAACCCAATGATCCTTTCACATTGTCGACCAATGCACAGTTTGTCAACTACGCTCTAACAAATGGATCGTTGGACTTCTCAGTGGACGTCTACGAAAATCAGAAGGCGTTAAAAGACAGATCAGAAGTCAAGCAGAACTACTTTTGCAAAATCAATCAGTTTCCATCGAGAATAAACCCGGAGAGCGCCGAGTTCGAGGTAATTTATATTATTCATGAGGATTTGATAGGGGTTCGGGAAATTCGATGTTTTCGTGGTAAACTACGTGTTTTGTTGGTGAATGGTGTTTTATGATAGCAAAGAGGCTTAGCAACTTTTTTTAATAGTTTTTGAACTGTTTTATTGCAATTTTTAGCAGTATTGAGCACTTATATTATTCATGGTGCTTTTGGCAGAGGTTTTGGGAAAATTTAATATTTTAGGTAACATTAGAGTTTAAGTTAAACTTATGCGTTAGTAAGACGAAACAGACCGTATCCAGGGACGTCGCTACGGTGTTTTTCTCTGGGGGGTGGAGACCCAAAAAATTTTCACAGGTAGGTCCACAGTACCTGTGGACCGATTTTTCGAAACAAAATTTTTTCGTTTTTTCACGTACAGGTACCTGTGGATTTTTTTTCGGATCGGCTCTGGGGGGGGGGGGGGGGGGGAGTCACCCCGAAATACGATGTGTAATTAATTTTAATTGTTCAAATTTCAGTTGGTCGAAGGAGCTTCAGGCGATTGCTACTTTCTACTGACAGCTATCAAATTGGACAACCTCAACACGAATTGGAAGGAGTACCAAGCAACAAATGGAACTTTGGACATCGCAGAAGTATAATAAATATCATTGCCATCGTTATATCGTTTATAAATTGAATATAATTATTAATCAACGTTTTTAAGCATTGGCTTTTTTGATTTTGATGGATGTTACTGGATATCGCCAAATTGTAATCAAGGTCATTGCCATTGTTATATAATTTTAAATAAACTATTAATAAAAGTTGTTATATTGGTTATAGGTATGGAAAGTCATTGTGCCTCAACAATCTCACTTTATCTCTATAAAAATAAGGAAAAAAGCCTTGCCTTGCCTATAAATACCCTCTAACTGAAACTTTATGTCTAAAACCACCCCTTACTCAAATTTAATGTGCTTCACGTTCGGTCCGCTTTTATGAAAAGTGGAACTCAGGAAGGCAAGAAACTGCGCCCGACATTTCGCAAACTGCGGACATTTCGCGTGCATGAATTATACGAAAAAATTACAGTAATATTTGTTATAGATAAAATTTTGAAAAATGGTCTGTAAATACAAAAGATAATGACATTTAAATACTCTGTGCAAAAAATTGTACACCAACTCAAAAAATTGAATGAGATATACATCAACGTAAAATTTTCTACATTAAAATATTTTTTTTTGACGTACTGTAACTTTTTTTTGAAGTCAGATTTCAAAAAGTTCTCTATAATTATTAAAGAGAATTAAATATAAAACATACGTATTAAAAATTGCAGTTTAATTCCTATAATTACAGTACTTCTACATTAATGATAGAGGTACGGAATAGTGTGATATAATGTTATAAAATAAGAAGCTAGCGTGCGCTGTGCATGGTATAGAAGGGTATTCTCAGTAAAGAAATATAAGAGTAGCGTGTAGTAAAATAGGGTACTGAGTACGGTAGAGTAGAGTAAAGTAGAAGTAGGGTAATATAGAAGTAGAGTAGGATTAAGGTAGGACAAAACAGGAATGGCAAAGTGAGGTAGAGTAGGCTAAGATAAGATAGGGTAGTTCAGAGAAATTTACAGTGAAGTATGGTACAGGAGGGTAGGGTAGATTAAGGATAAGACAAAGGGACGAGTTAAGAAGATGTAGGTAGGGTAGAGGCAGGGTAGGAATAAGATTTAGAGTACAGACATTGACAGAGTTAGTAGTAGACATGAGAAACGGGCCGGGCCCAATTTTCAAGCCCGGCCCGTTTTTGATTTTGGTCAGGCCCGGCCCGATCAGAAAATTTCTAGGCCCGGCCCGTTTCTCATGTCTAGTTAGTAGTAGAGTTAAACATAGAACGGGTAGAGGTAGAGATAGAATAGGGGTAATTTTTAAGGGTAGGGGTAAGGGTAAGGGTAGGGGTAGGGGTAGGGGTAGGGGTAGGGGTAGGGGTATGGGTATGGGTATGGGTATGGGTATGGGTATGGGTATGGGTATGGGTATGGGTATGGGTATGGGTATGGGTATGGGTATGGGTATGGGTATGGGTATGGGTATGGGTATGGGTATGGGTATGGGTATGGGTATGGGTATGGGTATGGGTATGGGTATGGGTATGGGTATGGGTATGGGTATGGGTATGGGTATGGGTATGGGTATGGGTATGGGTATGGGTATGGGTATGGGTATGGGTATGGGTATGGGTATGGGTATGGGTATGGGTATGGGTATGGGTATGGGTATGGGTATGGGTATGGGTATGGGTATGGGTATGGGTATGGGTATGGGTATGGGTATGGGTATGGGTATGGGTATGGGTATGGGTATGGGTGGTAGGCTCGGGTAGAGAGAAGAGAAAAAGTAATTTTTTGTTATATTACTTAATTTTTCCAAATGTCGCGCAACGTACTATATAGTATCATAAGGCGTACTCGAACGTACGAATAAGCTAAGTTTGATTTTGATACTATGATTTTAATTTTAGCACGAAACCAAATTTTAGTAACAAAAAGTTAAAACAAACACATTTAGTACCCATTAGCTCTTTTTAGTATTAATGTATATTATAATCGCCCATTGTTGCATGTTTCCAAAATTGCAAGCAAAAACGAACTATGTATAAAATTTGTATAACTGAAATTAATTAATTTTTTTTAAATTCAAACTAAAACGCAATCAGCAAATTAATAAATAAAAGGTCTTGCAACGAAAACAAATAATAGCGAAAAATGTGTGGCATTATGTTTCTCCGCCTTCCCAAATTCCAAACGGACCGAACGTGGGCTTGGCAAACTAAATATTTTCAAAATTGTGAGCCGAAGCGGACTAGTGGCGGGAAGCCAAAGCTCCCTGTAAATCAGGAAGAGAGAAGAAAAAGAGAAAAAAAAGGTTTTGCTTTTCGCGCGCAAAAACCGGGGATATTGAGGTTTTTTGAGTCCTCCAGGGCTTTTTCGCCCGTTTTTGATTTTGCTCAGGGCCGGCCCGTTGCTCATGTCTAGTGGCGTTCTGTCTATTGACGTAGGATTTGTCGTTTTTCTGAACAATATTGTTTCAGTAATTTTTTTGAGCCCTTATTGATTGTAGTTGACGTGTTTATACCCTTTTTTAGCACTTATACGAAAACCTTCTAGTTATGTTATGTTCAAATCGATTTTTCTTAATAATAGTTTGGTTAATCGTGATTTAAACGGAAATTTTTTTTTTTGGAACTATATGAGAGTTAAGTTTTCAGGTATAATTACTAATTATGGGTGACGATCTTGCGGCCTTTTTTGCCAAGAAGAAGTCCAAGGGTACCAAGAAGAAGACGATCCGAATGGACGATGTTGTTCAGCAGCTCGAGTCCAATATGAAGTTCGACAAGGTAGGTTATTTTTTTTTACTTTTTTATTGTTTAGGAACTTGGCGGCATTGTTAAGGTTCAGAATGGTTGAAGAAAAATTCAAAAAACCGGTCAAGTTAACTGATGTTTTACACAGAAATGTGCTCTATAATTGTTGAGCAATTATAATAGCAGTTCTTACCTATTTCTATGCTTGCAAGTATTTTAATAGGGTAACGATGCTTACTTTAGTATGAATAATACTATTTTTTCTTCAGGATGGAGGTGAGGACGATGTTCCGTCAAATCAAGATATTTTGAAAACGAATTTGAACGATGAAGATTCTGAATGGATCGGATATGGTTCCAAGCCTTTGAACCTCGCCGGAGAAACAGTTGGAACATTTAACTCAACAGAAGTTGTAGATGAAGAAGTGGTAACTGATAGAGCTGAACGAGAAAGCGCAGTTGTTAAGAAGACCAAAACCTCGAATATACCTTCTAAAGTAAGATACTTTTAATTTTAGAGTTTTGAACTATAATGATGTAGAAAACATAGTTATCAAATAAGTTTAACTTATTCTTATTAAAGACGTCTCATTTTTGATTTAGGACAAATAAGATGCTCCTAAAGAGACCGTTATTGCTATTATTACAACGGCGAAATCAAAGTTTAAGGCCTACAAACCGCCCCAACTTTCAGCACCAGGTCAAAGTTCAGCCTGTACTTTAAAAACGGTGGGTTTAGATTTTCAAGCAATTTATTCTTTTATTCTGAGTGTCATAGGAACGTTGTAATTTAAGGCCGAGGAACTAATTGGAGAATCTGTGGAGCATTTGTTTAATAAGTTTCAATACGTGGGTAGAAAGGGTGTTGCTGAAGATGAATGTAATTTACTTGAAAACATTGTTAAAATAAATCACAATATGATTATTTGTGATGGTATTTACAAAAAAGATGGAATATTACTGAAGGATCCAAATGGTGGTGATCAACCTGCTGTACGAGTTTATGTTCATTTCTGGCGTAATGGCTTTAGTGTTGATGATGGACATTTACAATCCTACATTTCTGCAGATTTTTACTATTTATTGCATTCTTTATCCTTCTGTAACCTAAAAAAATGGCAGAAAAAGCCAAAGACAGATTTAATAATTAAATTGGTCAGTCATTATGATCAGTACTTTAATGTTCCTGAATGTACGACTGAACTTCGTCAAAAGAATAGTTACAATCAGGTCGATCTGCATCTGGAACGTCGTGCTACTGAGTACGTTAAACCAAGACCAGAATATTTTGCTCCCTCTATTCAGAAGAAAAGCAATGTAGTTATTAGAACACATAAAGGTCATCTTTTGCAAAGGAAGTTCTCCGTCACAAGTTGTCGCGGACGTCCGGTCTTTCATTGTCTCGTAAGTTTTGTATTTGTTACCTAATTTTTTAAACCTTGTAAAATATAACAGTTCTAGTGCTTTTTTATGGAATAACATAGTTTTCTTGATGAGTTTTGAAATATAATTGTAATTTTGCTTTAGATCTGTACCGGAATGTGCGTTACAGCCTTTCGAATTGTACACTATTTTCCCTAACAAGCTAATTAAAAATCAATCTATCACTATAGCTGAAGCAGGAATGTTAACGACTCTTACGGTTGTTCAACTTGTCGTCCCAAAAAGTTCCTCACCGCCAAGCCTCCAGTAGACAGGAAGTGGATCATCGAGCACAAGGAGAACACTTCCATATACATGTAAGTGATATTGTTTTTGGTTGATTGAAACTTTTTATTGTAGAACTGGATGTTTTTTAATATTAAGTTTGTTAGTGTATTGTTTAAATCAAGGTTATATTGTTTTTGTACTTCCAGAGACGAGAAATCATCCCTTACTCGACTACCAGACCCAAGGTGCAAGGCTGACCGCCCAAAACCAAAAAGTAAATTTTATATTTTTAGTATTTATTGCTGATTAGAATGAATTGTTGTAGTCATTTCATCTCACTTTATCACTAGTCTCTTTGCCATTCTCATATTTTCCTGCACTCTCTCACCGACTTGACCCCTCCTTCTCTAACTTTGTTATAGTACCGGCGTCCGTTGGCATCTATTATGACATGTTGATTCAAATCTCTAGTGCCGTACCGATGTATATGGCACTAAATGTGATATAAAATGTCGCATTTCTGTGAATTAAAGTCTAACTTGTCATGTCGATGCCAATCCACATCTCTATTCTCAAATCGATGACGATGACATATTTTGTGTTATATCAATGTCATTTCAATGTTTTGTGTCATATTGATGTCATTTCGTGCTCAAATGAAGTTATTGTAAACGTGTCTAACACATTTTGTTTTGTGAATCCAGTTTTGAACCACGGGATCTCTTCACGACCTGATTGTAGTTCAGCTCGTGTTGTTTATGCAATAAACATGTAAGAAATATTGTCGTTTTGTTAAAAACCTGAACTTTGAGACAAGTGGATGCGTGTTCCAACAGTTTCAACACAGTTTGAACTAATCTTTACTCCAAAATGACTTTTTAACGAAAATGCCTTTTCAAATTGACTTGCGCGATGACGTCAAAGAACGGCAATGTTGAATTGTCAAAATAATATTGTTGTAGGGTTGTTGTGATGAAGCAACCATTGTTACACAAGATATCAAAACACACAGACTACTGACAACGTCAAACCTTTGTTAATGTTACAGGTTAACATTGTTAATGACAATAGGAACTCATAAGACATTGTCATTGGTCGTAAAACCACGGTTTGTTACCCTTAACTGCTTCAAATATTAAAATAATAATTTAACCATTGTCTTATAGATCTTATTAAGAAAACAGGTAAAGGTAACCATTAACTACAAGATACCAAAAGTAGTGAGTGTGTTTACTAAGTAATAAAATATATTTACATTATTGTGTCAATGTTACAAGATGTAAAACTAATGTCTAATTACAGAAATTAACAAGTGAGATTAGTAATTTAGTTATGTTAACGTCGTGCTGGTCGGAATTCTTTCGGAGGTATTAGTCGACTTGAGGAATGCGGGCTTAGGGGAAGATGCCACTATAACCTTAAAGTAAAATATAAGCCTAGAACAGAATCAGTAGTAATTAAAAAGATTAAGAAAATTCGAAAAAGAAGAGACCAACACTTTCATTATAAGACCTTAAATTTAATTTAAAATTAAAAAATCTTACTCGACTAGCTGATATTGGTTCAATGACTGACACACTCGAAGATCGTCTCTTTTTGCTTTTCAGAACTGCTGTACTTGGTGTTTGAACACGTTTTCTCGGAGATGAGGTGCCTGGAGATGTTGATGACGTGCCGAATCGTTGTTCGTACTTAACCTATTCTTCTCGCGTTCTTTTCTTAAATTCAATTCTTATAATTTAGTATTTTCTGTCGTCTACAAGCCAAGCTCCATAAATAAAATTAAATCTTTTGAAAACCAGCAAAACCCACCTTAACCTTGGCATTCTCCTTAAGCATCTCTTTTTCTTCAATCATATTAACCGCAAAGTCGTACACCGCCAATCCATTAATAGTGACACTAGGTAGAAGCTCGTTGATATCTTTTAACTGCTCCAGAAACTTCTGTTGCGTCGCTTTCAAAACTTTCTGTTTTTGCAAAGCTCGGTTTAGACATCCACCACGATTCTTCCTGTAGGCTTCTGTTTGCATATCAAGCTCCAGCTCTCCCATCTCTTCAAAAGCATTGTACCATCCAAAGAACTTGTCATAAACTTCCTTCCCCGTCTCGTATTGAGTCTGAAGACGATCCAAATCAACCCTCATTCGGTTGATTTCGTCTTCTGCGTGTCTGTCTATAATAATATAGACTTAATAGTCAAAACCATAAGATTTCACTAAAACTTAATTTGTGTATCGAAATTCTAAACAAAAAATTCATAAAATCTACTACATATTTGAGAAAAGTCACTTACCTGGATCAAATTCAGATTCATGACAGTCGAGGATGTCCAGAGCATGACATTTCAAAGCCAACTCCTTTAATTTGCCGTACATCTCAATGTACTCAAATACTATTGCCTCCAGCCATTTTTGGTATTCATTATCAAACTAAAACGCAATAATTTGAATTTCAAGACAAGGCATTGCTATTAGTAAATAAATGGTAAAACGTAGATTCAGTTTTAAAATTATGTTCCCTGAAAGTTATACCTATAAAATGAAAATAATGTTAAAGAACCAAACTTACCTTCTCTAGAAGATCAAACCTTTGAGCAAATGATTGACTTAAAGGTACACTGTGCTTTGATGTAAAGTCGAGAGAAAGAAGCTCCTTCTCCAACTCGTCCAAAGAAATGTTCTTCACAACTTGGTTCATCTTGTTGGCCTTGTTCTGAAGAGCTGTCAAGAGCTCCAAACGTTCTTCAAACTCTAACTTCTTTTGGTTCTTCAGCTCTGTGATTTCTTATTTTTATGTCAGTTCATATTTAGAATATACGGATAATACGATCCTCTGACATTCCTAGCGAGTATGAGTTTGCTCGATGACTTCAGAATACGTTTATTACTGTAGCCGTTTATTTGGGCTTTTTAATGTGTAACAGACACGAAATGTATGTTTTAGCAGCAACATTAGTCAATGGGGATACTAATACTATGCTTAATATGCTCTATAACTAATATATTGTAGTTTATGCAAGAGTATTTATAGTATCTTTACAACTCGAACTCTGTGAAACAAATTTTAAGCAAAGGCATTCCCTAGTTAGCACAAAAACGGCCAAAGTCAAGTTAAAAATAAGGCAAAAAATTCAAAAAATAATGATTTCACATAGCAAAAGTTGTAGCAACAACAACATAAGTTTCCTTTTTCAAAAAATTTGTCTGTTAGATCTGTAAGGCAGAAACACCAGCATAATTTGTCATCAAGTTATGTATTATGGTTTCATACTGGTGCCGCGCATCATTAATGGACTCCTTTGTAACCTGACTTTCGATAATCTTAATGTTGCTTAGTATAAGGTAATAAAAGCCCATCGCATTGGATTTTATAGGTTGAAACTTCTTCCAGGTGAGACGACCTTAAAATTGAATTTACTGTCAGGATAATTTTTGTTGTGCCATAAGCTCAGTAATTAATTCTATGAATTAGTTTTACCTGAAGACCAGTCAAAATGCGTCAAAGTTACAACTCCTTTTTCTTCAACACGTTCTATTGTTGCACATAACAAAAGTTGAAAATTTAAAAAAAGCGGCAAAACACGGATTTCATAAGGCCACTTTCCCATTTCTTCCCAATTGTTCTTTTTCTTATTGTAACCGATAAACTGAAACCAGATCAACGGACGCCCTCCGGGCGTCCTATGATCTGGAGAGGGCCCTTCGGGCCCTCCACTTTTACTTTTACTTTTACTGTATTTTATTATTCTAAAATTATTGTAATTCAAATTTGCGAATTTTGATACAGTTCATATTATTCAATTTATTGGCTCGGGCCTGCGGCCCTCGCACGCCAATAATTTTCATTCAACGATTGTAAATACCAAAACGGCTCGGGCCTACGGCCCTCGCACATCTTCAATAGCAAATTTTAAATTTAAAATCGTACACGACATTGTTCACAACATAGTATCATTGCCTTCTTAAATTTAATAAAACTTGGCTCGGGCCTCCGGCCCTCGCACATTAAAAATTTTGAAAATTGTGCACAATAATCAGTATCATACTCAAAATAGTATCAAAATATTTTAAAACACAACCGCTCGCTGCCGAAAATTCCATAAAACTGACCGATTTCTTTCTCAAAATTTTTACAATTTTTATTTTTTACCGATTTTCCCACAAATTTGCATGACCCTCTCACTTGCCCTTTACCGATCTTCACTTTTTCTGGACATAGTGACACGGCTCTGCATTTATATAGGGGATATGGAATAAAAATTAATTTTTTATAAAAAACAAGGCGTAATCTGCTACAGTGCACAGCATCCGAACTTTTAGAAAAAATGATGGTTGTAAATTTTGGGTTAAAATGCAGCTGCAGTGGAACTCCTGTATAATGGAAATTTCCGATATCGAACAGCTTTCAAATCCCCAGCCCCCATTACACAGTGCAATTAAAAAAACTCATCAATAGTCGTTTTTATCAAATATGTCGCTTTTTTGCTATAAAAAATATGGCGTACCGAGTAATTCGTTATAGAGAAGTTCAAGTAAAAAGTTGCCGACAATGTCAGAATTTATATTTTTCCCATAAGTTTGTACAATATCACGGCCTATCCGCAATAAAATTTAAAGCAAACTTTTAGAATTTCCATATATTAATTACATGCGTACTTACTTTACTGTCTTTATGAAAATGTATCCCATCAATACCTTTTGCTCTGTAATCATCATATACGTTTAAGGTGCTTAAAACGTAAACGTAAGTTCTAGTTGTAATGTCGTAAATTTGAATACCTACGTCTGAAAAAAGCAATTGCACACATATATGAAAAAAATATTTGAATATCAAAGAAATCCTTACCTAAATACATCAGTTGATTAAGATTATCCAAGATGCGTAGTACAGGAAAATGTGGGTCTGTAAAACGAAATATGACGTCCTGTCTACCGGTAGATATGTGTATTAGTATAAGATCGTCTTGGCAACTCCGGTACGCAACATACTTTCTGTATCCATGTATGTCAACGTTTATTACATCACAAAAGTAAAAGTTGGCAGCCTTGACTTTGTATTCTTTCTGATTATATAAGTCGACTAGAGTACCGTCACTGTAATATAACGTATAGTAAGTGTAACGTTCTTCAGCCAATGCACTGTAGACTTTGATTATCTTTTTCTTGATTAAGTCGTATATTACATACGACGTTTTCATATCTACCAGAAGTTGTGTTGATTTGCTTATCAGATGTAATTTATCGATAGTACCTTCAACGCTGCTAAAGTCAATAAGTTCGAAAGAATTCTTTCCAAGATCAATATTAGTTATCAATATCTGTTTATTCTCTAATATCAGCGCCATCGTTCCGGTATATGAACAACATATCGATTGCTTTTTAAAAATAAATGCATCCACTTGTTCAAGATTCTTGTCAACTGTACGGTAGTTTGTGCTAAATAAAACTTAAAGTAGTATTATCTTAAATTTAAGAAAAAAGCTTAATCTTTTTATTTTAAATAGATGGAAATAACTTACAGCGAAAAAGCTTCTGCCCAAGTTTCACCACGAAGACGGTATACCAATTTTTTATAACACAGACTTCAAAAGTCAGTGTTTATTAGCCGGTAGAATGATTTATTAAGTGCTGCAAACCTACAAAACTCTTCCATTTTTTCTATATGATGGATTACACGTAGCCATACCTAAAAATAAAAAGTAACTAAAAGCAGAGATTAATGCTGTTAATCCTTATTAATGCAAATGCCTGATATTGATAAAAAAAGTGTTGTAAACTTACTTCATTTGGCAAACTTTTATAAAAAATCATTTTTGACTTAACCTAAAATCGAAAATTACTTTCGTGCTTTTATAGAGTCTATAGCAATAGTTTTTATCGATTTTTTTTTTCTTAAAAAGCTTTCCTACGATTTGTGACACACGTCAAACCAGATAAAAATAGACGTTTTGTCAGCGCATAAAAACAAGAGAGTGAGCATCGAAAAAGCAAACTAGAGAGCGAAAAACGGAGAGAGCGCCACGCAAACAAAGAGAGAGCGGTTAGACATTTCGATATTTCCATCACACGTCAAGAGAAAACGATTTTGCTTTTGTGTCTTGAACAGATTTTTGGCATTTCTCAAATAACAGAAAAATATTTTTTCTTCAGCTTTTCTTTTTCGAAAATGTCTTTCGGGTTTATTACTAATGTAGTTTTGAGGTTATTTAAGGATAAAGAAGGTAAAAAATGTAACGATTAAGCATCCTTATTAAATAAATAATGAAAGAAAATAATAAATAAAGGAAAATCCCGCCAAAAAATTAATGAAAAATTTCCGCATGGATAATATGAAACTGATATCTCTTGATAACTCAAGTTCTACTCCATAGAATCAGACGTTTTTAGTATCAAATTATTCCTTATTACCTCCTTAATCCGACTGTTACTACCGCTATAGCTGCTCATGTGCTCGTTGCAAAGTTATGACGTATTTTAGAGTTTGGAAAAGCGTATTTTTAATATGAATACCAAATTTTTATTAAGCGCTCAAACACAAAGAGATTTTTTAAATTTGGGAATTAAAGTATTGTTTTTTAATTGCTATTAAACAATTTTGTGATATCTGCACTTTAACGTGTCGAAAAAATACCGCGAAGTTAACATACTATTTGTTTCCTCTTGTTGCGGAATGCCAAGCGATTTTCTCTGGATAATTGTTTTTCTTTTATTTTTTCTTGACGTGCCCGGCCCGGACCGTTTGCCATGTCTACCCGCGGGCCGTGCCTAACTTTCAGGCCCGGCCCGTTGCTCATGTCTACTCACACCTTTCTTAAAATGTCTTCTTTTTCTAACAAGCAGCTTTTAATTTATAGCTCGTCTCGATTTAGGTGTTTTTCTTCATCAAAAGTACAGATTTTCAAGGATATTGAATTGACGTCGGAGGTTTGTTTTTACTTTTTTTATATTTTTTGAGTTTAGGTGATTAGAACCTTCTCGAAGTGGTGTCAAAATCAGATGGTTGGCGATAAAGTTTATTGTGTGGCGATTTGGAGGTGATTGGCATGTCCAATTCATAAAACTTTGTTTTTTGTAGCACTTTGTGTAAAATCGGGTTTTGAGATGTTGTGATAGACAACGCTGGTTATCGGGCTTTTCATTGTGCTTTAATGGATTAATTTATTTTGATATAGTAGCCAGTTTATTGGTTTTTCATTATTTTCACCAAGTTTTAGCAAAAAGTTAGCTTTTAACTTGGTTTTATCTAAAACCAGTTAGGTCCTTACAGGTAACCTGAGTTTTTTGCTTTTTGAGGGAGATGAAAACAATAAGGTCTTTAATGTTATTAGAAATTTATTATTAAGTATTATTTTTAACATTACTGACCGTTTCCGACAGAAAGGAACGTATTTTAACTTCATATTTCGTTAAAAACGTGTCTTACATTTCGCGAAACGCCATGGATAATATAACTTCTTCGTGTTCACGCTAATTTTTCATTTCGTGAAATTTTTTATTGAGTTTGTTATTTTCAAATTGTTAATTCATTTATTTAGCTGTAGAAAGGCTTGGAATGACGGTTGCCGCCGAGAACAATCATGTTCAACGCGGCGTCAACTACGACGAGGCCAAGGAGCTAATCGATGCAGTCCGAACGTCAAATTTAACTCCAGGCAAAGATTGGTAAGTCTTTTATTATTTATTGTTTGATTTTTAGGTATTTGAACAAAAGGAGTGGAATTTTGTCTTTATTTTGGGGGTTATGAATAACATGGTTATGTTATTCATAAATATAGCGTTTTTTGATATGGAAAATTGATATATTCTAACGAGGTTGGATTTATTAGAACGGAAAAAGGATTTATAATATTTGGGAAAAGAAAAATTTCTTGTTTTGTCACTTGTTTCGATAGTTATGATGCTTTGTTTGCCCATGATGGTTAATATCTGATGTTTTTGGAAATTTGAACCGTTCTAGTCTTAAAAATAGGTTTGAATTAGCTAAATGAAGTTTGTTTTGCAGCAAAAACGTTGTATTTGTTAAATATGAGATCATTATGATATTATTCTGGACGTTGCAAAAGTTATGGCATTGTTTTCAGGTATTTAATAGACCAGCATTGGTGGAGCAATTTGTTACAAAATTATGATGTTTATACAAAGACACACGACAAGGGACACATAAATCCAGGGCCGTTAGACAACAGTGAGCTAGTAGAAAGTAGGTTTTGTGCATCAAATTGCTTTATATTGTAGTAGGATGAAAATTTTTAAATATTGTTATGTTATCCAGGAATATAGCTCCATTTTAGATGATTATAGGATGTCTTAATGTCTTTGACTGTAAAAAGTATAGAAATTTGTTTTAGAAGAGCAGAGCACAAGCAAGATTCGGCTAAAGCAATCGTTGGTAGAAGAGCTCAATTACTGCGTCGTTCCGGAACACGTATTCCATGTTATTGAAGCAAAGTTTGGACTAAAGAACGGGCAAGACGATGTGATTAAGAGGCCAGTAGTCCAAGGAACTGTATTACAAAAGGAGGCTTTTGTTGAGGTTTATCCTCTTCAGCTACAGGTAAAACATGGGCATTTTGATTGATTTTTATCAAGTTTCAGTAATTTTTAGTCTCGCTCTACCAGTTTCATACCTTTTTTGAAATTATTAAAAAGCTCACTTTTAGGTAGCCAAGCTGAACGCAAAAAGCGATGTGAAACAACTCCTAGTATCATACGCAGATTCCTTTGAAGAGCTAAAGAAGAAAGCCTTCGATTTACTCGACATTCCCGAGGACAAGCGAGCTCAAGCTCAGATCAAGTTTGAGAAGAACAAGAACGATTACGAGACCATCAACGAAAAAGTCAGCGGAAATTTGGCATCTATCTTGAGAATGGACATGGTATTCTACGTGGATGACAACTCGACTAGGGTTACGAGATCGACGACCAGAATGGAAGGCCTGAATGGCACAATGGCCTCTCCAACCAAGAGGTATCAAGGCTATTCGCCAAGGTAAGCGGTTTGAATTTTTTGTTGGTTTTTAGGTTTGAAATGGCTGTGAGAAGGGCTGGATGTGTGGTTCTAGGCCGGAGGGGTGATATTCGATTTGGTATAGGGAGGAAGGGTTGATTTCTTTACGAACATTACCTACGAAAAATGAAATTTCAGATAATTTTTAGTCATTTTGTTAAATTTTTCTTTAAAAACCGGTTGCTTTTAGTACTGTAAAATTGTATTTTGTTTCTAAGATCTATTATTCTAAATGTGTTTTAGAGATTGCTCAAGATGGCTAAGAAAAACGTATTTAAAAATTTTTTTTTCAAAAAAAAACGAATTTAATTTTTTTTAAATTTTAAATTTTCAGTGCATCCTCGTCCTCCTATCAAGCCGAAACCCACACTGCCGGCCTGTGCGGCCTCCAGAACCTGGGTAACACGTGTTTCATGAACTCGGCCCTTCAATGTTTGTCTAACGTGCCCGAACTCACCCAGTACTTTTTGACCGAAAAATACCTAGAAGAGATTAACTACGACAATGTGCTGGGCACGAGAGGGAGACTGGTACAGGCGTACGCGGACTTGATCAAGGAAATGTGGTCGGGCAAGAACTCGTCCGTCAAACCGTATCAGTTCAAGGTAAGCATCTTGTGTTAGTGTTTGGCTTTGGCATAAGATTCGGATGATGATTAAGGTTGTTCGGAAAGGAATGGCGCGGCTTAAAGTCTACTTTTAAGTTTGAATCAATGTAAAATGTCAAGCTTAAGGACTTATTTGAGTTATGCGATGTTTTAAAAATTCATTACTTACTATAATATGCAAATTTCAGTGCGTAATAGGCCAACACGCACCCCGCTTCAACGGTTATGCTCAACAAGACTCGCAAGAGCTAATGTCTTTCCTCCTCGACGGCCTCCACGAAGATCTGAATCGAATCGTGAAGAAGCCCTACATTGAGGAACGCGAATCAGACGGCCGCCCCGACGAAGTCGTAGCCGAAGAAGCGTGGAGCGACTACAAGAAACGCAACGATTCAGTCATCGTGGATCTAATGCACGGTCAAATCAAGTCTACCCTGGTCTGTCCGGTCTGCGACAAGGTCAGCATCAAGTTCGACCCCATCCTCTACCTCACCGTTCCCGTCCCGCAACGTGAGAAGAACGGCAAAAGCGTGGTCGTGGTCCTAAGGCCGAAAAAGAAGTGGGCCAAGTTCAGTATCGCCCACACCAACAAGTCCACTTTCGACCAGTTGAGTCGCGCAGTCAAGGAGAATCTTCAGGTCGAAAAGGAGGATCGCCTGGTCATAGCCTCGGGCGGAACCACTCCCGCCGTCTACGACCCAGCCCAACCAATCCCAGTCATCACAACCTACTACAACCCAGCCCCACGACAGTTCTTTGCCTACTTTGTGAAGCCCGGACCACTGATCATTGTCTCGAATCTGGTGCAGAACTCGTTCAACAAGAGTGTCACATTGCCCTTGATCACCAACTTTGATTTCAAGCTTACCAGAAGGGATATCATTGATAAGGTAAGGAAGTTTTAGGGGAAGAGCAAGGGGTTAAGATAGAAAAAGATGAATTTTAGGTAATAAAATTAACTTTTAGGTAACAAAAATGAATTTTAGGTAATAAAAGTGCATTTTAGGTAACAAAAATTTATTTTATTATAAAAGTGAAGGGTTTGAAAATTGAAAAGTGAACTTTAGGTAACAAATTTTTTTGTCATATCTTCAAATTTTTTTCAGGTCCTCCCCCGAATCCACGAGCACTTCAGCAAAGAATTCACCACCCCCAATGTCAGCACAAGCTCAACGGACGAATCGAAGTTTGGCGGCACTGGAATCCGCCTGGGGCGAAATGAAAACTCGGAGGAAGCGGCCGCTTCAATGTCGGATACCTTCAACTGCCCACCCGAACTCAGGGATATTGTGGTGGAGGTGAACGGTGACACTCTAAAGCTTCCAGAAGACTCGGATGAAGAGTTGGAACTGGCCAAAGCCATCAATTCGTTGCCAAAGGTTGTTCTAAAGTGGGCTCCGACCGATAGTTATGCAGCGCCTTCGTATGCTGAGGTGAGTTTGGATTTTTATGGGTTTGGGTAATAAAAGTAACAAAAAAGTGTATTTTAGGTAACAAAAATGGAGTTTTGGGTGCTAAAATGAATTTTATGAAATTTTAGGTAATAAAAAATAAATTTTAGGGTAAAATAGCGTTTTAGGTAACAAAAATTGGATTTTGGGTTTTAATCGAATTTTAAGTAATAAAAATCAACGTTAATTATGAAAAAAAGAGTTTCAGGAAACAAAATGACATTTAAAATGCATTTTAGGTAATAAAAATAAATTTTAGGCTAAAAAATTTTATTTTAGGTAACAAATTTTTTAATTTTCAGACCCTAGTCGACCGCGAACTCAACATTCAAGCCAGCCAAAAGAGTGGCAACACCCTGAACGATTGCCTGGACATGTTCACGGTGAGAGAACAGCTGGACGAGAACGACTCGTGGTACTGCCCAACGTGCAGAGAACACAGACGAGCCTTCAAGAAGCTGGATCTGTGGAAACTACCCAAGATTTTGATTGTCCATCTGAAGCGCTTCAACTACAGTCGCTACAGTCGAGAGAAGACGGACACGGAAATCAGCATTCCTGTCAAGTAGGTGGTCTTTTTGGGGTTTTTGTTGGGGATTTTGACGTGATTTTTGGGTTTTTTAGGGCTTTTGGGTTGGTTGCTTTTTGGGGTGTTTTTAAGGTTTTGGGGGACCTTTTGGGGTATTTAAGGACTTTTCGAGTCTTTTTTTAGATCTATTTTGGGTTGAGGGGTACCCATTGGAACTTGTTTTGCTTTTTGGGGTACTTCTAAGGCTTGTTCTTGGCTTTAGTGATATTTTTTGGGACCTTATTTTTGCTTTTCGTGTACTTCTTTTGGTATTTTAAGGGCTTTTGTACTATTTTTGGGGATCTGTTTTTGTTTTTTGGGTATTTTTAGGGCTTTTGAAGTACTCTTTGGGATTGTTTCGGGTTTTAGAGGTACTTTTTGGGGCATTTTTAGAGCTTTTGGGGTACTTTTTGGGACCTTGTTTGCTTTTACGGATAGTTTTTGGGATCTTTTTTGGTTTTAGGGGTACTTGTTGGAACCTGCTTTTCTATTTGTGTTACTTTTTGGGTTCTTTTTTGCTTTTTGCGGCACTTTTTGGTCTTTTTTTTGTCTTTTGGTGCATTTTTAGGAGATTCTGTAAGGGTTTTAGGCTTAAATCTGCGTTTTTAACATTTTTTATTTAGTTTTGTTAATTTTCAGGAACTTTTGTGCCACCTCCATCAACCCGAAACAAAAACAGGTCAAGTACGATCTGATTGGCGTTTGCAATCACATGGGAGGCCTTGGGTCAGGCCACTACACCGCCAGAGCCATCAACAAAACGTGGGTTTTGTAATTTCATAATGCTGTCTAAAATGACATTTTTGACAATTTTCATTGATATGACACACCTTTTTAACAAATATTGTAGAATTTTAGTTGTTTTATAGGCTTAAAATATTTGAAAATTTTAAATTCGAATTTTAGAACCAACCGTTGGGCCGACTTCAACGACTCCTCGGCCTCACTATGCGGCGAACTCCACGATCCGCTGGTGTCGCGTGAAGCCTACTGGATGGTATACAGGCAACGGAGCGACTCCTCGTCCACCTCGAACTCGATCCAAGAACGAACTCATCAGCCACCGGCTCGACCCAAGCGATTCACGGATTCGGATGCGATGGAGGAGAGCGACTAGAATAAAATTGATTATATTTGTTATCTAAAGGTTGATTTTTTTGTATTTTTTATCAAAAGTTTGGGTGTGGCATGAGGGGGAAGGGTCGATTTTTTGATTTTTTTACGATTTTGGGAGAATCGACAATTTTTTGGTTGTTTTTGAGGGAAACGGTCGATTTGTGGTCATTGTTGGGAGAAATGGTCAATTTTTGGTCATTTCTAGGAAAAAATGGTCGATTTTTTGGACTTTACTAGAAAAAACGGTCGATTTTTTGCTCATTTTTTTGAGAAAATTCTTTTAAGCCCAATCGTTTGACCGAAGACTAATACTTTGGCTAATGATCACTTTAAGCCTAAAATCATGGCCAATGGTCAGTTTAAGCTTAATATCTTGGCCAGGGTTTAATATAAGCCTAATAGCTTGGCTAATGGCAAAGTATTTGCCGAATATGTTTGCCAATGGTCAGTTTAAGCCTAGTCGTTGGACTGTAGACAAAGTTAAAATCATAGCCAATGATCAGTTTAAACCTAATATCTTGGTCAATGATCACTTTAGGTCTAATATCTTTGACAATGATCAGTTAAATCCAAATACCTGGGCCAATAATCAGTTTTGTAAGCTTAACATGTTAGCCAATGATCAGTTCAAGCCTAATATCTTGACTTTAGCTAGTTTTAAGCCTATTTGTTTCACCTAAATTTAAAACCTAGTCCAATGTTAAGTTGAGTATTTTAATATTTTTGCTCAAATACCGGTTCCCCCCCCCCCCACCCGTGCCACACCCTTGTTTCGATGCCTAAAGTACGCCGGTTCTGTGTTTCGGTTTCCTATTTATTTCGTGTCTTAATATTACTGTATTGTCCTGATTATTACCTAATTTTGGTCATAAACTCGTATCTTATACATCTTGTCTCGACATGGCTCAATTTTATGAGCAAAATTATTTGAAATGTCATTTTTTGTTTTTTTTTATTTAAAAAATGTTATTTCAGGTTGTTCAAGTAATTCTGAGCCCCTTAACCTCGAAAATTTGCTTTGAAAAAGGGCACAGAATTATCTTAAAAACCTAATTTTAAAATTTCATTTTTTTTAAGCTTTTTGAATGTCATTTTCTTATCAATCGATACAAATTTTTAAGCCAGTTTCGCATCGATGTTTCATCCTAAGCATAGATTAGGCTTGTTTTTATGTTTTAGGCTTGATATGATAAGAGTAGGCTTATTTTCTGTTTAAGGTTCCACTAATAACATTAGGCTTATTTTTTCGGCTTAAAATGGTTAGATTAGGCTTAGTTTCTCCAGACTTGGAATTTGTAAGCTCAGGCTTATTGTCTAGACTTGAACTGGTTAGGTAATGCTTATTTTCAGTTTTAGGCTTAAAGTTTCAAAGTTATGCTTTTAACCCAACATGCCTATTCTTAATTCCGGACCTAACGCGTGATTTTGTATAGGTATAAGCCTATTAAAATGCCTGTTAGGATTATTTATATGGCGTCTGGGCTTAATTTTTGTACTCGATTATGTTGTTTGTTTGAAAACCATCTTTTTACCACGGATTTACTTGATTTACTATGAAAATTGCTCTTGTCACGTTTTGTCTTATCGAATAAAATGGGTGAATTTTGATAGAAAATCGATTTTTTTAAATTTAATATATGGTAAATTCCAAAACATACTGTAACATAGTACCAAAATTGTTTTTTATTCTAAAACATCGCTCCTGATGTCGACGGAAATATAAAACTCACTGAAATGGCACAAGATCCCCATAGTTATGACATTTTCAGACATCCATTATGGAATACATGTCGATTGGCTTCATTCGAACCCTCTTAAACTCGAAACTCCTAACAGATGACGATCGTATACTGGTGGAGGACGCGCTAACCGATTCAGCCATGAAATTCCCTTCAAACTACAAATTTATGGCCATTTTGGTTGGACTCTTTTCGATTTGCACTGGTACCATGTGGTGGGCTGAACAAAATGGTACATTTTAATGAATTATGGCCTGAAAACATGTCTTTGACAGTTTTTCGAAGTGGAAGTTGGGTGGAAGATTCGTAATGTATTTTGCACTGAAAATCTTCCACTTAACTTCCATTTTTAAAATGTCTTAAAATGGCTTAAAAATGAATTTTTGACACTTTTTAGTAGTGGAAGTTAAGTGGAAGATTTTCAGTGCAAAATACATTACAAATCTTCCACTCAACTTCCACTTCCAAAAAGTGTTAAAAACGTGTTTTTTGCTCATTTTAAGACATTTCAAAAGTGGAAGTTGAGTGGAAGATTTTCAGTGTATTTTGCACTGAAAATCTTCCATTCAACTTCCACTTTTTAAATTTCGCTTTTAATGCTTTTCTAGCATATGGACTAGTTACCCAAAGAGGAAGAGTTAAGTTAATGCCATTTTGAACCATACACTCGTCATTTTCTTGCCATTTTTAATCATACCCCCCCCCCTCCCCCTTCCCCATAACTTTTTTGCCATTTTTATTCATACCCATAATTTTTTGCCATTTCAAACCACAACCCTCACCATTTTCAGCCGATCTCTTTACTTACAACTTGATGACTGGTATAACAATCACTTTTGTATTCGTGGTGTCAGTCGGGTTCTTCCCAGTTCTACTCGTCCCTTTGGCTTACTATGGCATTCGAAGATGGGAGAAGGCGGATCACACTATACATCTATTCTTGGCTGGGTTAAAACGACGCGAGAACTACATTTACGGGTAGGGGTTTTATGAAAATTAAGAGATTTTTAAGCCTCAGGAAATGGCAAAAGTGACCACAGTTTTACCGTTGGCCTACAATAGGGGCCTAGATTTGTAACCTGTACCACCTGAAAGCAGTTTTGCCTACGGGTCCGGTTCGGATTTTTGAACTTATTTTTTCCGCCAAACTCATATATCGAAGACTAATATAGATAAATATAGATATTAGTCTTCGAATAAGCTAACAGCATGTAGGAGGGTCAGCACCATTCTAAATAGGGAGTGAGTAGAAAAAGTTATATATAGCAGACCGATGCGACCATTAAAAAAAGCGCGGGAAAAATAAATTCAAAAACACCGAACAGGACCCAAATGCAAAATTCTGCCTAAAAGAAAATAAAATCATTTCCGTGGCTTGAAAACCTTTGTGTAGAAGCCGGGCGGGATCATGTGGCCCAGGCCTAAAACTAAGACCCGAAAGGTTCATCCTAGGTCCCGCAACGACAGATTTGGCGCGCAAAAAGTGTAAAACATTTAAAAAAAACATGGGCCCAAGGGCCGGGGCCTAACCTAAGGCCCTTTAGAGATTTACTACTTTTATGTCTAAAAATAAGTTTTTCAATCAAAAAAAAACTCAAAACCAGATATTACCCAGTAAATCACCAATACATCCTTAAAAATCCATCACAACATTGTTTTCCAAGTTTATCAACAAAACCAAAAGAAGAATAATATGAAAACTAAATAAAGACTGAGCAAAAAGTAACAAAGAATAAAGAAATAAACGGGTTATCAGAGGGGGAAAATGAAAAAAAAAAAAATTTCGAGTGAGAGATTGGATTTAGGTTTAGAAATAGGGTCCTCGAGGCTTTTGTCCCTTCATGCCACGATTAGGTTTCCTGTTCCTTGGCCTTCCACGGCCGACAAACTGGCTTGGGTATAGGGGCGGCGGCGGTGGGGCGAAGCGGATTGGAAACAATACTGAAATTAGCATAATAGTAGTGATATTAATTCTAGACATGCGGAACGGGCCGAGCCCACTTTTCAGGCCCGATCCGTGGGCTGGGCCAAAAAGATGGGCCTGGTGGAGGCCGTAAAACCACAAAAATATTTTACTGGACTTTTTCAAGTAATTCTGTGCCCCCTTTAAAAGCAAACTTTCGGAGTAATGGGGGCACAGAATTATTTGAAAACCCTGATAAATAACCCCAAAAATATTTTTATTACGTTGTTCAAATAATTCTTTGCCAATTGTCAAAGCAAATTTTTCGGGGTTAGGGGCACATAATTATTTGAACAACCTAACAAATGAACCCCGAGGATTTTTTAAGTTGTTCAAATAATTCTGGACCCCTCCCAAAACAAACTTTCAGACTTAGGGGGCACATAATTATTTGAAAATCCTAATAAATCGACCCAAAAATGCTTTCAATAACCCCAAAAACCTACATGGTACCTGTGGTGGCGGGTACAACAACACCGGCTGCCTGATATTATTCCTGGGCGGTTCGTATCTTGGTAGTGCTGCTCGGATCTCATGTCTACCGCCCGGTCTGAAGTAGGGAGAGGCGTGTTGTTGTTGGTAGGGGTCGTAGGGTGGTGGGAGTCGTGGTACATGGCCGTTGGCAATTGGGAAGAAGTTGCCCAGGTTGTCCTGGTTCCGGCTGTTGGGCCTTAGCAATGGGGCGGGGGCGTGAGTTGTGTTTAGTTGACCATTGCTACCATTAGTTCCAAAGCTCGTGTCGTTATGACCACTTTTTCCACAATTCATGTCATGATGACTATTATTTCCAAAAATCCTGTCATTATGACCGTTTGAACCGGAACTTGTGTCGATTAGCCCGGGCAATGAGGCTTGATGACTGATTTTTCCAAAAATTGCGTCATTATGACCGGTTTTTCCAGAAATTGTGTCATGATGAGCAAATTGTCCAAGACTCTTGCGATATGGTGCATTTGGGAGGGGTGGTGCGTTAATCCTGTCATTGTGGTCGGCGGTGTGTCCATTTCGAGATATCGACCGCGAAAATTGATCATGCTGACCACTTTTTCCAAAAAATGTGTCATGCTGACCATTATTTCCAAAATTCACGTCATGATGACTGTTCTGTTGAGATGGGGCTGAAAATACTCGTTGGACCATGGATTTTAGGCCAAGCGTGAACATCGGGCCTGGGTCGGTGGTGGGGTGAACAATCTGATCTCTGGGGCTTTGAATCAGGGTTCGGTCAACAAGTTCTTGGCCTGAGCTGCGGTTGTTGAAGCCATTTTCCGACTTAACTTGTACTCCTTGCCCAATCGACCCTCCTACTTGGCCCACCAGCCCAGGTAATGGCCCATTAAGCCTCGAAATCTGCTGATTCTGTCGATTCAGCCACGAGTTAACCTTCTCGCCGGGGCCTTGTTGTCGATGCACTTCCGGACCGAAACCGGGCGGTCGGACGGACATCATTTTAGGTATTAAAAAGTGCTTTTTCTCGGCGTTGAGGTCGCGAAGGCGGTCTTCGAACTCTTGTTTGGTACCAAACTCTTGTACTATCGTCCTCAGGGCTTGGGACATTTCCTGCAACGAAAGAGATGTTATTCATGGTTTTTGGTCGATAAGTTCAAGGAAAACATAAGAGTAGTCGAAAAATTCAAGAATAGTACCAAAGAATATATTATCCATGAGAAAACTTATATTATCCATGACAAAACCCTACCTTAAGAACCTCATTTGGTGTAGTGACAACTCTCGAAATCGCCTTTTTCAGCCTTCTATTGACCTCTTCTTCATTATAGATCTCTCCTTTCTCTCCGTTAACGAACTCAAACATGTGCGCAACGTCCTTGTATTTGGCACAAACGTGTCGCACGTTGTTCATGTTGAAGGTTTGTTGACGATCATCCAGTTCTAGGGGGAACTGAAAGATTTTTTGTCTAGATTTTTTGAAAAAATGTGGTTTTAGATACAAAAAAGGGAATTTTAGGTAACAAAAAGGTTGTTTTTGCCCAAAATTCGTTGTTTCTCATCGAGATGTTTAACAAAATGAAATGTTTCGTCATCTTACATCAATTTTTTCAATTTTATACAAAATATTTCATTAAATCTTCTTACCTGAACAACAACAATATGGCTCCCATCACTTCGTTTCAAGTCCAAATCAGCCAAAACCTCGTTAAATCTCCTCAGCTCCAGCTCATAAAACGGCTTCGTCAACCTCTCCTCGTTCTCACAGTACTCGTAGTAGTGTCCATGCGGTGCTACACGCCGATCGTACAGGTATCGCTGAATGAAGATGTAACATCGAGTGAACTGGTTCACATTCTTCAACTTGCACATGCATTCGGTAAAGGTCTTGAAGCCGAAGATCCGACAATGTCCCATGTAGAGGTCAGCGGGCCATCCACCACCAATCACGATTCCGAATTCACCTGCGATGTTCCTGATAAATATTGGCAACAATATTTGGGGGGAGGTGGGAACGGGTCCCGGACGACTTTTTTTTATATTGGCGGGGACCTAGTTGGTGTATCTACGCTTTTTTTGGTTATATATAAGCCTAGTCCACCAAAAACGCCATTTTCAAGCCAAATCCAGCCCTTTTTCGTATTTTGAGGTATCTATAATATGTTTTTGATCAAAACTCAAACTATAAAGCCACAATAATTAATGAATTGAATGTAGTAAAAAAGCCCAGACATTCACCTTCATTTTGCTGTATAATTTCACTAAATATAAAAACCTCAGAATTCTAAGGACAAATAATATCGTTTCCTACCTGTTTTCCTACTAACTCCCCATAATAACAAGCTTAAAACAATCATTTTTCCAACAATAACTCTCGCGAAACAATAATAAAATCAAACTCCAGACTTGTCTCTATCTTTTAAGCAAAAAATCAACCAAAACCAACAACATTTTCTTCATCTACAACAGTTTTTCCATCAACATGTCTACAACAACATTCTTGTCAGTTCGCTTCAAAAAACAAGGTGCGGTTAACCCCAAAATCAGGTTTTAGGCCTAAAAACAAAAAAACTTATAAAACACTAACCATGAACAGGCAGATCGTAGTCGGTATCAAACTTGAAAGGCGTTGGGATTGGAACATATTGTTGTGTTATCTCGAAAATCTCGTGATCCAGATGAGTATCGAACTCTTGATCTGTGAGATGTCTCCATGAGGATGCCAACGAACTTCTTTTCATCGGTTTTCGGAATTTGCCCGGATTTACTGAAAATTAGGTAACATTTAGAATAAGTTTTGCAATAGGCGCATATATTATCCTTCATTGGCTAAAATTAGGTAAAAAAAGACAAATATTAAACTCATCTTACTCAAATATATCTCCCTGAAGTAGAACATCTCGTAGTCAGTCATATTTTGGACATTATGAAGCCGGTTCTCAGCTTGAACATCGCTTTCGGTTGAATGAGACGAACTACAAGGTTCCATCTAAAACAATAACGAATTTTGGGCTCTAAACATTCGAATTATAATTTTTATGTTTTTACATATTATCCACGACACTTTTAAAACCTTGTTTCGGCTTCAGGATATTCAGAATCGCGACAAGGAAAAAAATAAGAAACTGAGAGAAGGTGCAGCCTGCACGAAGAAGTTCGCGGTGGGCGCGAGTTTTCTTTTGATTTATTTTATCAGTGAAGTAAAATCTGATGAGAACAAGGCTCTAACTTTTAACTTTTCATGGTAAATGCAATAAAAGTATTTTACTCAAATTAAGATTATTATTTTTCAGGTTACAGCAATCAATTCAAGCGGGAGAAAATTACATTTGCGCACCACAGTCTCGTCTACAATGCATTGCCGAGCTTCGGGCTGCGATTCAGAGCTGTCGCAACTTTTCCATGGAGTATTTGGAGAAGCTAGAGCTTAACAGTGCTGATGAGTTTGCAAACACAGCGATTTTGGAGATGGCTGATCCGAAACAGCACGATATTCGAAGCGATCAAGTTGATATTCAAGCATTGAAGGTGGGTGATGTTAGATTAGTCATAACTTTAGATTTAGTAGTCGGATATTTTTTAAATTGGTTTTGTGAGAAAGAGCAGTTTCTTTTCTATGTAAAAATTTTATTTTTTGCTAATTTTTATTGTTTTAGGCTTTGTGGCAGTTCTTTTTCATCCACCGGTCAGAAGCTTTGCGCAATTTAACGCTGGTTCATGTTGAAACGATGAAAAACCTGATTGAATCGTCAAAGTACTTGTCGGCTTCAGCTGCATCACGTTTAGTTTTATTTAAATTTGTGAAATTTGTGTTTAACACTTCCGATATTAACGTGAAACTTCAAGAATTCGAAGCGAAACGTGAAAATTATGGGGAAAAATCGAGTTTGAAGAAGATGAAAGAAAGAAATCAGGATGTTGAAGAATTGGAAAGGCTTAGGGCTCAAACCGAATTTCTTCTTAATCAGTAAGTTTAAAGCTTATTTGTTATACATGTTTTAACTCTTCATTTTTGTATTTATATTATTCATGGTAATAAAAATTAAATATTTCAGGCTGTACAACATAAAATCTTTGCCGAAAGATCGTCGATTTCTTATGAAAGTTCTTTGCGAGATGGCAGATATTATTGGTAAAGAAATAGACGAGAATTCAACAGATAATAAGATGAAAGTTTCGTTCAAAGAAGAATTGGAAGCTGGAGAACAGGATGAACCGGAGAACTTTCATGTTCAAGATGAAAATTCGGAATTCCAAGTGTTTGAAGGTGACGGAGAGGAACATAAGGATGCTAAAGAAGGTTTTAGAGTTGATGAGTTTGAGGATATCAATGCTCCGATGAAGGTTTTGGGCTTGAAAGATGAGCTGAAGGTTAGTTTTTGGGAAAAATTGTTTTTTATTGGTACATAAACTAAGGTGGGATGTTTGGATTAATTTTAGGTTTAAAAGGTTGATTATGATATTGTTTTTGAAGTCTTAAATATGTTTGACGTTCCAAGGTTATTGGTTCGAACAGAAATTTGATGTTATTCTTGATGACTTCTAGGTTTCTGGTGTCATGGACAATATTGAATATTTTTCGAAAAATATTTTTTTGATCAAGCTTAAGTTATGCCAAAAGCAGGTCAATACAACACTTTTTAAATACCCAAAGTTTAGTTTAATTTCTGTGTCATATAAAAAAGTTATGGTAAAATCCATTTAGGTCGCCTTGTCCAAGCGAAAAGCCGACTTTGACCAACGACAATTCGAAGCTTTGGCCAAATTGAAGAATTGCACGGTGGATGAGGTTGTAAAACAAGAAGAAGAGAGGAAACAGAAAGAAAAGGAAGAGGTTATGAAGCTGGAAAAGGTGGAATATGCACCACAACAAAGGATACATATCAGCACGGCCGATTTGCTGAAAGCGATGAAGAAACAACCTCAGATTGTAGAAATTGGCAATGATTAGGGATAGGGTGGCTATGATTTTAGATTTCGCAATGAATTTAAAGCTGAACAATGTCTTTTTGACCATATATTGTTACAGGTAGTGTAAATATGTTGAAATGACCTTATGTTTTACTATTTTTTGTCTTTCGTGATCTCAGTTTTCAAGAATGATCCTCATTTTAGTCCATTCTATTTGGTTTTATCTAAAATATGATAATATAAAACTGATTCTACTTTCAAACAGATGGTTTATTATTAGTTTCAGGATATTATTATTAATATTAATAACGAGAAATAGTCAAGTCAGATTTACAAAGGTAAAATAATATTAAAAAATGAAAGATTGAGCGTAGTTTGGCAGGTTGAAATCAGATGCAATAATAAATATGATGTAATGCACAACTAGTACAATATATTACAAAAAAGGGTATAGAATAGTACAAGAAATCAGAAAATATTGTCATAGGTTATTCAAATAACATTAATACATAAGTTGTAATAACAAAAGTCATATATTAATGATGACAAAGGCGATATAAATACGTTATAAAAAGATAAATAAGTTAAAATGTACATTTTAGCACTGTTGGTGCTGTTTTTTTTTAGCACTTGGTACTATACGATGACTTATTTAGTGTTTTACAAGCATTCGAGTACTATTTGTTGGCACCAGTACTGCGCTTTTATGAAAAGTACCATTTTTTATTTTTGGTACTAGTTTTTTTGTTTTTGATGCTATTCCTTCATTTGGTACTATTTCTATGTATGGTACTGTTTTTCATATGGTACTACTTTTCCGGATCGCTAATAGTACTATAATTATACCAAAGCCGCACTATAGTACCATAATAGTATCAAAGGCGCACTATAGTACTATAATAGTAGCAGTGACACGTTATAGTACCATAATAGTATCAAAGACGCACTATAGTACTATAATAGTAGCAATGACACGTTATAGTACCATAATAGTACTAAAGAGAGTAGTGTTAGGTTGTTAAAATAATTCCGTGCTCCCTAGCCTTAACAATTTGCTTTGGAAGGTGACATATAATTATTCGTGCAACCTATATATGGTACTGTTTCTACGTATATAGTACTATCTTTCCCCATCGCTAATGGTACCATAATAGTACCAAAGAGAGCATCTTTTTTTCTCTACTACTCTTTTAAAACACTGTAGTCTCTATCGTTTCCGTTTCCTCAAATTGAACCTCAATTGTTGTGGGTAGGGTAATTCCACCGGGGGTTGTAGTATCCTCGGGGGTAGATCGGCCTTCTCCATGAAAGCTGGAGCATCTCTTAGTGGACCAATGTTGTTCATAGGCTGGTTTTGATGATTTGTGTTCATTGGGGATGGATTATGACGATTTACATCCATTGGGGGTGGATTCATATTATTGGTCAAGGGCTGGTTTAGGGGATTTGTGTTCATTATGGGCGGGTTAAATTGATTTGTAGCCAAGGGCGGGTTAAATTGATTCGTATTGACCAAGGGCGGATTAAGATGATTGACGAACTCTGGGGGTGGATTCAGTCGTAGAGGGTCGATATCAGATATGATTTTGTGTGGCGCTTCGTAGAGACCATCATGTGGTGTTTCGAAAATTGGTCGGTGTGAGCGCAAGGGTTGATTTGGTGAAGGCTGATGCTGGCTTGGAGCTGAAAAATACATCTTTAACAAGATTTTTGTGGTATATACAGTATCTATACAATGGAACTCCTATATAACGAATATAAAGCTTCCTGAAGCCATGAGAAAGAGGAGGAATGCTCAAGCCTGTCTATCTCATGAATAATATATAAAATTCGGACAAATGTAAATGGAAGTTGAGTGGAAGATTTGTAATGTATTTTGCGCTAAAAATCTTCCACTAAACTTTCATTTTTAAAATGTGTTAAAATGGCATAAAAACACGTTTTTCACACTTTTTAAAAGTGGAAGTTGAGTGGAAGATTTTCAGTGCAAAATACATTGCAAATCTTCCACTCAAATTCCACTTTTTGAAACAAGCTGTAATTTTGTTATAAAATGCCATAATGTTACAGTATTTCATGGAATAAGTCAGAAATACATTTGATTTTCATAGGAATGTAAGCAAAGAGCAAAAACTTTGTTTACAAGACAAAAAAACAGCAAAAACTTTGTTTCCATCGCATTTTTTATCTATATGAGGGCATTTTTTATCTGTAAAAGGGCATTTTTTGTCTACAAAAGGGCATTTATCATCGATAAAAGGGCATATTAGCCTAGAGAACCTAAAACATCCAAAAATTTTTGGGTACAAAATGAACTTTTTCAAGAGAAAACAGCGTCAAAACTCACGTTTCTCCTCGTTCTGCCGTTTTTCAGTCGACTTTTTTCGCATTACAACAACAACAACAGCAATCACAACATCTCCTCGGTCTTGGCTTCTGCGGTTCCTCATCCACCTTGTTGTTGTTGACAAAGTCTCGTTGAAATTGGTTGTGAAATTGTTCGAAATCGTCTTGAAGGGGGAAGAAAAAGTCGAAAATCTTGTCGGCCATTGACGGGTTTTCGCGTTTTTTGCGGTTGAAAAGTTGTTGGAAGAAGCCGAAAGGACCGGTCGATTGTTGGGCATATTGAGTGTTATAGTTGGGGTCTTGACTATTTTGGAAGTTGTTGAAATTGGGCGGGGTTTCGAACTGATCGCTGGGGTATTTGTTAAAATCTTGGGGATTTTCCGCAAATTTGTTGAAGTCTTGGCCAAATTTGTTGAAATCCTGGCCAAAGCTATTGAAATTTTGGCCATAGTTGTTGTAGCCACAATTACAACCGGTCGATTGTGAGGCTTGGGATTCGCGTTGTTGTTGTTGGCCTAGCCATCGCATCGCGTTCTCGACGTACTGGCAGTCTTCAGGCGATGGTTCGTTATCATTATCAGTAGTACTTGCTCCTTGGTTTACTGTGTTTGCACCGTAGCTGGGATTAGAGCCATAGCCGGCTGGATTCGAGCCAAAAGAGCCTGGATTTGAGCTGAAGGCGTTTGGTGTTGATCCGAAGCCACTTGACCCAAAACTAGTACCACTACCAAATCCGCCGGTACCAGAATATGCAGAATTAAGTCCAAAGCTGGGATTGTTGCCATATGGACCTGGGTTTGCTCCGAAGCCAGGTGGGGCGGATCCGAAGCCGGAACCGGTTCCGAAGCCGGGATTGGAGCCGAAGCTGTTGGCAAAGTTCATAAAGGCGTTCAGTCCTCCGCCGATGCCATTGTTTGGACTAGAGCCTTCCGAATTGACGCTTGAATCCATGTTTGGTACACTGGTACCCATTGGATTGAGGTTGTCACAATTGCATTTCATAGGCTCGCAGTTGCACTTAATTGGCTCACAGTTGCACTTTAATGGTTCGCAATTGCATTTCAGGTTCAGATTCTCGCAATTACAAGGTATCGGCTCAGGTAGTGGACAAGGTTGGCCATACGAGCCATATTGTCCATTTGGTGCGCTTCCAAAGCCAGTTGGTCCAGCTTGAGCGCTGAAGCCGGCTTCAGGCGGACTATATGCTGGAGCACCACATGGGCAGGCTGATTGGCTACATGGTTGACAGTTGGAGCCACAGTTTGAGTTTGACGCCAAGAATTGGCAATTGAAGCCGGGATTCGAAGCCGAATTGAAGGTATTGGCTCCAGAAGCCGAATTGAAGTTGTTGGCTCCAGAAGGCGGATTGAAGGCGTTTTGAGAGTTGGTAGATCCACATGGGCAGTTTGAGCATCTACAGCTCTGGCCGCAATTGGAATTTGAAGCCGATCCGAAGCCGGAGTTTGAATTGGCGCCAAAGTTCGAGTTTGACCCTGAATTGGCGCCAAAATTTGAATTCGAATTCGATCCGAAGCCAGAATTCGAAGCCGGATCCTGAGCAGGCTGGTCACTAGCCGCTTGACCGTTACTACCAAACCCACCACAAGGCCCCTCAGGGCAAGCACACTTGCACTCCTGACCGTCCGCATAGCTGTGGAAGAAGTGGTGATGATGATGGTGATGGTAGAAGTGACGATTCTTCTTCGACTTCTTATAATGATGATGGGCTTGATCGTGCGGATTCTGATCAGGATTCGGTTTTTGATCCGTATTGATCAATGGCAACACATAGTAGTCCCGACCATGCCGAGTCGCTCTGAAGTTGGTTGCACGCTTCCTACGTCTCAGCTTGAAGCCACAATCATTGCCACAACAACAACATGGCTCGAATTGGAACATGAAATAATAAGTCTGGCAACAGCCACAACCTCCGCAACATGGCTGACAACAACAGGGCTGGCAAGATCTGCAACATGGCGAACAACAGCCGCAACACCTTTGGCAACAACATGGTGAACAGCAACTTCCGCAACAATCGGAACAGCAACCTCCGCAACATGGACAACAACAGGGTTGGCAACAGCAACAGGGTTGACAACAACAAGGCTGGCAGCATCCGCAACAAGGCTGACAGCATCCACAACAGGGTGAACAACACCCGCAACATGGGCAACATCCGCAACACGGCTTCGGCCCTATTTGGCATTGGCACATTGTGATGGTACGGCGACGGCACGGTGGTGGAGGGCCGACAGGACGGGCGTCCGGCAACATTGGCTGGTCGCAGCAACCTGGAATTTCAAATTTTAAAATTTTTTGATTTAAAAAAAATTTTTTTTAATCAAGAAATTCTTACAAGTATTATTGGGCGGGGCGACAGGAGGCTGTAGTATGATCGGGGGTGGATCCGGGAATGACGGTCGGCAACAGCAACATCCGCAACCGCAGCAACCTCCATCGAAGAAGCCGTCCGCGTACGGCAGTATTAGTATTAGGGTTGTTATGATAGACCACATGGTTATCATTGGTCTGGACGGCCTGGTACGGCCGGACGGGGGGGGTGGACTGAAATTAGGAGGTTATATGACATACAATATAGTACGATACTGAAACGTGATTTTCGAAACTTTTTCAAATTTCTATGTGTAATAGTACAGGTACTATAAAGTATTGTGATACTACTAGAGTACTATATTATTAAAAAATATTCTACTACTATAGTACCAATGGTAGTACTATGATAGTACCAAAAGTCATACTGTATTAATATTGAAAGAATTAAAATAGTATTAGTACTCTCACATTGTATGATGGTACTAAAGAATAGCAATTATAATACTAACAACATTAATTAACTAGTACTATTATAGTACTAATAGTAGTATTATAATAGTACCAAACACCATGATTTACTAATACTGAAAGAATAAAGTTAGTATTAGTACTATGTTAATACTAAAGAACATACAGTGTTAATACTAAAAAAGAAAATTAGTATTAGTACTATGGTATGATAGTACCAAAGAGTGGCACATATTATACTAACAGTACTAGTTAACTACTACTACTAGTACTATGATAGTACTGACGAATAGTAAGTCAAAACCTATTATTAATACTATGATTGCACTAACAAATGACAAATATTATCCCCCCAACAAATGGTATTAGCCTGCCACTTTAGAGTACTACTGTACTCTTCTTAGGTGCCGACATAAAGAACCCGCCATTTTTTACACGAAATTACAGGCAAAGTATGGCGGGTTCTTTATGTCGGCACCTAATACAAAAAAGGCGATTGAAGTTTAGGGCGGGGTTAATAGAGAAAAAAAAGGTACCCGCTCAAAAAAAATTTTAAAATTTTCACTCTGCCCCCCCCCCCAAAAAAAGTCAAAAAAATAAAAAAAAAGCCAGCCTGATCCCTCCTGTTGACTTAAAAAGCTATCTTTACACTTCTTTTGCACCCTACTGCAAAATGCCTACCCTACCCTGCCTTTCTTTCCTACCCCAACACTATGCCTAATCTACCCTACCCTTCCTTCCCACCCCACCACAAAATAATAATTATAATCTTTACCACACCCGACTACAATCCACACGTCAAACCCAGCTCAGCAGCTCGCAATGATCACCAACCCGGCCAACACCAAGCCCCATCCCCCGCCCCGCCCTATTGTCTGCGCGACTGTTTCTATTTATGGGAGCGCGGTGTTTTTGTAAACAACTTGAACAATTCGGGAAATCGGCCATCACGCTGCAACATCTTCACACGTTTTTTGGACTAGAAACCTAATTTTGGGCCTTCTACCTATTTTTGGTTACTGTAATTACTCTGGGCATTGAAATTTTAAAAAATTTTTAAAAATTTCAAAAATGAAAACCTGAAAATGAAAAATTTAATTAAACCATTCGAAAGCCCATCAAAAGTTATGCTAATATAAATCTTTTCAAAATTTTAAAATTGGCTTAGAAAAAGTTACAGTATCCCAAAGTTTTTACTAAAATACGCAAATTTTAAATACCTCTACAATAAAATTACAAAAATGAAAACGCACAATCATAGTATACGACAAGAAAAGCATACTACAAAAATTTCATAAATTTCTACCATGTAATTCAAAAGATACGACAATTAACATTTTCCACTGTTACGGTAGTTGATACAAACTATGTCATAACTGACGAACTAGTAGTCTAAATGAGCTCAAACTTGAAACCCTGGTAGCCTTTTAGCTGTCTTTTAATACGGCAGTCCAAAAATTTTAAAAGTTTTTCGAAAAATTTCAAAATTAGCATATTTCACTCAAAATTTTGGGTTACTGTAACTTTTTTGAAAATGGCACTAAAAAATTAAGGAATTTGGTATTAACATAGTTTTGAATGCTCTTTCAAATGATATACATGTCAATGATAATGTAACAACTTTATATGTAATATTAGTTTTGTCATATTTTTTTTAAAAAGTCATATTTTTGAAATAATTATGAAAATTTCAAAAAAATATGAATGCCAAAAAATCGAATTTAAAGACAATTTTAAAAAATAAAAAAACTGGTCTGACAAGTTAAAAAATTGAAAAAAGTAGGATAAAATGAAAAGTAGGTAACACGGAAAAACAGAGTCCATATTTGTTGACAAATGGCTGTGAAGAGCACTTTAAATTATCCTTCAAAAACTACAATAAAAATGGATCAAAAACAAATTTTAAAAGCATTACAATCGAAGAACCCCATAAAAAAAATTTTCGAAAAAAGTTGAACGTGGTCACCCCTGTGGATTTTTTGGAAAAAAAATTTTACCTGTGCCGATTTTTTCAACCCCACCTCCAGACCAAAAGTCCCCGCCCGACCCTGATCTCTCTATGTAGTGAACCATCTGTATAAGCAACTCTCCTTATAGTCAACAAGAGATTTGGCCCCGCCAAGTCAATTTGCACTAAGCAATTACTCTGTAAAGACAACATCCTCTATAGTAAACACAAAGGGCGAGTTGCTTATATAGAGACAGTACTGCATAAAATTTGAGTTTCAAAACTCATATGCGCAAGACTAGTATAACGAACAGGTTTAAAATCTCTGAGCGATTTGTTATACCGAAGTTTTAAGGTTGTAAACAAAGTTTTTGCATTTTCTAACAAAATGAAAAAGTTTTTTTTTAAAATTGTGAAATTTCTCAAAAATACAGTATAACTCATGTGTAACGAACTCTTCTGTAACAAAGTTCTCTATAAAGCTCTTCTCCATAACAAAACTCTGTACAACATACTACTAGGTGCCGACATAAAGAACCCGCCATACTTTTCTTGTAATTTCCTGTAAAAAATGGCGGGTTTTTTATGTCGGCACCTAATACAATAGAACCTCTGTATAACGCATCGCTCGAAGATTTTAATTTTGTACGTTATCAAGAAGTTATGCTATACAGAAGCAAAAGAAATTAGTGTTAGCCAAAAATTCAAAAGTTGTTTGTTATACAGAGTTTTCGTTATAAGAGTTGGTTATACAAAAGTACAACTGTAAGCCCAAAATTAGCTGGAAGACAACTTCCGTATTACCCAAAAAAATTAAAGCCCACAAGCTCCGCGTGCATCCCTAAACGTCCACGAAATCGGAAAAAGAGAAACGGCTGCGCGGCTACTGAGGCCGGATCTCCAAAGTCCGTCAGTGTTTGCATTAAACACGCTGAAGACGCGGTCTCCTAAAGACCTGCGTTCACCGTCATAGCATACGTTATGATACATTACAACGTAGTGAAAATTTCAAAATTAAAATTTAATTAAAATTTTTTACCCTTACCTTACTTTACGTTACCCTACCCCACCCATACCCCGCTTAAAAACAAATTTTTAAAAAATTTTCAAAAAAATTGAACGTAGTCCCCCCTGTGGTCATTTAGACACAAAAATATTGAGAGAAAGTGCCTTATCACCTTCAAAACAACAATCGAGTACTATAAGATTGCCACAAACCTAACTAAAATGACCTGCTGTCAAATTTAAAGCTGTTTAAAAGGTGGAAGTTGAGTGGAAGATTTTCAGTGCAAAATACATTATAAATCTTCCACTCACCTTCCACTCCTAAAAAGTGTTAAAAAGTCATTTTTAGGCCATTTTAAGACATTTTAAAAATGGAAGCTGAGTGGAAGATTTTCAGTGCAAAATACATTACAAATCTTCCACTCAACTTTCACTTTTAAAAAATCGCCGTTTTTGGTGTTTTAATCAAGATTTGGTTCTTTTTCACAGTTTAAAGTCAGTTTAAGACACCTAGAGCACTAATTACATAGAAAAAATATTTATTATGCACTAAACGTCAGCTATTCCATACAATCGTATAGGTAATATCGGTACTGTCAAGTACGGCTACTTTAAAAACTTTAACTTATGTTTTTACTATAAATTTGGTGTTTCATATATATAGTACTGTTGGTACAGTAAGTTCTTTAGTACACATTTCCCATTTTGTTGATCCGCTTCTTGCCAGTCTGGGACTCCAGTCCAGGATAGCAGCTCTTTAGGCAGGATTCAGTGAAACAACAGGTTTTAGACACATCTCCAATCGAACAGCCTTCTTTGCAGCATTTTTCGGTTACTAAAAGCTGATTTTTCATAATTTCAATGATTTTTGCAAAAATTTTCGAAAAATTACACTTTATACGATGAAACATGTTTTTCAAAAAAAATTAAAAAATTGTGAAAAATGAGGTTTGAAATTTTTAAAAGTGACCAACTTAAGCTAATTTGAAGCCTAAACCCCTATTTTTTATAATTTTGCATTGAGGTTTAAAAAGGAGACATGTTATACGATGAAACATGTTTTTCAAAAAAATTTGCAAAAAACACATTTCATCGTATAACATGTCCAAAAACTAAAAAATCTGCCCCAAAACTTCAAAAAAAATTTCCCTACCGTCTCGGCTAGCATGCGCACCACCCAAACAAGGCGTGGTTTGTTTGTCGTAGGTACAGACCTTCTTCTGCAGCTGAATAAAGCTGTTTCCACAATACTTTTTGGCCTCAAATCCGGCCAAACACAACAAAAACACAGTAATCCACAGCTGGGGGTTCATTTTAAAGAATTTAAAAACATTTCAAACACACAGCTCAAATTTTTATACTGTTTTGTTTATGTGAATAAACAAATCTTTTTTTGAAAATTTTGGAAAAAAAGCGGGCCTTGCTTGAAAAAATGTGGCCTAGCGAGAAGTTGGACTGGCCTAGAAAGGTAAGTTTTGGCAAAGTAATGTAATAAAGCCTTGTTAACGGTGTGTAAAAAATTGAAAGCCCTAAGGGCATTTTCAATTAAGATACAAAGCTTCAAAACCAGCCGGGTAGCCTAAAAAGCCAAATTTTTAGTTTTTTCCTCTTTATTCAAAGCAAAAATAAACAAAAATTACATTTTTTGTAGTATACTAATAAACAATGTTGTTGCTTGTAGTATCAGGCTTTTACTTCCAAAACATTAAGCTCAAATACGTACAGATAATCTTAAAAAAAATGTGTTTTTAATAGAAAAAGCTAAAAAAAAAGACGTTAAATCATAATAAAAGTTAATGTCAAAGCGTATTGGCTAAACCTAAACGGCCCATATTTTCAGTAATAGTGCACCAAACTATTGTTTAACACAAAGCAAAGTTTCAAAGTCTTATCGCAATATTAGAAAAAGTTATTAACCTTTAAACATTGGCAAAAAACAAAAAAATCCTACTTTTAGCAAATTTTCGGCAACTTTTTAGTCTAGCAGTACGATAGACTAGACTAAAAGTGTCATATTTTTTACAATAGTAGAATAAAGTGTATTTTACAACTGTGTTAAGTTTTAAAGCCTCAGGTTATTTTAAAATTAATTACTGAAGTTTTAAACCAACTGGGTTAGGAAAGAAAGCCTTTTCCTGGCCAATCATAACAGCATTTTTTAGTCTAACAATACGATAGCCTGGACTAAACGTACCATATTTTTTACAATTGTAGATTAATGTGTATTTTACTCTTGGTTTAGGTTTTAAAACCCCAAGGCGATTTTGCAAGCAGTTACTGACTATCTCGGACTACTGATCCCACATTCAGGTCTATCACCAGAAAAAATATGTAGCGACGTCTCTGAAACCAAACATACTTCAATAAGCACTGTCTTTGAACATGTGTTACAAAATAAACTCAAAAAAAATCAAATTCAAGTCGATTTATTAAATAAAATATATTCCAAAATAAACTCAAAAGATTTGGTAACAAAATTAATGTGAAATGAGGTAATACCGGTAAAAGTGAACGCGTACTGGTGTAGTAAAAGATTGGCGGTAAAAAACATAAAGTGAGATGAAAGGATGGTAAGAGATTTGTTAGGTAAAACTATTAAAATACAAAAGAATCACTCTTCTGATAACAAGTTTTCATTGGCGCCCGGAGGGTTGATACAACACTCGGCTCCACAACGGCAGGGATTCAGTTTGTGGCCATAGTCGATGAGGAGTTCTTCACCTGAAATGGCATTTTTTAGAAAATTTTAAAAAATTCAAAAAAAATTTAAAAAATATCGAAAATTTTTTTTTAAAAATTAAAATTTAAGTTTAAAAAAAAATCAAAATTCCAAAAAAAAATTCAAATCCCAAAAAAGTTTAAAAATTTCAAAATCTTCAAAAATCCAAAATCCACCCACCCGCCTCAATATCCCTCTTGGCAAAGAAGCACAGTTCATGATATCGATTGTCGTATCTCGACGCCAACACTCCGACTACATTCAGGTTGGGAGCACAAGAATGGTTGACCCAGCGTGCTTCGTTGCCAAAATGAGTAGCATCGATGCAGAAAATAGCATCTTCATGCCCGCAGGTGTCCAACGCGTACTGATACATGACATCTTTGGGTGATGAGCATAGTAGGTAGACTTCGCCAATGTATTGCATGACAAACTGATCCTTTCTGATCTTTTCGGCCGCTCTGATCGACCAGCCTCGTTCGGCTGTTCTGAATAACACCACGGCGAATTGACGTCCACGCTGTAATTTGGAGTGGCATTTTCAAGTTTTTTGGTCATAAGTAGTGAGAAATGCCATTATTAAAAGTTTTTTTTAGTCATACATAGTCAAAATCGCAAGTTTTAAAAGTGTAAGTCGAGTGGAAAATTTGTAATGTATTTTGCACTAAAAATCTTCCACGCAACTTCCATTTTTAAAAAGTCTTAAATGACCTAAAAACATGTTTTTAAGCATTTTTAGAATTGGAAGTTATGTGGAAGATTTTCAGCGTAAAATACATTACAAATCTTCCACCAAAATTCCACCTCCAAAAAGTGCCAAAATATGTTCCCAAGCCATTAAAACCCCCCGAACTTAACCAAAATCAGTATAAAAAAGCAAAAACCAACCTGAATCACCCGAGTAGGACAATCATTGCCACATCCACAGAGTCCACCACACTCTACTACTCGATTATGTTGGTAGTTAATGTTCAGTAAGCCATTCTTGTAAGTCAAGGTCGTGCCTTCAACTTTCTGAAATAAATAAGACGTTCAATATTTCGCTACAATTGTTGTTGGAAATTTCGACTACTTTTAAACTATTTTAAAAATGGAAGTTAAAACTGTTTTTTGTAAGTCCCGAGAGTCAGTGTCGACACGAAAAAAATCAATGTCTTCAAAACTTTTGAAATTGAAATATTTGAATAGCCTATACGTAAGTTGCACAAAAATCAAAAAATTTGTTAAAAAATTTACAGTATGAGGGTGTACGGTAATACCAGCCGTGTTTTCATATCTCAGTAATGAGCAGTCGTAGAGACACGCTTTCTTCACCAAACTGTTAAGCGTGTTTAATAATGCATTTTTGTTATTTACATCTACTTTCTAGCGTTTCAGGAAGCGCTTCAAAAATTTGCATATTTGTGCGCAACTACAGTAATCCGTATTTTTCTCGGCAGGGATGCCTTATACGACACTTTTTTATTTCACATTATGAAAGAGTATTTTCTTGCGCTTCAAACAAACCTAACTTTGTTTTTTAAATGGTAGCCCCGGGGGTCAAACCTTCGGTTACAATTAACCCCTTAGGTAATGTTTATTATTTTGAGTAGTTTTTAAGCGCTTTTCGCAAAATTTTAAAAACAAAAATTTTTTTGATGTTAAAAATTAGAAAGAAATTAAAATTTTAACAAGAAAATGGCGAATTTGCATAATTAAAGTTTTTCAAAATTTTTTGTTATATTACACTATTTCCTTAATATCTCTACCAAAATGCAAAATACGACACATTTTTATTATAGATTTTGAAACTACATTTTCTTGCGCTTCGAACAAGCTTAATTTTGTTTTTTAAAAAAGTAGCCCCGAGTGTCAAAACGTCGATTAAAGTTAACTCCTTAGGTAATGTTTATTATTTTGAGTAGTTTTTTGGGCGCTTTACGTAAAATTTTAAAAACTATTTTTTTGATGTCCAAATTTGAAAATAAACAAAATTTTATGAAAAAATTAAAAATTTGCATATTTAAAGCAAAATACACTACAAATCTTCTACACAACTTTCACTTCTAAAAATGCTCAAAAACGTGTTTTTAGGCCATTTCAAGACATTTTAAAAATGTAAGTTGATTGGAAGATTTTCAGTGCAAAATACATTGCAAATCTTCCACTCAACTTTCACTTTGAAATATAGCCGTTTTTAGTGCTGCAAGTAAAATTTTATTTTTTTATAATCATTATTGGCCTTTTTCAATAAATTATAAAGCCAGAAAAAATTATTTTTTTTATAAAAAAAAGTCTTGTCGTTAATGTACATTACTTTACATAGTCAAAAACGACAAAACTTTTCTGGGTTTGCAATATTCATTCTTAACACAATATATTGTCAAAATTTCTAAAATAAGTTAATCTCGTCTTTTATATATGTACTTTATATATCATATATATGTACATATTATACAAGCTTCAAAATCGACAAGCCTTCCGTTTACCTTCACATAACCCCATTTACCCCCTAAAATAACCCTATTTACCCCCTAACCCAACCTCAATTACCCCAAAAACCTACAGCACAAGAACAACTTTCAGGCAGACATCTAGGTTTGCAGTCGCACTTCTGTTTGACCAAGCTTCCTTCGCCAAAGACGGCCTCCGCGTCGGCGGTGATTCGATTCTTCTGACCGTATTGGAAGTGGATCGGCTCTCTGGCGTCGTCCACCCAATTCTCAATGTAGATGGGAGCTACTTTAAAGCGTTTGTTGACCAAATTGAGTTCGTACTCCCATTCGACCAACTTGCGAAAACTCTGCATTCGTGCTGGATATAGTTGCTGATTCTTGTGGTAGGGGTAGTAGATTTTGTCACGGTAATCGCAGCGCTTCTTAATCTTGTTACAGATTTGGAGACGGTTTTTGTATTGTTTTAGCTACAAAAAATCAATAAAAATGAGTTTAAAACGTGTTTTTAGGTATGTTAAAGACATTTTAAACCAGTCAAAAGGTATACAATAAAAAGTTATAAAGATTATTAACGGTTAGACATTTCAAAAAAATGTGGAAGTTCAGTGGAAGATTTTCAGTGCAAAATACACTAAAAATCTTCCACTCAAATTCCATTTTCAAAATGTCTTAAAATGGCCTAAAAATGCATTTTTGATACTTTTTTGAAGTGGAAGTTATGTGGAAGATTTTCAGTGTAAAACACATTACAAATCTTCCACTCAACTTCCACTTTTTTTAACACGTCATTTTATGTGTTATATAGAAATATATAGTCAATTTGTAATTTAGAACAAAAGTTCTTGCAATTTTTCGTTCTGTAAACAAAGTTCTTACCTTCTTGGGTGCGAAGATGTCACTTTCGGCTTGCCAAGTGAGGTCTTCGACTGTCCACCCCTTCCACAATATTAGGAATCGAGCTTCCTTCTGTCGTTTCGATTGTTTTGAAAGTAAGATCCGCTCCACTTCGTAGACTTCAACACCGTCACAAGCTGGAGCATCCGCATCTTCCAGTTCGTCGTCATCATCGTCTTCGTCCTCTTCTGAAATACGACATTTTATAAGGTTTTAAAGCGTCTTTAAGCCTAGAATGAAATAATTAAGCCCGAAATGACATTCTTAAGCCTAAAATGATATTTCTAAGCCTAAAATAACATTCTTAAGCCTAAAATGACTTTTTAAGCCTAAAAAGATATTATTAAGCCTAACTGACATTTTTTAGCCTAAAAAGACGTTATTAAGCCTAAAATTACTTTTTAAGCCTAAAATGACATTTTAAGCCTAAAATGAAACTTTCAAGCCTAAAATGACATATTAAGCCTAACACGACTATTTCAAGCCTAAAACAAAATTTTTAAGACTAATATGACATTTTTTACCAAATATGCCATTTTGAACCCAAAATGACACTTTCCACCAAAAACACCCCCTAAAACCAATATCTAAGCCTAAAAACCCACCAATTTCCTTTTCCTTCTCCCTGGGCCGCAGTTCAGCCAGCGCTTGTTTATGTTCCTCCTCCAATCGCTTGAATGACGCTTCATGAATTCGAAGTTTAGCCATAAACTCGGCCTTATTCTGAAGCAATGGATTTGGTGCCAAGAAGCCCTTGACCTCAGGCACATTATTTTCGTCAAAAGTTTTGTGAATCAGTTCGGCTCGAAAGTTGACGCCCTCTTTGTCCCACCAATTCTGAAAATGGCAAATCTCATGAGATGTGATAAAAAATGGCATTTTGATTATATTTTTATTAAAAACTTAATTTTTAGTTGGCATTTTATACGATGAAACATGTTTTTTAATATTCATATTTGAAAACCTGGGCATGTTACATCGTATAAAATGTCCCGGTTGACTCTTAAAACACCTTTTATAGCATAAAATGTCCATTCAACCCCCCAAAACACCGTGAATCTTAAAAAAATCCTATTTCCGCCACTTTAAGACTAAAACAACAAAAACTAATTGATAAAACCCCACCTTAACCTTTGGATTATTATTGTTCGGCCTCATATCCAACATCATCCCGCCTTCACTAATCCAATTGATGTCTCTGAGGTGTTTCGTTGCACTTTTCAAATCCTTTTTCCATTCCGTTTGAGCTCTTCTGGCTTTAGCCGGCCGCGTAGGAGGGACTGATTCACGAGAGGTTGATGGAGTCGCATCTCTGGATGTGCTTGACCCTCTTCCTCTTGGCGCCTGTAATCATAAATTTTAATGAATTTTAACAAAAATTTAAAAAGTTGTGACTGAATTTAAGAAAAAATTAAAATTTGATGCATAAAACAATATATTTTAGCTCAAAAAAGCAGTTTTTCGACAAAAATAACCCTTAAACATGCCATTTCCAGTCCACCTAAGCCAAGATAATCAACATAAAAACAAGTCTCACCTTAGTATTCGAGCTCTTCGGTCGACCTGGACCCCGACTTCCTCTACGCATGTTGTTATCTCGAAACTCCCTCAAGACTTGATCAACGTTCAGTTCAGGTGATCCGTCGGATGACAAATCGTATGAAGAATCGTCGGAAAACTCTATAGTTCCACCATCATTCTCTATCGTCTTGTGAAACAGTTCCAAATCCTCGGCCGAAAGCTCTGATATTACACTCTGTACGTAGTCCGGGATTCTTACTAAAAAAGGTTTGATAAGCTTTAAACGTGATTTAAAAACGTTTAAAATAATGAAACAGATACTTGAGCATCTTTTTCAATCGAAATCATTAAGTGATAAGCTAGTTTCAGCACCAAAAAACCAAATTTCCTATCACTAACAACATCAGATGTTACCCACAACTTTATGCTTAATTTTCTCAAAGTTTCCAGCAGATTTTACTCAATTAATTTAAAATTGATAAAGATCTGAACGCCTAAAAGCAGAAAACAAAAAATAAAGACGCTTACATTCACCATTAGGCATCAGGCGCCCTTTCGAATCGTCCACTTCTGAGTCAGAATCGCTGGAGTCTATCTCCTGAAAGATAAATGTTTTTACTAAAACATAAAGATAAAATCAATTAATTTTGTGCCTATTTTAAAGAAGAGATTCTTTTTGTTATAGTGCAATGATTTTAGACAAAAAAATCCATCTATTTCCACCAAAAAATTGAGTACGAAACATCAAGTCCAGCATATAAGATATTGGTACAGAAAAGCCTCTCTTTCTCTCTTATTTTTAGATCAAAAACGCAACAACATACCTTAAGTTATCAAATAATATGTACTAAAAGTAATGCTAGTAAAATATCTCGTTAGACGAACTAGTTAAGTCTTCTATAAATTCTTTTAGTTCAGTAGAACATCAAAATTTTAAATTTTAAAACAAAATTTTGTTTGAAAAACCAAAAAATGTTAGAAATGAAATTTTCTTTCTGCCTCAAGGTTTTCGCGCCAACTCTTCTCCTTTTATTTCACTCCAGTTTTTCGAATTCAAATACCTTTTTGAAGCTTTTCCGCCGCATTTTTTACCTTCACCTAGGCAAAAAGCGCGGTTCCCGCCATTATTTCGGCCAAAACAATGATTCAAAGACGTAAACTTGAATAGAATTAATTTTAAAAGCAAGAAAAATATCTCTTCCATCAATTTATGACCATTTCAAGCTAGTTCTTTGATCTTTCCTAAACAAAAACAACAAAGAATAAAGGATAACATACCATTTCGTAGGATCGTCGTCTCGGACGTTTCAGGCGGACGTTGGGATTCATTTTTACAGGAGATTTAACAAGAATTAGCTCTGTTCATAACACTGAAATTGAAATGGTTCAAAAACGTTTCCGAAAAAAATATTTTACATATTTTGAAGTTTGGCGCGAAAAGGCAGAGAACGCGAGCCGCGGCCGCAAATCAAGAGCGAATAATGAAAAATCGGTTGTTTTGATTGCTTTTTTAATCAAAAAATGAAGTAAATGCTAATAAATGACAATTTGCGTTTAGGTTTAGCAAGAGTAAACCTTTCCAAACGTTTTTGATCTAAAAATTTGAGTTTTAAGTTTTATCTAGGAAGCCAAAGTTTATTGTAGCCTTATAAATGGTTATAACTTTGGTCATAGTGATATTGGTGATGTTTCCTTTTGAAGTATAGTTGGAAATTGACTATTTCAATCAAATATAAAAGTTAGTAAAGATTGGAAAGTTCAATTTTAAGATTTTGAGACAAGAACATTGAGCTCGACCTTCTAATCGTAATATAATTTCAAATCGCCATAACTTTTTTAAAAATTGCTGTTAAACGTCAATTATTTTTGTAAACAACTTACAAGGGAAGGCCACAACCTCGCACCCTGGTTTCTTAATGAAACATACATCATTCGAAAGAGCGCAAAAAGTTATCTTAAAAACCGTTTTCAATTTTTGCTAAACAGTATTACGAACAAAGTTACAGGCCATTTAATTTTACTATATGTTTATTGCGCAATTTTTCCATCCGAATGCGAGCGAAAAGAAAGGAGTAGAAGACGTGTACTTCAGTGGTGTAGCGGCAGTGCGCTCCATCATGAAGGAAACCGGCGCAGGTTCGGTGCCTCTCTGTGGCAAGACTTTTCTGCAGCAACTGATTAAAATTTTATAAACTTTTTTGTAACACAATTTTTCAAAGTTTGGTTTGATACCTATTTCAATTTCAGCCTTTTTTCTTTTTAGTTTTATAAAGTTAGTAACAACAATTTTTCGCTAACAATTTATGTTCTCAAAGCAAACATCAAACATTTTTGATGTTCAAAGTTTTTGCTTAATTTTGGAAACTTTCTAGAAAGGAGAAAAAACAATAAAACGAATAAAAAAAATTTAAAGTAGCAAAAATGGTACGAAATGTTAATTTTAAAATTTTAATCAGTTGCTGCAAAAAACTCACGTCACAGAGAGGCACCGAACTTGCGCTGACTTCCTTCATAATGGAGCGCACTGCCGCTACACCACTGAAGTACACGTCTTCTATTCCTTTCTTTTCACTCGCATTCGAATGGAAAAATTGCGCAATAAACATATAGTAAAATTAAACCGCCTGTAACTTTGTTCGTAATGCCGTTTAGCAAAAATTGAAAACGGTTTTTAAGATAACTCTTTGCGCTCTTCCAAGTGATATATGTTTCATTAAGATGCGAGGTTGTGACCTTCCCTTGTTAGAACAGACCATAGTTTATCAGCCTGAAATTTCAGAAAAATCGGTGATAGAGTTTTTTATAATTTTGATGTCAAAGTAATGTACTTGAACCTACTATAATATCTTTTCTTTGTTTATTTTTCGCTTTACGAAAAAAACTAAAATACGTTATAATATATGAGTCTGATCATTATTTTTTATTTTGTTTTGCTGCTCTCTTCGCTTTCGTCGAAATCAGAAGCCACGAACAGCCACCGTGCATCAGATTCGGCGCTTTTATTGTAAGCCTTGAAAACCACCTTGAAAATGTAAAATGTCCAGTAAACATGAACGAACATAAGACCAGCCAACATGGCTAATATCAGTCTGGGAGCGTATGGTTGTTGGAAAGGGTTCCATAGTTGATATTGTGTTTGTGAAAGCGCTGGTATCATGGATAAGATGGTGTAGCCGACGAATAATGGGAAACATATTAGACGAGTGGCTACCCAGCTGAAATACGATAAATGAAGAATATTTTTGGATCGCACTTGAGGCGGAATTCATATTTTTAAAGTTTGAAATGAGTTTTTGCTGACTATTTTTCTAAGCCATAGGGGGGACCAAGTTCAAACAAAATTTTTTAAATTTAAAATTTTTTAAACTTGTAGTTTTTACGTTTATATATGTCTAAAAAAGCACTGTAAACTATTTTTTTACCATATGCTTAATTCTACAAAAAGTTATGACAAAAAAATTTTTTCCTAATAGTAAGGCACAGGGGGGACTACGTTCAAAAATTTTTTTTTTACATTTGTGTCAGTCTAAAAAGACCCTAAAAATTATTTTTCTATTATTTTGTCAGTTTTATAAAAAGTTATAGCAAAAAACACATTTTTCTAACAATAAGCCACAGGGGGGACCACGTTCAAAAAAAGAAAAAAAATTTTGAAAATTGAAAATTTAAATTTTTTTCAAAATATTAATTTTTAATTTTATCAGACCTTTCTTAGCTATATATAAACAATTTTAGTCAACTTACGACACAAAGAAGACGATAAGCATGGCTTTGCACGCATTCTGATGCTTGCCCCAGAACTTTAATATCCAGCTCATTTCCATCAAGCTGTTATTCAAATCATGCAAGAACAGCATCAGAGTGCCACACCTGAGTATGTTGATCGAATAGCTCAGTATGATTCCAATCAGTGTAGTTAAGTTCATCATTGAAATTCTATATGTATCTATGCACTGTATGTCAAATACCATCATATACATGGATGACATGTAGAAAGCACATTGCACAGTAAAATACCATGATAATGTTGTATCAAGTGGATGAAAGGGGTAGTCAATAAAGGCGTATTTGACATCAGTAGCCCATGGTTTGTCAAAAAGTACTGTAAAACCATATACAGTAAGGGCTATGTACGATGTAAGACGGTAGAAGCAAGACAGTAGATGAGGTAGATAGTCATTGTCAATGAATTCACCTGATAGTTGAAGGTATATTACTCTGCTGTAGCATTCGTTGTGCATCTTTTTGGTTATATAACCACCTACTATGGCTTCGTACAAAATACGAAGTATGAATAGTAGAGGTGATAGTAAAAAGGCTAGGCATAGATCGTACGGAGATGTTGGTATGTCGTCCCATGTGCGATGTTGAGACCTACAAGTTGTGGTCAAAGCACTTACTTTCTTTTTTAAATTACCTTGCAGTACCTCATAAAAATTTACAGTACATCGTACAGTAACTTATATACTGCCCGCAGAAACTATGGACCACCCCGCTAACGTGGCAATGAGTTCCAGTAAACTAAGAACATGTATGTCAAATTTGGTCCAGGTCGGTTTACCCATTGTCACGTTAGAGGTATGGTCAATAATTTCTGTGGGCAGTATAGTGGTTTGCAGTCTTTAAGCTTTACAGTATACTATATATATTATTTTACACTCAGAACTTACCATTGTCTTTGATCCCAAAAACTCTGATAAAAGGTTGGCTTTAGAGCGCTCATATTTACTACAGTAATCATACTGTATCTCTTTGTACACAATTGAAAATTTTTGAATATGTTATATGTAAACAAACTAATAGTAAAAACAAAAAATTTTGTGTTGATTTATGTAGGTTAAAGAAGGTTTTGCATTTTTTGCATAATAGATTTATTGTACTTATATTAAATTGTAATAGTATTTTTTAGTTTTTATATAATCTTTCTGTTATTATGTTGATATTGTTGTTAATAACAAGTATAATAATTGTTGATATGTTTACAAAAAAAAGTCAAAAACAATCAAATTATGATCAAAAATAAAATGTTTGCAAAAGATGTTAATTTTTGTAGTATAAAACAAAGTTCTATAAGCCTACTAATCATAAGCCTATTTTGGAATTACTTTTCCCATCATTATGTAATTTGATGACGGTAGCCTTCATGGTCTAAATACAGACAGACGGTAGACAATGAAGACTTGACTTTTATGATTATACAATAAAAAAACACGGAGAATAAGCTAAAATAAAAAATTTGAATAATTTAACCGCAACGTAGAGAAAACGAACGGTAAAGTATTGTAACAGAACTTTTGGCGCATCTTGTAATAAAATAAATTCTTAACATACCGTTTAAAAATAACTATAAGTTTAAGTCCTAGCCTGTTCCTAAACCTAAGCTTATATCCAACATTTTAAAATTTTAAATTTTTAGCTCTGGCTCCAGTTCTGATAGCTCATCTCTAAACGTTTAGTTCTGGTTTCAGCTTTAGCTTCCCTATTATAAATGTGAACTCCAGCTTGAGTTCCGGCTTTTCTTTTTTTCAAATATTTGCTCCAGCTCCAACTCAAGCTTCAGCTCCGGCATTAGTTTCAACCCCAGCTGCGGCTTCCCTATTTTAAATGTTGGCTTCAGCTTCACAGGTGTTTAATACTATTAGGTTGTTCACATAAATCTGCGCCCCCTTACCCCACAAATTTGCATTGAGAGGGGGCGCAGAATTAAGTGAACTACCTAACAATATTGAACATTTTTTGGCTCCAACATCTGCTACGACTTTACCATATCTAAACTTACGTCTGTTAAGACCAAGCCTACTCAATTTAGGCTGACACTAAATCTAAGCCAACGCTCATATTGTCTAGTTCAAAACCTTCAAATGTTAAAATTACTTTAAAATTCATAAACATATCCGATGATGTATGAAAGATGACCAAAACAATGACAACTTCGGGATTACCCGTTCGACACCACCAAACCGGCTTCCGAAGTTTGGTTATTACGGCAGAAGTGAGTGAAAGCGGCGCGACAATAAATCATTTCAACTTCCGAACAAAAACACCGCCGGCGCCAAAAAACCGAACAGATCTCATTTCAACGTAACCTCATTTCGAATAGCCTCAGGAACTAATTTCACTGTTTGTAAAGGGGTTCATTGTATTTTTGGTTATTTTTAAGTAAAAATTCGTTTTTTTGTGTATCAGGCCTAGGCCTACAAAGCCTAAGCCTACTAAGCTTAAGCCTAAGCCTACTGAGCCTAAGCCTACTAAGCTTGAGCCTACTAAGCCTAAGCCTACTAAGGCTAAGACAACTAAGCTTAAGCCTACTAAGCCTAAGCCTACTGTGCCTAAGCCTACTAAGCTTGAGCCTACTAAGCCTAAGCCTACTAAGCCTCAGACAACTAAGCTTAAGCCTACTAAGCCTAAGCCTACTGAGCCTAAGCCTACTAAGCTTAAGCCTACTAAGCCTAAGCCTAATAAGCCCAAGCCTACTAAGCCTATGTTTAATAAGCCTAAGCGTAAGCCTACTAAATCTAAATTTACAAAGGGTAAGCCTAATATTTCAAAACGTAAGCCTAATCTTAATAAGCCTAAGCTTCCTAAGCTTATGTTTACTAAGATTGAATCTACTATCAAAATCGGTTTAAGCCTAAGCCAATTCTTAAGCCTACTAAGCCCAAGCATAAGCCTAAGCATAAGCCTACTAAGTATAAGCATACTAAGCCTACGCCTATCAACCCTGAGCCTTTTTCAAACTTTTATTTTTACTATAAGCCTACAAATCTTGTTTCAAAACCTATTTTTCTCACGTTATTTAGCCGATCGTACTCTTCTGATCCGCGAACTTTAATTCCTCCATTTCCAAATATTTGCCCACCATCCGGAGTTCTTCTCCATTCCGAACATCTCGTAGACAACAAATTAGTCAATTTGGTATTAGATTACCGCAACCTTCAACTGACAGTATAAACAGAGAGCTACAAAAGAATGACAATAGGGTTTCGAACGAATTACGCAAATAGTTTAAAAAAAGTTTCGGGATTACTTAAAGCCGGCTTCAATTACTAAACTAGTTGATTTGCAAGTGTCTTGGGAGTTATAGGTTGAAGAAGATAAGAGTGAGCGAAGGAGGCGGTAGAGCTAAGATTATTTTTCAAAATTTAGGCTTAGCATTTTTAAACGGAACGAGCTTAAGCTAATTAAACTAATGACAAAAAAGTTTAGGCTTAGCCTTAAAATTTAGCTTAGGCTTATTGCGATCAAACTTAAGAAGCTTGAGTTTAGTAGGCTTAGTCTTAGCAGGTCTAGGCTTAGTAGACTTAGGTTTAGCTTTAGTAGGCTTGGGAATAGTAGTCTTAGGCTTAGTAGCCATAGATTATAAAACTTAGGCTTAGGCTTTGTAAGGTTAGGCTTGGTAGGCTTAGACTTAAGCTTAGGTGACTTAGGCTTAGTAACTTTAGACTTAGAGAGGTTAGGCTTAGTAGGCTTAGGCTTAGTAGTTTTACTATAGTAAACATAGACTTAAAAGTGATTTCAATTGTCATCTAATATTGTTTTGCAATTATTTTGATGACAATTCGCAATGGCTTTGCTTCAGATTGACGCAAATTGAACTTTACAAGGCTTTATTTGTTTTGGCTTATTTTAAAACTATAAAAGAAGGCAAAGCAGATTATTTCATTATTATATTGTAGTAGTCGTTTTTTAAGGCTAATTAATCAAAGGTCAAAAATTTACAACTGTAAAACTGAAAAACTTTTAGGTCTAATAAGCCTAGATTTAAAAAGTCTTAAGTATGGGGTTGGGCTTGAACGTGTACGTGAATTTGGGCCTAAACCTAAACTTGAGGCTGAGCCTAAGACTGAGCTTAGATCTGTGTCTGAGCTTAAATTTGAGCCTAAGCCTAAGCTTAAGCCTAAGCCTAAGCCTAAGAATAAGCCTAAGTCTAAGCCTAAGCCTAAGCCTAAGTTTACGCCTAAGCCTAAGCCTAAGCCTAAGTCTAAGCCTACTAAGCCGAAGAATAAGCTTAAGTCTAGCCATTTTTTACTTTGTAAAATTGTTTTTTTTGCTTTTTTACTATTACGAAATATGTCATCTCTCCTGATATCACGTTTTTACAGTGTTTATACTTATATAACGGGATTGACGCTGCAGAAGATCCAGTTTAGGATAGTGGTTGGATCGGAAAACTAGAAAAATATCCGATGAAACCACTTATCACCACCGCTATCAAGTGTAATATCAGACTCATCTTCCCTTTAACACTATTCATGGCCTTTTATATTACTGTAACACCTTTTATATTACTGTAACATCATTTCGAGTACCGTGCTATTTCATGTTTTATCTTTGTATTGTTAAAAATGGCATTTAATCGTCTTTTTTGGTCATATTTATCCTAAAAGCCTCAATTTTTGTCGATTTTCAGGCTAAAAATGGCTGTGACAGCCGGACTGTCCGCCATGATACCATTAGTACTAGTTTACCTGTTGTCAGCTGTAATCCAAGCAGATGAAAGAATTTTCTTTTCAAAACACAACGAAATTGGCGATGTGTTACGGACAAGACGTAGTAATTTCCCATGTGGCAAGAGCTTTTTACCATGTAATGGTAGGTACTATAATAAAATTTTTGGAACGTCGTTTTGGCAAGTTGAAAAGTCGAAATTTTACGAAATTTTTTGTGTGTACTTTTGGGGTTTGTAACATCATATAGCTGAAATTTGGGAACAATTAATTGTATTTGAAAATATATCATCATGACTGATTTTATGATATGTTTTTGAAATAACGTCAGACATTTTTAATTATCTTATGTAGACTTCATAACCACCCTTAGAGTTAGAAAAAGTGGTTGCACGTATTTTACATCACCTTTTTCAGATGAAAATTCGATTTTACTCGACGAATCATCCCCAATATTGATGCCTGATGTTGCTGAACAAAGCGTTCAGTTTGCTGCGGTCAGAGCCAAAAATGATCTGGATACCTTGTACAACAAGACCGAACCTGCTCTTTTCAAGGATTTTAGAGGTAAAGATTTTGATTTTGAATTTTGGTTTAGGTATTATGACAAGTTTTCTTTGAAATTTCCGGTCTTCACCGAATTTAAGTGGAGTTTCGAAGATAAACGGACTGAAAAATAATGTAAATCAATGAAAATGCACTTTTCTTTAGTAAATTTTAACACAAAATATTCCTACGCACATTTTAAGCCTATAATCACCTAATTTGACTCACAATTCATCAAGATATACAACCATATTCACCATGATAACCAAAAATCCATTTCTCAAAAAAATATTTTTAGGTACAAATTTCTTGTTCTCCACCCATGCCTGGGCTGAATTGATGAATGAAGATCGCTATGCCAAAGATTTGTCTTATAGTGCATTGGTTTCAGCTAAAGCAACAGCAAATTTAAAAAAGTAAGTATAAAAGCGGCCGCGTCAAAAAGAATTGTGCGGAATAACCAAAGAAATGTTAAGAAAAGCGACCAATTCTTTTTGACGCGGCTGGGAAAATGGTTGTAAATAATCTAATTTCTATAATATAATGTTTGTTTTGTTAAAATTATGTTAGAATAAGATCTTATTTACCTAAAAAAATGTAAAAATTTAAATGCCACGCTTCAGCCTCATCAGAATAACAAATTAAATATATAACTTTACCTTTAGCTTCACCTCCCAACTTTCCACTGATGATCTTGTGAATGGAATGCCATTGTTTCCAGTAAACAACACAATCATTCATCAAATTTGTCCTGTGAATGCTATTGCTGAATGTATTCCGGGCAGATATCGTACTTATTCGGGACATTGCAATAATGTTGAACATCCACTTTGGGGAGCCAGCTATGAGCCAATGCAGCGGCTGCAGGCGCCGAACTATGCTGATGGTAAGGCTGAGTTTGGTACTGATTTGAAGGTTATGATCTTGCGATTTATGCGATATGATATTTTGTTTGGTTTTGATAAGTTTTAGGGCAAAAACATGATATTAATCATGAACAACAGCAGTTTTTTTGGGATTTGCTTGCTTTTTCGAAATTTTTTGGCTAGATAGCTTAATATTGCTTATTAAATTGACAGTGAATTAAAATAAAAAATTTTTTAATTACAGGACGTTTTAGTGTAAACACGGCATGTTATTCATGACCAACACCTATTTTTTGGATTTAAAAATTTAAAAGTTAAAATTTCCAATCTTCAGGAGTATCAACAATCCGTACCTCATCAAACAACCGTCCTCTCGCTTCACCTCGACTCATTTCCAAGATGTTATTGATCGATAATGTTAATGCTACCTCAAGTCCACACAAGTTTTGCACTGTAATGTTGGCCCAATGGGCCCAGTTCATCTACTCGGATTTGGCTCAGCTTGGGTCGACAATGTTGTTTAATGGGCAAGAACGACTACCTTTGCCATGTTGTGCCACAACTCACGACGAATGTTTGCCAATCATCGCGGCTGAGAATGATGTTCAGTACAAAGGTGGGTGGTGAAGATAAATTTGTGTTTTTGGTTGTTTTTAGGTGGTTTTGATAGTTAAAATAAACAAAATTTTAGCCAGAGGCCAATGTCTTCAATACAGTCGTTCCTTCACCGCTCCTCGCGAAAACTGTAACCTAGGACCGCGGGAACAGGCCAACTTGGCCACCTCCTTCCTGGACGCTTCCCAACTTTACGGCCGAACCTCAGAAGAGGTGAAGAACCTTCGAGAACATTCGGATGGCCGTCTGAAATCAGTGAAGAGCTCAGAACGCCTCCGTGAGATTCCACCTCCATCAGAACGGACCAAAGCCTGCGCCAGTCCAGCGGATCAGCCTTGTTTCGAGAGTGCCAATCCATGGACTAATGTCTTGCCAACCAATGCCGCAGTCCAAACCTTGTTCCTAAGGCATCACAACACATTGGCTGGAGAGCTACAGAAGCGGAATCCACATTGGGACGATGAGAAGATCTTCCAAGAAGCTAAGAGGATTCTGGTCGCTCAAGTACAACATATCACCTACTCGGAATACCTACCAATTGTAGTCGGGAAAGAAAAATTGAAAAGAAATGGACTACAGTTGAGGAGACGGAGCTTTGATGCTGATTACAGCATGGTGAGTGGTATATTTTTATTTTGGCATAGTTTTTTCAAAACTTTTTTAAATTTTAAAGTGGTCGATTTTTTTTCAAAAAAGGTCAAAAGTTAAATCTAAAAGTATAAAAACTACTGGTTTTTCACCTTTTTATAAAGGGCACTTCTTAAAAAAATCGTATTTTAACTTAAAAATTCACATGCAAAAAAACGCCAAATTTGGCGGGAAAATGAAAATTTGAATTTTTAAAAAAAAGTTTAAGGTACCAAATTAAAAGTTAATTTTTGATATGATTTTACATCTTTTAAACTTATAAAACATCTAAATAGTCTTATTTATCGACTTGAAACACTATGCCAAATTTGGCGCGAAAATGAAAATTTGAAATTTCTTAACAAAATTTTAAAGTATTGAATAAAAAACTAGTTTTTTATACAATTTTACATTTTTTAACTTATAAAACGCCTGAATAGCCTTCAAACTTAATTGAAACACTATTCCAAATTTGGCGCGAAAATGAAAATTCAAAAATAAATTTTTAAAAAATTACAAAAAATTTCAGAAAACCAACCCAAGTGTTCTAAACGAATACGCAGCTGCCGTAGGCCATTTCTACTTATCCCTCCTGCCTGATAACATCTCCCCAATTACGGAAAACGGCCAAAATTTGAATAAACAACCCCTCAGCACCTTCTTCAACAACCCCTCCATGATCTACCATCGCGACAAAGTCGAGTCCCTCCTCCGTTTCATGTTAAAAGAGCCGATTCAAAGCCCAAATTTGCATATTTCCCAGGAATTCACTCAGAAGTTTCTCCGCGGCCAAGAACAATATGGTTTGGATCTGGCCGCCTTACTGGTCCAAATGGGACGTGATCACGGCCTAAACTCGTATACTAGGTGGAGAGAACAGTGTGGATTGGGGACGGTGGAGAGATTCGAGGATTTGGGCGGGGTATTCCACGAAAATGTGAATTTGGAGCTGTTCAAGAAGGTCTATCATGATGTAGATGACATTGACCTGTTCATTGGTGGAATGGCCGAAAAACCGGAGAGAGGCGCGTTGATTGGGCCAACGTTTGCTTGTATTTTGAGTGAGCAGTTTGAGAAAGTAAGATTTTTCAAAAAGAGTTGTCGTTTTTCACCTCCAAGCCTTAATACAGTCTGTCTTACTTTATTCCTACTTTACCTTACTTTTGCTTTACTTTAGCCCAACTTTAGTTATATTTTGGCATGAATTTAGTCTCTTTTGCTCTAACCTTGCTATACGTTAGTTTTAGTTTAGCTCTACTTTAACCCTTATTTTTCATGAGTTTGTTATACAGGAGTTCTATTATAAATTGACCGCAAGGTCTTTATCAAAACTATAATATTACCGGAAATATTCAGACTCGTCATGGTGATCGCTTTTGGTACGAAAACTTCTTTCAACCATCCGGTTTCACTGAAGAACAGTTGATGGAGATTAGAAAGACGACGTTGGCAGCGATTATTTGTGACAACACGGATAACATTGGTCAGATGCAACAAAGCGTTTTCGAGCTGCCAAATGAATATACGTAAGTTTAAGGAAACGCGAATTCAGGTTTTAGGATTTAAAGGTTATAGGTAGGATTAGAAGAGTGGCTGTTTTAGGGGGGGGAGTAGGTAGCTAGGGCTAAACTTTCAAAATTTTTACTAAGCCTAAATCTACTAAGGTAAGCTTATTGAAGTTTAAGTCCTCCCCCCCCCCTTCTTAGGACCAAAAACCTCTAAATTACCCCCTTGACCACCCCCTTCTCGCCCCCTCCCCCTTCCGAGAAAAACCGTAGCTACGCCTCTGTTAATAACTATAAGCCTAAGTCTATTAAGATTAATGTAATGTATTTGACTTACTAAACTTATGCTTTTTAAGCCTAATGTAAGTCTATTAAGCCTGCATATTAGGCTTAATTTAGGTAGACATGAGGAACGGGCCGAGCCCAATTTTCAGGCCCGGCTCGATCAAAATTTTGCTCAGGCCCGGTCCGTTCCTCGTGTCTAAATTTAGGGTTAGCTTATCAAACCTTGGCTTTAAATAAGCCTATTAAACCTTAAACTGAAAAATTACTTTTCCAGTAACTGTCCAATGTCATGTAACGCAACCGCCTCTTCCAAGCCCAACCTCGACTTCTGGATCGATCAAGAGCCCAAACGTCGTTTGCCAATCAACAAAGACACATTGGAAAAGGCGTTGAGAGTCGGGGCAGAACAATATCGAAGGCTAAAAGAGGCCGAGAAGAAGAGGCTACAACAAAATGGCAGTTCGAACGATCGTGGCTTGGCTGTCGCGGCTCATGCTAGTATTATGGCACCAAAGAAGGAGAGTTTGGATCGGGCTGAAGCCGCTGGAATCTTGAGGGCTACTACCAACGTGCTTTTGAGAGGGTAGGGCTTTTTTTATTTCTTTGGGGAGGGGGATGATTTTACTTTAGGAAGGGGGGGGGGGGTTAGAGTTTTATTTAGGTAGGGTAAGACATTTTACGGTAGAATACGATGTAGGGTAGAGTAAAGTAGAGTAGAGCAGTGATGCGTAGAGTAAAGTATGGTAGGACAGGAAACGGCTAAGCACGACAGTTCACGGTAAGGCAAGGCAGGATAGGGTAGAGCAGGGTAAATAAATTATGGCACGGCAGGACAGGGCATTGTATAGCAAGATACGGCACGGTTAGGCCTGCCTGACCTCTACTGGACTAAACTGCGCTTGGCCGGGCAGGGCATAGCAAGATAGGGCAGGGTTAGCCCGGCTGGACTGGGATCCGATGGCCATGTAGGAGCAGGGTAGAGCATGGTAGGGTATTATAAGGTAGGGTACGGGTGAGTACAGTAGCGTAGGGCTGGGTTGGGTAGGTTAGGGTACGGTAGGGTAGGGTATGGTAGGGTAGCATAATGTAGGGTAAGGTAGAGTTGGTTAGATTAGGGTAGGGTAAATTAGGGTAAGGTAGGTTAGGGTAGGGTAAGGTAGGGTAAAGTAGGGTAGGGTATGGTAAGGTAGGATAGGGTAGATAGGGCTACAGTATGCCAATTAAAATTTTAATTTTAAATTTCAAAATTTATTTCAGCGACGGCCTAACAGAGAACGAAAAACTTCCAAAAGACCTTGACGTAGCCACTCTTCAACAGCTTTTACCTCAGGTTGATGTCAGTCGAGTGATTGGCAACTTCTCCGACTTTCTAGGTGAAACTCCGAATGCCGAGAAGGAGTGTCTGCCAAAGCCAGTACCGTGCGACCATACCTCCAAGTACCGTACCATTTCGGGCTGGTGCAACAACCTCCGTTTCCCGCATTACGGTAACGCCTTCGAGCCCCTGAGGCGGCTACGTGATCCAGCCTACGACGATGGCTTCGACTCGCCAAGGACTCGGGCTGTAAATGGCAGAGAACTGCCATCAGCACGTACCGTCTCGGTTACAGTACACAACGATGACGAGCAGGAGAGTGTGCACTTTAGTCATATGCTAATGCAGATGGGGCAGATCATCGACCACGACTTTACCCACTCCCCCATCACTCGTGGCCCCTTCAACTCGATCCTCAACTGCTCGACCTGTGACAGTTTTGATACGCTGTCTATTCACTGTTTCCCGATCAAGATCGATCACGGAGATCCCTACTTCCCAGCCACTCATAATGATGGCACACCTAGGTGTATTCCGTTCGCTAGAAGTCTGATAGGGCAGGTCACTCTGGGGTATCGGAATCAAGTAAGTATTAATTAGTTGGGGGGGGGGGGAGGGGGGATTAATTTTTTTGGTGAGGGTAGGAACATGGGGTATAGCGAAGTCACAGAAAGAGGGGTATGGTAATAAAAGTGTGAGGGGGGGGGGATTTTCGGGGCTCAGGGTTAGGGTGGGGCAGGGTAGGAACATCGGGTATAGTGAAAAGACAGAAGGAGGGGTAGGGTAGAAAGAAAGTGTTTTTTTGGGGGCGCGGTGGATTTTTGGGGGCTTAGGGTAAGGCAGGGTAGGGTGGGGTAGGGTAAGATAGGGTAAGGTAGGGTAGGGTAGAGTAAGATAGGGTAAGGTAGGGTAGGGTAGGGTAGGGTAGGGTAGGGTAGGGTAGGGTAGGGTAAGGTAGGGTAGGGTAGGATAGTGTAGGGTAGGTTAGAGTACGGCAGGGTGGGATAGGGTATGGTAAAGTAAAATAACTTATTTTTTCAGATAAACCAGCTCACCTCCTTCCTAGACGCCTCTCACGTCTACGGCTCTACCCAATGTGAAGCCGACCATCTTCGTCTCTTCTCCCAAGGCATGCTCAACTTCACGGACCTCGGCTTCAACAAACAAGCCCTGCCACAGGGTTCGCAGGAACGTGACTGCCGTTCCGGTCCTCACAAACCGTGTTTCGTCGCCGGCGACGAGCGCAACAACATCCAGCCCGGTCTCGCCACCCTACATACGATCATGATGAGGGAACATAACCGTATCGCCAAGGAGCTACATCGTCTGAATCCCCACTGGACTGACGAACAGCTGTACCAAGAGGCCAGGCGCATCTTCACGGCCAAGTACAATCACATCATGTACAACGAGTGGCTGCCCATCGTGATCGGCTGCGAAACCATGGCACGCTACGATCTACAGCCGAAGAAGGTGGGCTACTATGACAATTATGACCCGACATGTGACGCGGCAGTTAGTCAAGAATTCTCCTCAGCCGCCTTTAGGTTTGGCCATACTCTGATTAGGAATGTCTTCCCTAAAATGGACGCAAATTACAGCGAAAGCTTGGGGCCAGGATATCAACTTAGAGAACACTTTAACAATGCTTCATTACTGTACGACAAGAAGACGGGCCACATGGAGAGCATACTCATGGGACTGCTGGGGGCTCCTACGTATGTTTTTGAAAAATTTTGAAAATTTTAAAAAGGGGGCAGGCTGAAAATTAGCAAAAAAACCAATTTTTGACGGAATTTTTGATATGTCTTTCAAAAACACCTACAGCTTCTAAATCCAACCTCATCCTTGCTTGTAAAGCCAAGCCCACCATTTTCAGAATGGTAAACGACCGTCACATTGCCAACGCCGTCCGCAACCACCTGTTCCAACGCGCTGGCGGACCTTACACCGGCCTCGACCTGGCTGCCGTCAACATTCAAAGAGCCAGAGATCACGGTGTACCTGGCTACAATGGCTATCGCGAGATGTGCGGACTACAAAAAGCACGCTCATTCAACGATCTACGCGATACGCACGATGAATCCGCGATCGTGGCGTTGAGGCGGGTATATGAACATGTTGATGACATCGACCTGTTCCCTGGGGCTATGGCCGAAAAACCATTGAAAGGTGCGATTGTTGGCCCAACGATTGGTTGTTTGATTGCTGAACAATATCAACGTGCAAAGAAATGTGATAGGTTTTACTATGAAACTAATGATCCCAACCTCAGGTTTACACCAGGTATGGATAACATCTTTTTTAGTGGTGTAACATCATATTTTAGTTGGCCTTCTTATCAAAATGGTTAAAATTTGTGTTAAAATGATTACATTTTGTCTTTAAAACACGTTTTGACACATATCTGGCGGAGACATCTCTTTTTTTAACAGTTAAACAGAATGCCAAGAATGACGGGAAAAAGAGCATTTGAATTTCTTTATTAAGGTTTTAGATTGAAAAAAAAATTAAAAAATTGTTATTGAAAGTGTTTAGACTCTTAGTTTTGTAAGAAATGCTATTTTGAAGCCCTAATGCGAAATGCCAAAATTGGCGGGAAAACTAAAGTTTGAATTTTCTTGATGAAGTTATGGCTTAAAATTGAACAAAATTTGAAAATTATGCTTAAAAATGTGTTTTGGTGTCACTGGTTTTGTAAGAAATGCCATTTTGAAGCCTTAATGCTATGCCAAATTTGGCGGGAAAATTAAATTTTGAATTTTTTTAATTAAATTTTGATGTTTGAAATAAAATTTTGTAAAAAATGTATTTGAAAAGCAAGTTAATTTTCAGGTTTTAATTTTTTTCATTTTTTAAAATGATTAAAAAGGGCATTTTTCAGCTCAACTAGCCGAAATTCGAAAAAGTAGCATGTCCAAGATGTTGTGCCAAAACAGTGAATACGCAGCCAAAATTCAACCCAATGCATTCTTAATGCCGGATGATCTAACGTGAGTTTTGGAAAGAGTAAAGTTATATATTATATCTATTTTTGGTGTAAATTACAGTAGATTTGAGTAAAATACCGGGCAGTTGGACAGTGTTAGTAGATTTGAAAGAGGTCTTACTAAGTCCAGGCTGCCGAGCCAAAAATGTGGGCCTAGCTTGGCTTCGGACTGGGCTAGGCTGAAGCAATTTTTAAAGGCCGGGCTGGGTAGCATAGTACGGGTCCGAGGGCCGGGTCAAAACCAAGTCCCCAGGGACTCGCTTAGGTCCCGCAACGAAAGATTTGACTTGCGAAAAAAAATTGGGCCCGGTCTGCTTCTTTTATAGGTCTATTTGTTACTGTGTAGCTAAGTAAAATTTCAAAAAACTAAAATTGAAACCATTTTAGAAATGCCCCAATACATTGTGAAGAGATGTTGGATACAGACCTTAGCGAATGGGTCGATCGACGTGAGTTTTGAGGGCGTATATTATAGTAGATGTTTAGGTAACAAAATGAAGTTTTTTGATTGTTTTAGATATTGGAGTTGAAAAAAAAGAGTTTTTAGAGGATTTTAAAGCAAAATTGAAAAAAAAGTTTTTTTGAAAATTTTGAAATTTAAAAAAAAAATTTTTAAATTTCAGAATTCTGCGTAATGGACAATCGTGTGATTCAGCTCGGCAAGACGAAGCGTGTTATGCCATGTATCAGTTGTACGTGCACGGCCGAAGGCACTGAATGTCACTCGATGACAGTCGATTCATGTGACAATCTTTTGAAGGAGTACCCATTGGAAGAGATCCGAAAAGATACAGTATGCATGATACAGTGCTCTGGAGCTATGAGAAAGAGGAGGCATGCTTAAGTTTGTATAATGGTTAGTCTGGGTCGTCGTTAGATATTTTTCTAGCGCGGGGGGGCATTTTTTTTCAACCCGCCCACTCCCTCTTCCTCTCCTCCTTCCTCTAGGGATGTCCTTGTGGTTAGTATGTTCATATAAGCTATTAAACCAAAGTTTTTAGTATAATATTAGGGTGTAAAAAAAGTCTTGTCGTTTTTGGACATTGTTTTCCACGTTAAAAAACGACAAGACTTTTTCAAACGTATATAAAAAGTTAATGTGTTGAAAAATACGGTTAGTATATTAGATTTTATTAAAAAAATGGTTTTTTTCATTTTTTAAAATATTTTAAATTTGGCTTTTGGCTAGCCAAAATGTCATCAATTCATGTTGTTTGTCACGGTCATTCAAACTTTTTTGTCATTTAAAAGTTCTGAGGACATTTTGTTTTGTTTTTACTTATCAATAGTGGTGTGTATAGTCAGGATATTTTAAACATTTTTTTCAAATTGTCAGAACATAAACTTTTACCAATATTTTGATCTTTTTTGGCCGTTTTGCTTATTTTTTTCTTTATTTTTAATCACAAAAAAATAAAATAGTGCTTCACAGTATCAATGAAACGAGAGTATGAGTTAGTGAGTTAAAAAATCAAGTTTGAAAACATGTTTGACAAAATGGAAGTTGGGTGGAAGATTTGTAATGTATTTTGCACTGAAAATCTTCCACTTAACTTCCACTTTTAAAATGTCTTGAAATGGCTTAAAAGCGCGTTTTTGACACTTTTTAAAAGTGAAAGTTGAATGGAAGATTTTTAGTGCAAAATACATTGAAAATCTTCCACTGAACTTCCACTTCTGAAAATGTGTAAAAAACTAATTTTTAAGTCATTTTAAGACTTTTTAATAGTTGAAGTTAAGTGGAAGATTTTTAGTGTAAAATCCATTGAAAATCTTCCACTTAACTTTCATTTTAAAAATGTCTTCAAATGGTCTAAAAACACATTTTTGACAGTTTTTAAACCAGGTCTGGATCTAAAACCGGTGCGGATCAGCTTAAAAGTCATGGCAAACATAGTACTAAACTTTTTTTGTTAGTACTATCTATTGAGCACTCAAAACTCTTTTCTAACAACTTGTAAATCATACTATTTATAACAATATTTTAACGTTTTTCTCAAAAAAGTGATGACATAGAAACAAAATGAAATTTAAAATTTGAAAAATTGCGTAATAACATATATAATATACAATTTGATACACAAAGGTACGATGATATACAGTAGGATAGCGTCATAACTACTATAATTAGACAACTACGAAAGAGTACAATGAAGGATTAAAAAAGGAAGAAAATAGATTTAAAATCATTAAAAATAATCTAAATTCTAATAAAATGAAAAAAAAATTAAATTTTGAAAATAAAAATTATTATTTAGAACCGGCAGCTTGCGCCCATAATATCTGCAGGATCACTTTGGTCTCTATTATTCTTGACCAAAGGTCAAATTAATGCCTAGGGCTGCTTATAAGTTATATTTATATCACTTTCGACGACTTTTGAGCAACGTCAGTTTAGCCTCGGCTTCAAGGTATTTGGGGTCCAAAATCGACCGTTTTCCTTTGATTTTGTACTCTGACGGCTGACAATTGGGGTCTCGTTCATCTCTACAGTAACAGTAGTAGATGTCCTGTAGACCACTGTCAGGGTCTGGTCCACATAGGAAGGTTTTTAGGGTCTCCGGACAGTCATCATGACAACCATAGTGGGTACCGTTTAGGGAACCTAAAATACGATTGAGGATTACTGTAGTATATATAATATGTGGTAGAGTGTAGGAAAGGGAGGGGGAGGGAGGGTAGGGTAGAAAATTTTATAATTGGGTAGGGTATGGGAGTTTTGCTATTATAGAGGTAGAGTAGGGCAGGCATATCTTAGGGCTGGACAGGGTAAAGTCAGCTTACTATTGTGGGGGGGGGGTAAAGCAGAACAGGGAAAGGAAAGTTCAAAGGTAGGACAGGACCAGGCGGGGCAAGGCAGGGTAGGGTAGGGTAGAGTAGGGTAGGGTAGGGTAGGGTAGGGTAGGGCAAGTTGATATAGAAATGTTAAAAACTAAAAACCGCAAGAACTTTCTTTCCATCTCAACTTACTCATCATATAACAGCAGTTTTCGTTGGCACGGCACGGTGCCACTGTGACATTGTCGAACGGTAGTTGATTTTCAAAATTTTGGATTCCGGTATGACATCGAAGTCCGGTCGGTTTGGCTTGAGGTTTTTTGTACTCTGCCATGAGTTGGTTGAGTTCTGGGTTGTCGTACTGTGAGTATACTGTAATGAAGTGAAGACATAGGACTACAAAGATGGTTGACGAGATTGACATGGCTGGTGTGGCAAAATGGTTGTTTTGGGGTGGGTTACGGTGAGTTATTAAGTCAGACAGTAGTGTGACAAGTATATTATAGTAGGTAAATTGATGAGAATCTGAAGAACTTATTATTAAGTGGAGAAAACAATCAAGAAGTGATAGTAAGGGTAGTGTATAAGCTACTGAAAAGTATAGATATGTCTTCTTTTACTATAGTTTTGAAAAGAAGATACCAATGAGTGCCATAAATAAGCCAATAAAGAAGTAAATGATGTACAACAACAAACAATATAGAGTAACAGAAAAAGTAATTTTCAGGTTAGGCAGCACCCAAAGGCTTTGAATCGAAGCAAAAGCACTACGAAGATCTGTTGTTGGCTAGCTGATAACAATATCAAAATTGCAGTAGATTTAATCAGAAGGCTGTTAGAAGTCGTTGTATAACAATATATAGATAACGTAAGTTTCAATAATATATTATGCTATAAAGCTCTGAAATTTTAAAAGATTAGGCGATAAGTAGCATAAAAGTTTGAAATTTTGAAATTTTTCAAAATCATGGTTAAAACTTTCTCTCGTTATGAAGATAGACCCTACTCTTGAGTAAGCACAGGCTTTTAATATAAGCTATTATTATATTCGGTTGTTTACATAATTCTGCGCCCCCTAAACCCACAAATTTGCTTTGAGAAGGGCGCAAAATTAAATGAACAACCTAATACAAGACAGAGCAGATTATATTGTAAGTTAAGGCGGTGTAAAGTAGGGTAGGGTACGGTAGAGTAGGGTAAGGTATAACAGGGTAGATGAGGCCTCAAGTTATGAAGAGGCCCGATCCTTGGATAAGAATAATAACAGAATTTACTATTGTGAGGATAGAGCAGGGCATATTGTAGGTTAAAGTAGAGTAACTCTGGGTAGTTTAAAATAAGCTTCTCGTCATGAAAATGCACCTTACTTTTGGGTAAGAAAAGAGTTTTACTGTAACTTAATATAGAGCTGAGCAGAACATAGTGTAGGTTATTGTACAGTAAGATAAGGTACAACTAAAATAAACTTAAACTATAAACTTAAAGGTAAGAGGTAGAGTAGGGTAGGGTAATGTAGAGTGGGTTAGTTAAGGTGAGTCAATTTACACTGCCTTTTTGCCTTTGCTTTATCATGGCTTTGTCATATCTCCACCCGTGTTCTATCCTACTCTTACTCTTGCTGTCTCTTCTTTTTATCATCTCCTACCCTATTACAACCCTCATACATATAATTCTCCCTAGTTTACCCTACTCTATTGCTACCCTTCTACATTATAGCTACCCCACATTACCGTATCTCAACTCTACCCAGTAAAAAAACAAAAAACCCATAAAAACCGCCTTACAATCAATGTTCACTCTCTTGCTTAAAGTTCGCAAGAGGATAGAACCTAAGCCGCCCTTGTTATTATTAAGCCGCACTTCCTTGGACGGTTCCGACCCCAAAAAAACCAACTGGTGGCCATAAAACGTACAGTTAAACAATAAACAAACAGAATGTATTGTTTTATTTATTGCGCGACCACCGCCGTCTAAACAAATAGAACTTGTTCCCATTGTACGCACTACACGTACCATCGTATGTTGTTACACATTTCAAACGGAATTCGAACTGTAAACGGAGCGACGGGTCTATTGCGAGCCGCTTCTGGACACATACGTTGAATTGTGGAGAGGTATTCTAGTGTTACATCAGATTTTGTTGAAGAAGCAGGCGTTTTTGGCCATCTACTACAATATTTTGATAAAAAAACAGGTCACGATCGACAGAAATAAGTAATTTAGGTAACAAGTTATGATTCTCTAATGTCTTGGCTATGTAGGAATGATAAAATAATGTTAAAATGCCTATCAGGACTAAAGTTATGGCCTGAAGAACAAAGGGCACCACCAAAAAATTTAACATTTTTTTACCATCTACTACAATATTTTGATGTAAAAAAGGTTAAAATGACAGAAATATGAGGTTTAGGTGACAAATTAAGCTTTTCTAATGTCTTTGCTATGTAGAACTCAACAAATAGTAGTAAAATGGCTATTAGAACAAAAATTATGAGCTGAAAAACTAAGACAACCACCAAAAAAATCTAACTTATTATAAGATTTTTTTAAAAACTCAACAAAATTGATAAAATTTAGCATTTTAGGTATCAACCTATTATTCTTTAAAGCTTTTGTTACCTATAACACAAAGGTTTACAGCAAAAGGTTCACTGAAACAAAAATTACAAGCATTTAAACAAGGCCTACCACCATAACTTCAAGGATAATATTCAAAAACATCACAATTTTTAGAAATAAACTAACTATACCTCCAAAATAACTATAAAAATCTTTATTGATATGTATTGCATCACAATATGTCATAAATATTATATTACTTTAATAAAATATTTTAAAATTCAAAAATCGCCGTTTACTCCACGGTAACTGACTTGGCCAGATTCCTCGGCCGATCCACGTTCAGGCCGTTCATCTCGGCTACATGATAACTCAGCAGCTGTAACGGAATCACAGTCAAAATGTTTTGAACACAATCTACAATCTTTGGTACTACAATCACTTCTTTGGCACCAGTAAGGTCATCCAATGGTACTTTGTCGTCAGCAATGATGATGGGGCTACCGCCACGGGCTAGTACTTGTTGGAATGCGTTGATTGACTTCTGAAATTTAATAATTTAGATAGTAAAAGGTCTATTCTATCTTATTTTAATTATTTCAAGCAGTTTTGATGGAATAATTACATTTGAATAATAAAAATCGTCATGAATAACATCAGATATCACGTATAATATAAAAAAGCCATGCCAAAACCAAATTCGTTACAAATCTTTCACTCAACATTTCAAAATGTACCTTATAAACCTTGTCCTTGCAAATCACCATGATAATGCACAGATTCTCGTCCACCATGGCCAGCGGGCCGTGTTTTAGTTCGCCCGACATGATTCCCTCGCAATGCATGTAGCTCAACTCCTTGATCTTCAACGCTCCTTCAAGACACGTGGCAAAGTTGTAGCCGCGTCCCATCACCAATACCGACTTCTCCTTGTAGATCTTCTCCGCGACCGATCGAATGTGGGCATCTAGGGTCAGGATCTTCTTGATGTAGTCTGGAAAAGGCTTTGTATTAGAGAGATAGAATAAGCAAAAAATAGGTATTACTTAGATGGTTTGATAAATTAACCTCAACGAGCTTAAGCTTATCGTAATGTGAGAAGTTTTAGAAAAGAAGGTATCATAATTTATTGTTTTAGAGCTGTTTTCGAGCCAACTATCCCTTTTTATCATTGGTCAAGTCTTTCTCTTGGCCAAAAACCCGAAAATTCTTGAACTTCTTCGCTGAATCCAGCCTTTTTCCTATGATTCTAACGTCATTTGTCTTCAATTGTTGTTAAAAACATTAAAAATATATTCTTTTATATTTCATTAATCTTTTTTAGGCTGTAAACTTGATTTCCAGCTTCATTTTCGTCCAGAAATCAAGGTGCTCACCTCATGACCCGACGTTCTCAAAATAAAATCGCCTTCTGAAGCTCACGAACTCTTATGGAAGATTTTGGATTGAAAATATGTGTTTTTTCTTGAGTGTTTTTGATTTTAGGATGTATTAGCAGTTGAAGGAATTTGGAGAAAATTAAAGAAAAAGCAGGGTTATATGATTTTAGATGGATGTTGCGGTAATTTTTATGAAAATGCAGGATTTTCCATTGTTTTTAGTTTTTTTGTATTTATTAGATAGAGTTGTGTTCTGTGAACGTTTCTCAAGTTGTTTTAGGTTTATAGACCTTGCAAATATTGAGTTATGGCCAAAACATCATGGATAACATCTAATATTTTATTGTGAGGCGCTAACCTAAAGCCTGACTGATCCTACATTCAATGGTACTTTTTAAGCTAAAGTCTAAATTGTCTAAATCTACTTTCAATTGTACTTTCTAAGCTCTAATATAACTTTCTATCCATAACATCACATTGTGAAAATCTTCAACTTACCAGGCATAGTCTGAAGAGCATAAATGATCTCCTCTCGTCGCTTCTGCATAGAAATCCTGTCATCACTGATGGATAATGCGAACATTACCAATGCTAATATTTGTGAAGTGTAGGCTTTGGTCGAGGCCACCCCAATCTCAGGTCCAGCATTGATATGAATACCACAATGAGTTTCGCGACAAATCGACGATCCCACAGTATTCGTAATGCCGATTAGTAGAGCACCACGCGGTTTACAGTATCGGAGGGCATTCAACGTATCAGCAGTTTCGCCACTTTGAGATATGAAGAAGCAGACGTCGTCACGGAAGATTGGAGTCTCACGGTCGAGGAAGTCGGAGGCTAGCTCGAGTACGACTGGAAGTTCGGTTAGTTCCTCCATGAGTTGGCGACAAGCGATGGCGGAGTTGTAGGAGGTGCCACAGGCTATTAAGATGAGACGGCGACAACGTTTGATGTCGGGAATGAAGTCCTGAAATGTAACGTGGAATACATTAGTGGTAAATAGTACCGGTTGAAACAAAAGTAGCGGGATACTTTTTATTTGAAAAATAAATGAAAAGTGTCCCGCTACTTTTGGTTCAATCGGTACTATTTACCACACCGTTAAACTATAAGGTTGTTCATAAAGTAATGAGCCATGGCTCAGAAATTTTTGAAAACCACCCTATCTTCGTTATACTAATTTTCAAAACCACCCCTACCTGAATGATTATTGAAAACCACCCCCGCACTTGAATGATTTTCAAAACCACCCCTACCTGAATCCCACCCAGCAGCACACGCCCATCAGGCAGAACTCGTCCTCTCATCGTATTCACCACACTCTCTGGTTGTTCGAAGATCTCTTTCTGCATGAATGTCTTGAAGTCGCCTCTCATGATCTCATTCAACTCCATATTAAGTTGTTGTACCTCTCTGGTCTGAGCCGATGGATTTGAGTTGTCTCGTTTGATTCTGTGAATTGTCAGTGAGCCATTCTCAACGAACGCTACATCGTCATCTTCGAGGAAGATGACCTTTTTCGTGTGTTCTATAATGGCACTAGCGTCTGAGGCGAGGAAGTACTCCGCTTCCCAATGCTTTGAGTCCAGCGGTCGAATCGAACGGTCTTTGGTCTCGTCTGGAAAGAGGGGATACTGTATGTTTTTGGGGGGAATAAGAGAGGTAAGGTACATTAAAAGTAAAATACGGTATGTTAGCATACAATATGGTAAATAAGGCAGAGAAAACGTTAGAGTAGGATAATTGTAGAGATAAGGTAGAGAAGGGAAAGGTAGGGTAGAGTAAGCCAGAGTATGAAGTATAGGGTAGATTAGAGTAGGATAGAATAATTTGGTACGGTAGAGTACAGTGCAATATAATACAGTACCGTAGCATGGAGTACAGTATAGTACAGTAGGGTAAGGTAGGGTAGGGCACAATACAGTACATTCGAGTGCTGTAAAGTATAGAACAGTACAGTAAGGTAAGGTAGGGTAGGGCACAATACAGTACAGTCGAGTACTGTAATGTATAGAACAGTACAGTAGCGTAAGGCAGGGTACATTACTGTACAGTAACGTATAGGACAGTACAGTACTGCGCTTTATAATACAGTACAGTAGGATAAGGAAGATTACAGTAACGTAAAGTACATTATAGTGCAGTACAGTAGGGTAAAGTATAGTACAGTAGAGTAGGATACCGTAGAGCACAGTAAGGTAGGGTACGGTACAGTTGGGTAGGGCACAATACAATACAGTAAAGTATAGAACAATACAGCAGGGTACAGTACAGTAGACTACAGTACATTATAGTACGGTAGGGTAAGGTAGGATAGATTAAAGTTGTGTTGGGTAGGGTAGACCAATCGAAGAAAACAGAAAGGTACTTACCAATCCTAGGAGCACTGCTGTCCAAGTGATCGAAGATGTCTTCACTCTTAACCCGAGCACCTAAAACAACATAAATTATTTAAAAAATTAAATTTTACACCTTTTAACACAAATGTTTTCACCACTGCAACCAAAATAAACACACAGTAACACATTTTCAACCATGTAAACCTTCAAATGCCACCGTAAAAACCATGGTAAAACCAAGAAAAAACTAAAATTATCACCGTTATCTTTGCCTGACGACTGTCGCACCTTCTTATCATCTTGCCAAATCCATCCCGCGTCTAAAACACAACACTACGTTACACTACAACACCAAACAACTTCAATAACACGGCAAATCTACTATAATATCAAGCTTTTTTGGCTCAAAAAATGAAAAAAGTGAAAAAATGACAAAACTTATGAGATACGGCCCTCTTGTGTGCAAAATATGACATACCTTTACTGAAGTAGACTGGGAAATGATCAGAGCTCAATCTGGCATCACTCTTGATACCAATCACCAATGGCGAACCACGACGAGTGGCCACAAGTTGGCCGGGAAAGCGGCGGCTTTTGAAGGCCAAAGCAAACGCACCTTCCTGAAAATTACAGTATTCTACAGTATTAAACAATACGGTAAGAACACCGTAATACTAAAGAGTACTAATTAGCGCTAATAAAGTACACATTGCATATTAATAGTGCTATATAGTACTCAAGAATTAGTAAGTTGTAAGCGCGGGCTACTGCAATATATTATTGGTTATCTAGTACTATGTAGTACAGTACTAACTAAATAGAGCTATATAGTAATACCTATTAGATGAAAGAGCAGCTTTGCATATGGAAAGTACTATATAGTACTAATAAACTAATAGTTGTGAAAACGTGCTACAACAATATATTACTAACTAAATAGTACTGTATAGTACAGTACTAACTAAATAGTACTATTTAGTAGTACGAAGGACCAAATTTGCATATGGAAAGTGCTAAAGATAGTACTGATAAACTAATTGTTGTGACAAAGTATTAAAATATAATACTGAATAAATAGTACTATATAGTACTAATAGCAAAATAGCTGTAAACACTTGACGATGTAATACTGGCTAAATTGTACTGTATTTTTCAAATTTTAAACCCAAAAAATCCAAAAACTTGCGAGTTGCTGAATAGTAGTCTCAACCAGTTGTCTAAAGTTGAATTGTGGATATTTGTCATGAATATACTGGATCAATTTGGCAATGACTTCAGTATCAGTTTCACTTTCAAACTCGCATCCCTTCTTCTTCAAATACTCTTTGATTTCTTTGTAGTTCGTGATGATCCCATTATGAACCACCACGAACTCGTTCTCATTGTCAGAACGTTGTGGATGCGAGTTCACGTCGTTGGGTGACCCGTGAGTGGCCCATCGAGTATGGGCTATACCTACATGAACAGAATAGTTCACGTTCCAGTCAGTCGTTTTGTCGGCTAAAAATATATTTTTTTCATAATTAGAGGTTTACTCTACTCATCAAAATTTCTAAAAACGCAAAAAATTTCATAAAAATTCAAATTTTCAATTTCCCGCCAAATTTGGCATTCTGTTTTAAGGCCACAAAAAGACAATTTTTACTTTCCTTATCAACTACAAGTCATTCAAAAACGTCAAAAAATAGTAATTTCAATTTCGTAGCAAGTACAGTATAACATAAAAATTTAAATTTCAATTTTCCCGCCAAATGTAGCATTCTGTTTCAAGTCTTTAAAAAGACGATTTTTGTCTTTCTTACCAATTACAAGTCATTAAAAATATTGAAAAATAAATTTTCAATTTTAAAATAAGTGTAAAATGTCACACGTCATGCCAAAAGAGGAAATAAAGACAGAGTGACATTTCGTGTAAAAAACGATGCGAAGTGTGAAATTCTATTTTTTGTAAAAAATTGTTTGAAGTTAAGCGGTCGGAATTTTGAAAATGAAATTCGTTTGTGGTAAACTTGTAGTGTCATATCTGGACGATTCTTTGACGGATCAAGACCAGTTTGGCCTTTAAAGAACCGCCGAAACATAGCGAATTTTTTAATATTTGTTACAGCTCAAGATTTGATTTATTTTAACTATTATTTGATAATTTCACACGTTTCGTTCAACATTTTAAATATTTATTTTATTTTTTGAATCAATATTTGAGACTTTTGAGTTAACGAAATGCCACGGCCACCTTAGTTCCATTTTTCCTTTATTTTGGCATGATGTGTGTCATAAAAATTCAAATTTCAATTTTCCCGCCAAATTTGGCATTCTGTTTCAAAGCCTTAAAATTACTTTTTTGACATTTTTATTCATCACACGCTACTAAAAAACCAAAACCCAAGTTTCATTTCAAAAAAAAAGTCACAAAAATTCAACTTTAAATTTCCCCGCCAAATTTGGCATTCCGTAAAAAGTCCTCAAAACACGGCTATAAAATAAAAGAAACTTACAATTGATGTTTTCCTGTAAATTGTCGACCTTTCCACACTTCCGATACAGTGAGACTGGGGCATGACACTCATCTGGCTTGCCTCCATCAATGGCTAGACCGGCCGAATCATAACCACGGTATTCCATTCGTCTCAAGCCTTGAATCAGGATATCGACCACTTCTTTCCGACTTTTGGGGGTCAAGAAGTTTAGGTATGCAAAAATCCCACACATTTTTACTGAAAAAGATGTCGGTAATGATTTTTTTTGAATTTTGAATTATGGCAGATTTTTAAAATCCGCAATAACTTTGTTTACAGAGGGGTAAAATGAGAAAAAGTTTGATTTACAAACAGGAAGGGTCAGGTTCGGGCTATTTAGAGCAAGCTAGGACTAGGTAAGGCGCGGCAGAGCAAGATAGGGCACGGTAAGGCAGGGCAAGGTAGGGTAGGGTAGGGTAGGGTAGGGTAGGGTAGGGTAGGGTAGGGTAAGGTAGGGTAGGGTTAAGTTATAAATCAAATTCACAGCCTTTTATCTCTCAGAGCCCCTATTACAATGACAATATTGGCCACCGCTTATCTCCAATCTTGTTCAAAGTACGTAAATAAAAAAATAAGCAATGTTTACAAAAAATGACATTATATAGGCTATCTTCGCGGAAACACGTTGTATTCCATTGATCACAATTGATAAGAACACGGTAAATCATGTTGACTGGCATAGTACAACGGAGTTCGAACTTTGGTATACGAAAGACTCTAATGTTTGGTAAGGTAAAACAAGATAAAAACAAAAGTAAACTATGGTGAGTTATATACTGTTTTAAAGAGCGTTATCTACAGCATAATCACAGGAAAAATTACACAGTTTTAAGTCAGCATTTAAAAGTTATGTTACATCAAAGTGACCGCACTATTACAAACCATCCTCAAAATAAGAGAAAAATAGCTATAACTTGGGCAAAAATCAATAAAATTAAACGTTATTTCGTATCTACATTTATAATATTATACAATTTCATTGTAAATGTCAAAAAGTTTAAAAATTTATCATTTTTTAATGTTTTTTCAAATTTTTTTAAATTAAAAAAAATTTTAAATTTTTAAGTTTAATGCCATTTTTAAAATCAAACGTCACATAACGAGCAATAACTATATATGCAGAACCTAGGTGGGAGAGAGGGGTAATAACCCCCCCAAAAAAAAACTATTTTTTGAAAAAAGTTTAACGTGGTCCCCCCTGTGGATTCATAGAAAAAAAATTTTTTCGACCTTCGTTTCCAGACCAAAAGTCTCCCGCTCGGCCTTAGTTATAAGCAATATTAAACCCTATGATATACAGCCTTACTATGGAAAATGTGACGAAAATCGAAAAACCAGTTTAAAAGTTATGAGATATCAAAGTTACCCATATCTAGCAAAAGTCGTCCTCAACATCAGACCTTGCTTTACAAAAATTACTGTAACTTAGTAATTATAAATGAAACGGTGCTCAAATTTGGCTATTTGGTAGGTTATAAAAGACAAATTAAAATTGTAGAAATGGTAAATATATAAAATGTCATTTTTACATTGTAAATGACATTATGGTATTTTGTTAAAAAACGCGAAAAAATTGAAAAATGCCAAAAGTCAAATTTGATATGACATTCTTTCGTACAATTTGTTAGTCTCACACTTTGAAAACTCCTTTTACAGCTCTTAAAAACTTAAAAATTTTAAAAAATTGAAAAAAACCACATTTTTCCTCCAATATGACACTCAAAAAGTGATAACGCTCCCTCTTATGACGTAGAAACAGTAAAAATACAATAAAAACATTGTTAACAATGCCCTTATCACTTGTGACCTAATTCCAAATCCAAATACAAAATTTATTTTTGCAAATTCGGGAAAAGCTTTGGCCAAAAAAGGCCGAAAAATGAAACGTGGACTAAAGAAGGGCCCGACGAGAGAGTATGAGGAAGAGAGAGAGCGGTTAGAGAAAGGGCGAAGAACAAATATCAAATAGTAATGAGTAATGTTGTATATATTTGGTATTATACTGGGTATAAGATTGAAAATGTCATTTTGAGCTGAAGTGGCCTAGCCCAGAGCCCTAGCCCAGAGCCCTAACCCAGAGCCCTAGCTCAGAGCCCTAGCCCAGAGCCTTAACCTTAGTCTTTGCCCCAGCCCTACCATGCTTTATAAAATATACTGTCTTGAAACGCCCTGCCCAGAAAAGGAACAGCCCCAAAGCAAACCCTGCCCTAAAAATGACCTGCCCTGAAAACTAACCCGCCCTGAAAAATAGCCCGCTCTAAAAAATACCTTGCCCAAAAAAATAACCCGTCTTAAAAATACCCTGCCCAAAAAATAACCCAGTTCTAAAAAATACCCTGGGGGGCGGGTGGAGGCCCAAAAAATTTTTTTGGTCCACAGGTAGCTCCTGCGGACCGATTTTTCGAAAATGTTTTTTTTTCGTTTTTTCACGTACAGGTACCTCCTACCTGTGGATTTTTTTTCGGATCGGCTCTGGGGGGAGTCACCCCGGTCCACCCCCCCCAAACGACGTCCCTGCCTTGCCCTAAAATGTAACCTCCCCTTAAAAAATAACCTGGCAGAAAAAGTACCATGCTCTAAAAAATAACCTGCCTCAAACACTGACCTGCCCAAAAAAAAAGAACCCGCTCTAAAAAATAACCCGCCCTTAAACATTAACCTGCCCGAAAAAATAACCTAACACTAAAAAATACCACGTTTGCCAAAACGCCCTGCCCTACTAAATTCATACTCATCAAAGACACCCCCCCCTTCACCTACCACCCCTCCTACTCATCCAAAGAAAAACAAATTTCAAAACCAAAAGACCACAAATACAGGTCATGGACTAGCGGCTTTGACAGGAAAAACCAATTGGAACCGTCTAATAATGTTGATTTTGCGATGATACGACGATAAGATAATCTGCGCGAAAAGTCAAATATAAGACAAGCATTGACACCGTTTTCTGAGGTCGAACATGCAAAAACATTTTTCGTATTTTTAAATCTGGTTTATGGGGCTTGGCTGAAAAAAGTTTTTTAATTTTCAGGCAGGTCATGTAAATGCAAAATTAAAAAAAAATTTTAAAAAAATTTAAAATTTTTAAAAATTTTAATTCTGGCTTCAAAGCCAAGAAAAATATTTTTAAAAATCACAGCCGGAGGTGGAGCCAAAGCCAAAAATTTTCAAATTTTAGTACAACCTCTGTATAATCAAATTAGGTGCCGACATAAAGAACTCGCCATACTTTTCCTGTAATTTCCTGTAAAAAAGGGCGGGTTCTTTATGTCGGCACCTAATAACAAAGCCCCTGTATAACAAACAACTTTTCAATCCCCAGCCCTAACACAGTAAATTTAAAATTTCTCTATAACGAAGCCTCCTCGTAAGAAACAAATTTAATAATTCTCCTAGCTATTCGTTATACAGAGGTTTTGCTGTACTAAGGTCTCTCTATATAGTAAACCATCTGTATAAGCAACTCTCCCTGTCGTAAACAAGAAATTTGGCCCTGCCAGTCAATTTGCATTAAAAAGTCTCTCTGTAAAGACAACACTTCTTACAGTAAACAAAAAGTGTCAGTCCCTTCGGGTTGCTTATACAGAGAGAGTACTGTATAACAAGGAAAGTACCCTACCTGCCCCGTTCAGAATTACCTCAAAATTTTTATATGCATTTTTTGTACCACCAATAGTACCCATAAAAAATTTAGCTTGCGCTTTTAGGTTTCAAATTTGAAATATTTGAGTTTCTCGCCAATTTGGCAATTTTGGCATTGTGTTTCAAGCACTTTTTTCGACTTTGCAGTTAAACTACGCTTACAACTTTAATAATGTAGGTTTATTTAAAGGTTCTCTACTAGTATATCAAAGAAAAATTACTAAAAATCAAAAAATGACAACGTTATAAGCTTGAACACAATGCCAATTTGACGGGAAATTCAAAACGTAATTTTTTAATCTCGATTTTCTAGAGATTTCCTGGAAAGCGAGATTTAGTACTTTGCTAAAGACTTTTTATTTACATGATCGTTCTATATAAACAGTTTGAAGTCAATCAGAGCAAGACAGGGCGAGCATTTTCCTTGTTCTATGATAATACAATAAGCCCAACCTAATAAATAAAAGTTTATTAGTCAATGAAATCCATTCTAAACAGGCTCCTTTAACGGGTAATCGCCAAAGTATCGAAAATGGATCCGTAACATGTAGGACTGCAGTTTTGGACACTTCAAATCGACAATCTCTTTTATTGGAATTTCGTAGGGCAAGTGGTAGCCACAAATGAGGTGGGCGAAAAGCGAAAAATCTCCCTGAAATTCAAGGTTTTATCTAAAATGGCATTGACAAAGCCAATGTAATGTACAACCGACATTTGTTATTAAGGCTAGTGCCCTCCCCCCCCTCCCCCCCAAATTTTTTTTGAAGGATCCACAGGGGGGGGGGACCACGTTCAACTTTTTTTTCAAAAAATTTTTTTTTAGGGGTGAGATGTTTTCTTGTACCCCCTTTGCACCAGGCCGTAAATGAAGCTTTCTACTTACCGGACTAACAGTATCACCAGTGATATACGTACTGCCTCCTAAAATGCGTTCAAGCGCTTCCAGGTCTTGTTGTAGCAGTTCAACAACCTCCTCTTTCTTGTGATAACCTGTTCCATCACTCTTTACTCGGGTCCATAGCTGAAATAAATGCAATAGAAGCCTTGTATGAACCACTCGTATGTAACAAAAACCTGCGTATAAAGAACAACAAAACTATTATTCTGAACCAAAAGTAGCGGGACACTTTCTACAAGGAAAGTATCCGACTTCCCTCGCTCTGTTTGACTTGAAACTTAGAAAGATCATGTAAATATATGGTCTTCAGAAAACTACTAAATCCCGCTCTCCAGGAAAACCCGAAAAAATCGAAATCAAAAAATTACGTTTTGAATTTCCCGCCAAATTGGCATTGTGTTTCAAGCTTGTAACTTTGTCATTTTCTGACTTTTAATCATTTTTCTTCGATATACTAGCAGGGAACCTTTAAATGAACCTGCATTTTTTAATTTATAAGCGTAGCTTGTCTGGAAAGTCAATACAAGTGCTTGAAACACAACGCCAAATTAAAATAATTGGCAGGAAACTCAAATATTTAAAATTTAAAACTCAAAAGGGTAAGCTAAAACTTTTTATAGTTACTACTAGTATAATAACTTTATATAAAAATTTTGAGCTGCAGTGCAAATCAAGCAATTTCCTCGTTAGCTATTATTACCTACACGAGAATCCCTGCTCGTATAGTGAAGGAGGAGGGGTATCCGCACAAAAAAATTGAAAAAAGTTTAACGTGGTCCCCCCCCTGTGGATTTTTAGAAAAAAATTTTTGGGTGGGGGAAAGGAGTATTTTACAGTACGAAGCATGTTAATAGCTTTAAATGTGAAGTAAGCATGTTAAACTAAATTTAAACCTCATTATATATAAATATCTTACAGAGTAGTAGATGAGCCTTTGCATATAAACCAAGTGCCAACTGGGCGTTTTGGCGTTTCCTTTGATTGTTCTGGCAAACAATGGCATATTTTCTTCCAATTTCGAATACAAGTTTAATCTGAAACATTAAAAAGTGTCATTTTAAAACAAGGCATTTCATTTTAAGCCTAAAATCTTGTAGTTTATAGAAATTGAAATTTTATACGATGAAACATGTTTTTATATAAAAATGTTCAAAAAGTTCTGAGCTATTTTAAAAGCACTTTTTTGGGTTAGAGGGCACAGAATTACTTGAACAACACAAGATTTGAAGATATTTTCATAATTTTTAAATTTTTTAAAATTTAAAAAATTAAAAAAATTTTGTATGTTCAAATAATTCTGAGCCCCCTCTCACAGCAAACTTTAAGGGTTAAGAGGCACAAAAGTATTTGAACAACTAAATATTTAAAGCCATTTTGTATTTTTAAAAAATAAACAAATTTTTAAAAAAAATTTGTTACAGTAACCCTTACATGTAAATGCTCTTATCGCACGTGCGTTGCACCAAATGTGATATGGCTTTTTGGTCGGCAGTCAAATTGTACTTGAGATTGTGTTCCTTGATCAGGAAATTGATAATGACATCTGAATCTGGATAATGTACTCCATTATATTCAATAAACGGCTTCTTTCCTTCCGATGATAAGGCCAAGAACTTGGCTTCAATTGGCTAAAAAATATGATTTTACTAGTGATAAGGCCAAGAATTTAGCGTTGACTGGCTTAAAGCATAAGTTTTACTAGTGATATAGCCAAAACTTTGGCGTCAATTGACTAACTGTTACAGTAGCCCTCTAAAAAAGCGATCACAGACATTAAAACAAACCTACCACGTAGTTGATTTGATGATAACGCAAAAAGTACTCTAGTTTAACGCAAAATGGCGAAGCGTTGATGCAGTAGTCGTTGTCAGCGAACTTGATCAGATATACTGTATTTTTTTCGAAGTTTGGTACGACCAACTTCATTGATAAGTCATCACGATGCGCCGACTTTCCACAGTAATCGTGAAGGAATCGTAGAATCAATAGTACTATGAGTGTGATCAGGGAGGCTAGTAGTACTATGGTGAGTGTGTCCATATATGTTCATGTAGTTAAGTAAAGAGGTATGTTAAAACACGGAGTCTTGTCGTATGATTGAAAAATGACACTAAGTCGTATGTCTAAGACACAACACCACGTCGTATGCCTAAGCCACAACACCACGTCGTATGTTTAAAAGAAGTGTAATACCACAACCTCAATTACATAGCGGCTGCCACTTAAGAAAGGATGAGTACAATAACAATCCAACAAACTCAGGTTAACATGGCAACCGAAATCCAAACCAAATTAACGTCATAAAATAGTAATGTACTTCCCAGAACATACGAAATGTAATGGCATTGGTTTTCTGTTATTGACACTTAAAGAGTTGTATTTATTCAGTAAATTTTTCTGCTGTGCTTTGGTTTGTTCAATGGCTTCTTTTATTGTCAAGTACAACCAAAGTTCCTAAGGGGTCAAGAGTCTAGATAGACCTTACTTTGTTTTGACATTGTTTTACTGTTATTGTATCATTGTTACCTAAAAATGTTTTGACCACAAGTTATAATAACATTGGCCTGTCGTTCATAACCAATCTTATTCATAAGTAACAATAAAACTCAACAAGGAACAAAAAAATCAACAAAAACAATATTGTAGTAGGTCGTTCTTTACAAAACAGCTGATTTGATCCATTTCAAAACTGCGGCTGTTTCTTGATACAAATCTTCGAAAGGTTCTGTTCCTTCGGCTTCTTTCGATACCAACTTTTCCAACTTCGTAGTCAAATTAGAAGCTGTAAGTTCTGTTTCTTCTTCATCGTCTTCCTCGTTATCCGCGTCGTCGCACAATACCTCGTTGTGAACCATGAGGAATGTGTTTAGAATGGCCTGAAAATGAAGTTTATATTATCATAGAAGCCTTTAACGTTATCACAGAGTTCTCAAACATCTGAAAACGGCCTAATTCACTAAAATTTTCGATAAAACGGCCAAAAAATGAAGAAAATCACAGTAATTCTCAAAAATTTTAATATTTTGCACAAATTTCTTCTTTTTTAATATCTTTTCAAAATCTAAGACAGTGCAATGACCTTATTAAACCATAATTTACATTACTAGACCATAACTTAAACTTTTTAAAACAAAAAATAATCAAAAAAGGCAATTTTAACCCTTTGCTTCCAGCCGGACTCGAACCTACAAGCGTTTATACTCAAACCCAACTCACTACCTCTACACTACCAAAACACATTTTCTCAAACAGTACAATATTGTACCAAAAAGCCTAAATTGAGCCCTAATAAACCATTTTTGATCTGCAACCCCCGTTTAATCAATTGAAAACGTCAAAAAATTTCATTTTTCAAACTTTCCTAAAAAAATTTTAAAAAATCGGATCTTACCTGTACAAAGTCAGCGTCTTGTTTCTCCTCCAATTTGACCATGATCATATCGATAAACTTTGATAAAACCGCCTTTGGTAGTGCTCTAATTTCAAAATCGATAATACTCGTTGGCTTCTGAATCAATCCATTAAAAACGTGCTTGAAGCCGGCTTCATTCGAGACCTGGATCAGCTTTTGGGTCCAATCGGTAAATAATTCCGTATCCGATCGTTGAGCCGCTTTGAAGCGGCGTTTCTCCGTAGCGTCGGCCAGAATTTCGGCTTCATTTGGAGTGGATTCGAGGAAGAATGGCACATCGATGGGTTTCTTGACCACTTCTTTGATCGTGTTTCTTTGCTTGATCTTTTCGATGTGAGGTAGGGTGGACCAGCGGTGAGATGGTTGGCCCGAGATTGAGAGCAAGTCGGAGCCGAGAAGCTGTAAAGACAAATTTTGTTATTAAAAATGATATTTTATAAGACTTTGCCACTCTTTGCTTTGTAAAGAAAGTTCTTGCCGTTTCTTGTTTTGTAAGGAAAGTTCTTGCCATTTTTTGTTTTGTAAAGAAAGTTCTTGCCGTTTCTTGTTTTGTAAAGAAAGTTCTTGCCATTTTTTGTTTTGTAAAGAAAGTTCTTGCCGTTCCGTGTCTTGTACAGAACGTTGAACGTTCTTGCCAGTTGCTTTTAAAAATAGCATTTTACAACCTTTTTTACCTAAAAATCTTCTTTTCGACCAAAAACACCTACCTCAACCACCTGTCTCATCTCCACGTCCATCTTCTGAACCTCTTCCTCTTCATCATCCTCATCACCATCAATGACCAGAGTTTGAACCTTGTCTCCATTGTCTACTACAACATCATCTTCATCGTCTGACAGCTCGAACAAGCTTTGATCTTCGTAGCTGACCTTGACCGCGCCGAAGCCTCTCAAGTTCTTGACCGGTAGCTCAGATTCCGGCTTTTTAACGGTGAAGTCGGCCATTTGGAGTCGATTCGTCCAGACGAACAGCTCGCGTTGTTGTTCATGACAAGTTGTCACGAATCGACCGTCCTCGCTGAACTGAGCTTTCACGACCGGAGTAGAGCAGCGAACTGCGCCCTGGAGGACGGCGGACTGCAGGTGAATGACCTGGAAAGAAAGTTTTTGTTTTTGAGTTTGTAAAGAAAGTTTTTGCCATTTTTTGTTTTTTAAAGAAAGTTCTTGTCATTTTATGTTTTGTAAAGTAAGTTCTTGCCATTTTTTGTTTTGTAAACAACGTTCTTGCCATTTTTTCAACATTTCTGCCTAACCAACACCTACCCTAATAACCGCATCCGACGACCCGACCAGTAGATAAAACGAATCGGGTGAGAACTCCAACACATTAAACGTCACTTTTTCGGCCAAAAACTTTGGGAAAACCCTGGCAGTGCGGCACAGTCTCGAGTCCAATATCCTCAACGTGCCATTGGTCATTCCGATGGCGAAAAGTTGTGATTCCCGGTCGAGTTGAGCACTTTGTGGTAGTTCGCCTTCTGGTAGTTGAAGGAATCTTGTCAGTTTGGGCTTCAATTGCTCCATTGTCCACCATTTCACTTTGCCATCGGCTCCGACTGTGATCATGTCAATCGAGTTTAGTTGGAAATTTACTGACGTTACCGCGGCCTCGTGGCTAAAATACAACATTTTTAGATTCGACGGGAAACTGAGTTTCATTTAAAGCTACATTTTCACAATTAAAAAAATGTTAAGGACACTTCGATTAATTATTTCACAATTTTTTCTAGAAAAAGTGGACCACAGTTAAAATACTGTAACTTTTTCAAAAATAAAAATTTGAAAAATCTACCAAAAGCATTCTAGAGCTAATAAACCGTGCTACTACCAACTATTATTTCATACGTTGGCCAATTTTTTCAAAAAATTTATGATTAAAAAAGTTCGGCCACCAGTGCATTATGTCATGACCTGCAGTAAAAATACTGTAACTTCGTTCAAAATCAAAATTTTAATTTCTGTAAAGTACGTTCTATATCTACTAAAACAAACTACAATCGCTTATAACTTCACGTTTCTACCTATACACCCAAAAAAGTTACACTTAAAACAATCCAACCAACCCCAATATTATCCACCCCAAATTTCCTCAATCTCTTCCAAAACCACACCCTTACCAAAAGTTGTTCTCCTTTTTCTTGTCTCCCGTCTTCTGTAGACTTTTATCGACCAATGTGAACTTGAGTTGTCCACTTTGCATGCTGTAGCAGTCCACATGGCCAGTGGAATAACCGATCAATATTAAATTGCCATCGTTGCTGATATCCATTGAAGTGACTTTTGCTGATAAGAATCTAGCATCTTTGGTGAATCGTTGATGGTGGAATAGGTGTGATCCTTTCGTGCATCTTCTCGATGACCATGACGATACTAGGAACGAGTCTTTGTGGGCACAGGCGATATTGTCGAAGCAATGTTCTTTCATGAGTTCGAGCTTGAGGTCAGTGATTGGTTCGAGTTTCACTTCTTTGAAGCGGTCTTTGCTTACTTCTCCTCTAGAATTTAAACAATTATCGTAGTTCTGAAGTAATTACCAAAAAAAAATTTTTTTAACCATTTTATACGATAAAACATGTTTTTTTTCAAAATTTTTAAATTTGTCAAAATTTCAATTTTTTTTTCAAAAACTCATTTTAAACGTACGGTTTGACTTCTCTAGCGATTCCCAATCTTGAGATCAGATCACTTCTGTGGATATTGAACTTCCTTACAATACCATCAAGTCCGGCCGAGATCAAGGCATTTGGGCCACAAAAACGGAACGCTGTTACCTAAAATGCCATTTTTTAAATTTTACACAATAAATGACCTTAACAACATTTCTAAGTTTAAAATTTTTGATTTTGTTCAAAAAGTGACAAGTTATACGAAAAAACATAAGCCTTTCGTATACGTGTCCCCAACGCTTAAAATCGTCCCTTCAACCATTTCTCAAACCCTAAAAACCAAAAAAAATAAAAAAAAAGCTTACCGGAGCGGAATGACCTTCCAGAATCTTTCTAGGTATTGGCAGACTTTGTTCTGTCTCCGAAAACCAAATAACAATCTTGTTATCAATGCCTCCAGTCAATAAAAATGGTGATCCGAGAAGATAAACCAATGTAATGATCTTGTCATCGTGTGCTCTAACCTTCTGACCAACTAGTTTTTGTTCTTTTAGGTCCCAAAGAGCGACTGTTCCTTCGGCATTGCTCGAAACGAGGGTTTCTACGCCGTCAGTTCTAAAAAAGTGTCATTTTAAACTTTATTACTTAAATTATATTAGTTTATAAGATTTATAAACCATTTTATAACTTATTTTTTATTTTGAAACACTAAAAAGAATACAAAAAGCAAGTTACAAGCCACTTCCTCCAACCAGACTCGAACCCACAATCTTTTGAATCCAACCCAAACTCACTACCTCTAAACCATAGAAGCACACCCGCCCAGACAGCTCCAAACCTTACCGGAAAGCCAATCCAGTGACAGCACCATCTTGTTTGAAGCTCAATAACGTTTTTCCAGTCTTCAAATGCCTAAAATGAATGTGCCCACTTGAGAAACCAAAGGCTACAACATCTTTTGCCGGACTCTGATCCATAAATGTGATCTGGTTGTTAAACTGGGCATCAGAAGCGAATTCATGAATCAATTTAGCTGTATTGATGTTAATTATTCTTACACGACCATCTTTGGCTCCAATCAATACCTAAAATTTATAAAATAACTCCATCTCAAATGAACAGATACACGTACCTTGTTATAGTAGGTATCCGGATGAATCATAAAAGTAGGCTCGAATCCTCCTGAAGATGCATCAAACTCAACAAGAACTTGATCATTTCTCCAGTCTACAACCAATATTTTGTTAGTCGAGTCAAGAACAATCAAGATATCGCCCATGGCTAGCATTATTTTAGCTGTTACACCTTTGCAAATCGTCTTAGTCCATGATCCTGTGTGGTTTAACACTTCAATTTGGCTTGACAATGCAGCGAAGATCCTTTTCTTGCTTCTGAAATATATAATCGCCTTTTTTTGCCCGTTTGAAAATTCATAATATCAAAAACTTTATGTTATTCACTAAAAACAAGTTCAAGAAGCAAATTCCTTCGTTATTTACCTAAAAACCAACAAAATGTAAAATAAGATACCGTGTAAGTAAAATAATCTCAGAAGAGAAGTGATCCGAGCTCCACACCAGCCTAAAAGGCCTGATCGTGTAATTGAGGACACAATTGTTAACAGGTACAGTTAAAAATCCAAGGTTACTGCTCTTGTCCACCGGCTGATAAACCGCTGGAACTGTTCCAAATACACGTCCTACACATCTGTACGGTGCTAGTATTTCTGACTTTGACATGTTTTTCTGAAAATTTAAGGTTTATACTAAAATTTTGTTTTGGTGAAGAACTGGCTTGTTCTCTAACGTAATATTCTATTGTAATGTAAAAACCTCGCAAATATCAACAAAAATATTTAGAGAACTTCAAATAATATTTTTAAAATCTAATTTTATCCAAAAATCTTATTTTACCCTTCTAAAACATCAAAAATCCCTAAAACGATATTTTTCCTCAAAAATTTTTGTTTGCGACGTTATGCCAAACCCCTCTTGGCGCACGCTTGTTTTCGTGTCAGGACTTAAACAACCAAATATGCAAATTTTCTTTTTGTAGAAAAGTCAGAATAAACGGCCAAAATGCAAAATAAATTCACACTTTTATTTTATTGTGTTGCCGTCCCATCGCGTTACACTGGTCGATTCGTTCTTTCTAACTTCACTGGACCCGGCTGACAATCCCAAACTGTGGAAGGAAAGAAAAAGGTTTCTTTTTACTTACAACAAGGATGGAGCAGGGAGTGTATTTGGTCTCTTTGCTTCATGTGAGTTTTGAGTCCTTCTTTTGTCATATTATTTGATATTTTTGGTGTTTTGTCAAAGTTGGAGAGGGAAAATGAGGTTTTTCATGAATAATATAGGCCTAAAACAAAGTAAATCTCATTTTTCTCACAAGCTCATGACTATATTAGGATGAAATTAGTATTTATGGATACCCCACGACATAAGTGATCTAAAAATATTAAAAATTGCGGTTTCAGCTATCCATAGCATTTGGTATAGGCTCCGTATGGACATTGGTGCTGACCTGCGGTAAGAAGAAAAAGAAGCAGATAGAAATTAAGAAAGATGACAAATCAGTGCCGACGGTGGAGGTAACAAAAATCTTTTTTTTAAATGGCAAGAACTTTCTTTACAGAACAAGAAATGGCAAAAACTTTCTTTACAAAACAAAACATTGCAAAAACTTTCTTTACAAAACAAAAAATGGCAAGAACTTTCTTTACAAAACAAAAAATGGCAAGAACTTTCCTTACAAAGCAAAAAATGGCAAGAACTTTCTCTACAAAGCAAACATGGCAAGAACTTTCTTTACAAGACAAAAAATGGCAAGACCTTTCTTTACAAAGCAAAAATGGCATGAACTTTCTTTACAAAGCGATAAATGGCAAGAACTTTGTTTACAAAGCAAAAAACGGTTTTTTCTTAAATTTTGAAAAAAACATGTTCCATCGTACAACATGTCACGTTTAGGCCCCTGTAAAAAAAGTATCACCACAAAAGAAGAGTTCACGAGAGACACCATCGAAAGAAAAGAAAGAGGATGAGAAGGAAGAGGTGAAAGCGAACGACCCTAAGAAAGAAGTAAAAGAAGAGCCAAAACCCGAGGAGAAAAAAGAAGAAAAGGAAAAAGAAAAGGAGGGGAAGAGCAAAGAAGGGAAAGAAAAGGAAAAGTCCAAGAAGTCGAAGAAGGAAAAGCAAAAGTCCAAGAAGAGCACCAAGGAGTCGGAAGAGAAACCTCCCCCCTATAAGAAAGAACCGCCCAAGCCCGCGGCACCACCTCCGCCTAAAAATCCTGCTGTAAGTTTTTTTGGATTTTAGTGGGCTTAAAAATTATTTTTATTAGTTTTAGAAGATTTAGTTTTGGTTAGACTCAAAGTTTTCATGGTGAGATTAAAAATTATAGGAAAGTTGGGTCTTGACACGAAAACATGAAAAGCTATGTTGTTAAGAAATGTGTTTAAATTAAATTTTTATAACTTAAAGAAGTTTTTAGAAATTGAAAATTACCTATATGGTGCAGTTTTTAGGGTTTTGAAACCAAATCTTGGGACCCACCACGAAAACATGAAAATGTATAATACGGTTAGAAATCGGTCCAAATTGAATTTTAATGGCTTGATCAAGTTTTTAGAAATTGAAAATTACTTATATGGTGCAGTTTTTAGGGTTTTGTGACTAAATTTTGGGTCCCACCACGAAAACATGAAAAGTTATAATTTTGGTTAGAAATAAGTTCAATTTGAATTCTGAAGGCTAGAAAAGTTTTTAAAGTTGAAGATATTTTACATGTTACTGTTTTTTGAGCTTTATGATTAAATTTTGGGTATCCCCACGAAAACATGAAAAGCTATAATTTGATTAGAAATGGGTTCAGGTTTTGAATTTTAAGGATTGAAAAAGTTTTTAAAAGCCGAATATTTTTTATATGGTGCTTTTTTTGGGTTCTTATTAGCCCTAGGTAAATAAAATGCGGGTCTCACCACGAAAACATAAAATCTCTTAAAAGTGCGCTAAGATGCTGTTTTTTGGTATTTTTAATGGTTTGATGGATCTAAGCAACTTTTTTCAAAGTCACTTTTTTAAATTAAATTTTTTTAAATTAAAAAATTTTTTAAGTTTTCAAAATTTAAATTTTTCGAATTCCAGGCAGACGCAAAGAAGCCGGACGACGATGGGGACGACGAAGACGACGACGATGAAACCCTGCGCAACGTGCAATCGCTCAAAAAAGACCCGAACGCGCCCGACTCGGTGGACGACGCCGAAAAGAAGTGATGGTTGTTTTGTTGGGAATAAAAGGTTGATCCGCCGTTTAATATCCGTTAATGAAACGTACCGTATATGGTGGCATTTTTGAGGTTACTGTAAAATGTGAAATGGTTTTTTAAATTTGTTGTTTGGTTTAAGTGAAATTAGGCAATAGCCGGTACGGTAGAGTAGGGTAGGACAGGGTACAGTAGGGTAGGGTACGGTAGGACAGGGTACGGTAGAGTAGGGTAAAGTAGAACGTTAGTAACTGCTTTTTTATTATTGAAATTTAGATATATTATATACTGTATAAATAAAGATGCAATAAATAAATGGTTTTTAAATCAAGAAGCTTCTTTGTATCGGTTAGAGTACGGTAGGGAAAAGAACAGTAAATAGTGGAGCACGACTGTGGTAGGGTAGAATGGGAGAGGTTAGGGTATATTAGGGTAGAGTAAGATAAAATAGGATAAATTTCAGTAGGAAGTTGAGTGGGAATGGTAGGGTAAGGCAGGGTAATATAGGGTGGGATAGGGCATGTTAGGGTAGGGTAAAGCAGAGGAAAGTACAGTAGGATAGAGTAGGGTAAGATAAAGAAGGGTAGGGCAAGGTAGGTAGGGCAGAGTAGGATAGGGTAGGGTAAAGGTAGAATTGGGTAGGGCAGGGTAGGGTGGGGGACGGTAGGGTTAGGTAGGGCAGGGAAGGGTAGGATAGGGTAGGGCAGGGTAGAGTAGGGTAGGGTAGGGTAGGTTAGGGTAGGGTAGATTAGAGTAGGGTAGGGTAAGGTGGGGTAGGGTAGAGTAAATTAAGGTAGTTTATACCAGGATTACTCTACGATAGATTATTCTAGAAAAATGTTACTTTTATGTTACAGTAAGACTAGTGTAATGTTATAAAGTAAAGAATTATTGATACAATGGTGGAGGCACACCAATGTCAGGATCATGTGGCATGGGCGGCTTTTTCATGAATTTTTTCCATTTGTAAATCCCCATGCCAAATAACATTGCCATTGTATATACGACGCAGAAACCGTAGTAAAAGTAGTCGTGCTTGGTCATTTCGACTGGAGTGTAATAGAAACATCCTATTATTTCTCTGAAAATACGAGTTTTTTTTAAATTTTAAAACATTTTTTGTGCGTGGACATGTTATACGATGAAACATGTTTAAGATTAAGACATGTTTTGTCGTATAACTTGTCACTATTATACTATTTTAATGTTATAGAATTAAAAAGAGGATATAAATTCATTGTAAACTACACTTTTCATAAATATTTTACTAATAAGCGACATTTTATACGATAAAACATGTCTTAATCTTAGACACTTTTCGCCGTATAACTTGTCCTTTCTTGACATTTTTTGCAAAAAAAATAAAATTTAAGTACTACTAAGTAATGTAAAATACGCTACAGGGTTTAATTCCGAAATTAGTAGACAAGTTATACGATAAAACATGCCTTAACCTTGGACATGTTTCATCGTATAACTTGTCTTTTGTGTCATTTTCGGTGACTGAAGCTGTAAAAATGACAAAGAACAAAGATAAAACATACCCATCTGGTTTTATAACACATCTCTGATCACTGGAACATTGGTATTGACCACAGATGGCATCTTTTGCCAAATATGACATTCTAAAATGAAATTTCAAATTCTAAAACTTTGAAATGTCAAAATCCAATATGATACACGTATTTGACGTTGCATAAGAATTGTTCACGTTTTTGAAAATATTTTATTGTACATAACTTTGGTTAAATTTCAATATACAGTATACCTACTGATAAGGTTAGTAGTAATAATAGTTTTACCGATGTAACAGACCAATATAACAATATGAAAATAAAATGGTAGTAGAAATATAGGATTCTTGTACACATGTTTTTTGTTAGTTTTTATAAAATAAGTGACATGTTATACGATGAAACATGCCAAAATTTTTGAAAACAGGTTTTATCGTATAACATCACATCTTAAACATACGTATTTTACAATTTTAAAACGTTTTTTATCATATGATTTCTATTTTTGTTTCTTTTTGGCCAATTTCAGTTGGTCTTTATAAAAATGTGACATGTTATACGGTGAAACATGTCTAACAGTAAAAAGATAGATTTTATCGTATAAGATGTCACTTTCACACTTTGTATTTTACAATTTTAAAACTTATTTCATCATATAACTTTTATTTTTGTTGCTTTTTAGCCAATTTCTGTTGGTTTTCATAAAACAGTGACATGTTATACGATGAAACATGTCCGGATTAGACCTGATTAGTTAAACAAAATTTAAAAACACTTAAAATAAAGCATTAAAAAGTAATAAATAAGAGATAAATTACCAAAAAAGTTCTCAAAATATTTTAGACACCTATTTCGGTCGATTCCTAACTGCTTGACTATAGGTGGGTAGGTCATCTTGTCGAAACACATAAGCACGATAACGTTGTGCCGTGCTCGTCAGTAGCCATTGTGCTACATAAAAACAGCTAACTAGTAACAGTACGGCAGCACAAATCAAGGAAGCGATTGTAAACGCGGAACATATTGTAATCGCACCCCATAGTACCATCTCGGCGGCACTGTAGTCTTGGAATTTAGCTTGTGGCCGGAAACAGCCAATGCCATTGCTGAAAATATTGTTTTATTAACTATTGTAAGATACTAGTGTATTTCAAACCAATTTTGTTTCTTTTAAAGCCATTTTTTTAAGTTTGCAGACATGTTATACGATGAAACATGTCCTTGACTTTAAAAATACATATTTCATCGTATAACATGTCGTCTAGAAATAAAAACGACTTTTTAAGTGATAGGCTAATGAAAAATGATAAATTATTTGATATTTTGTTAAATTTGTATTTTGTAGTGACATGTTATACGATGAAACATGTCCACACAAAACACTGTTAAATAAGACACACAGCAACAACATTTACTAAAAGGAATAAGAGAGAACGTATTTTACAAAACTATAACAATTTTAAAAAGTTTTTCGTATTTTTTTTGTCAACTTACTTCAATTCATCCACGACACACCTGGTCTTATTGAGGCAAACAAAGTTACTGCAGTTGGCACCAGGTAGTAAAATTGACATGAACTTTTATATGGAAATCTGTAAAATTGAATTAAAATTTATTTTTATTTTAAAAATATTGACATTGAGGCACGAAAATAAAAAAAACCGCAAAAAATGCCTACAAACAGCAAAAAAAAATGACAAAAAATAGCAAAAAATGAGCAAAAACGGCAAAAAAATTTAAAAAATGGCAAAAATATTAATAAAATAGCCAAAAATAGCAAAAAAAGGCTTAAAAACATTAAAAACAGACTAAAAAGAGTTAAAAAAATGGTCAAAATCCGCAAAATACTGATTAAAAACAGTGAAAAAATGACAAAAAATAACAAAAAAACAACAAGCAAATGACCAAAAATAGTAAAAAAATCACTAAAAAAGCTCAAAAACTAGCCAAAAAACAAAAAAAAAGACCAAAAATCAGAAAAAATAGCAAAAAAAGCAAAAAAATAGCCAAAGTCAGCCAAAAAATGAGAAAAAAAAACAGCAAAAAATTTACGAAAAACAGTTAAAAAATAGACAAAAACAACAAAAAAAGTCAAAACATAAAAAAAAAAAGTAAAAAACCGCAGAAAAATGGCAAAAGACAGCAAAAAAAAGTCATAAAATAGCAAAAAACAAAAAAAATCCCCAAAAATTGCAAAAAAATGGCCAAAAACAACAAAAAATAACCAAAGGCAAGCAAAAAACGAAAAATTTAGATATAGGTATAAAATGACAAATTTCATCAAAAAAAATTTTTTTCGAATTTTGGTCGAAAAATGCCATTTCGCTGCCTTTTTTTGCCATTTCCCGACGTTGCGCCAAGACTTTTTTGCCATAAAATGTATCGGCGCCAGATGAGATGACAATAAAAGAACAATGGTTGTGACGTTAAACATGAATTATTCTTTGACTCTTCTCTTTGTCATATTTTTAGCGGAAAAAAACTTTTTCGACCGAGTATTTGCGAGCCAAATGCGCGCATGTTTACGAGCTTGGCAACAAAGGGATGATAAATGAAGCCGGATTTGGTTAGTCTTTAGCCTTTATGAGAGCAAGGATAATATGTATGTAGCCCTAGTCCTAGCCCAGAGCCCTAGCTCAGAGTCCTAGCCCAGAGCCCTAGCCTAGAGTCCTAGCCCACAGCTTTAGCCCAGAGCTCTAGCCAAGAGCCCTAGCACAGAGCCTTAGCCCAGAGCCCTAGCCCTAGCTCTGACCCAAAGCCTTAGCTCTAGCTGTAATTCAAGCGTCAGCTCTAGCCTGCTTTGTACTATTATAGAAGATAAAACCTAAAAGATCCTAGACAAAGATTTTTTAATATTTTTCTGGCTAATTTTATTCTTTCCTATAGCTGTCTCAGCCGGGGAACAGAATAATAAAAACTACCAAGTGTAAATAAATGTGAATAATGTCGCTCTCACGCCGAACAAAACCCATATAAACAAAAATAATAAAAGAAAAATAGAGTTGTTTAATAATACTAGCCTTAGCCTTAGCCTTCGCCTTAGCCTTAGGTTTAGCCTTAGCCTTAGCCTTAGTCTTATCTGTAGCGTTCAATTTACCACTAGTTTTATACGCAGCCCTTCTTAACCAAGCCTAAAATTGATTTCTAGGCTTACATCTTGGCTGTTAAGTTCACATTGTAAACAGCACTAGCGAGCATTAGAAGCAAACTTAGCCTTAACTCACGCGTCATCTAAGCCTATGTTTTTTCGAGGCATGGCTAATAACCGGAATAAGATTTTTAGCTTTTTAGCATTCAGTGCACTTTAGCAATACCCCATAAAATTTTTTTTGCTTTTTTTGATCATATAATGCCCTAATTAAACCTAAAACCTTTCAAATGCCATAACACACCCAACCCATTTGAAACGATTCGAAAAATTACCATAAAATATTCGAAAAGCTGGAAAGAATTCGAAAAATTAAAATTCCGGACGCGTTTGTCGGCACAATTTGGGGAATTCCTTGGCCTTCGACCCCTCTTCTCTTTATTGGTCCCCCCGTCTTTCTCTAACCACTCTCTCGATTCATCGTTTCCTCTAACTGCTCTCTTCAAAAGCAGTGTTCTTTCTAAACGGCCGAATGTTTTTACGAAATATGGCACGTGAACTGGAAAAAATTCCATCCTCCGGCGGTCAACGTTCTTCGCCGTTCCGCCGTTCTTATTTTGTTTATGACAGGAAAATACGCATTTTAGGGTGACAGGTTTTGGAACAACAATATATTTTTTGATGCAAAAAAATTTATTTAAAAATTTTTTTAAAAAAAGGTTACTTTAGCTCTACTCTTTGCAATGGCCTTATCTTGAACTTGAGTCTGAGCCTGAGCCTGATGATGAGGATGAAGATTTGAATAAAGATGAGCTTGAGCATGAGTATAACAATGAGCATGAGCTTGAGCATCAAGATGAGCATGAGCCTGAGCCTGAGACTGAGCTTGAATCTGAGCTTGAATCTGAGCCTGAATGTGAGCCTGAACCTGAGCTTGAGCCTGAACTTGAGCTTGAGCCTAAACCTGAACTTGAACCTGAACCTGAACCTGAACCTGAACCTGAACCTGAACCTAAACCTAAACCTAAACCTAAACCTAAACCTAAACCTAAATCTGAACCTGAACCTGAACCTGAACCTAAATCTAAACCTAAACCTGAACTTGAGTCTGAGCCTGAACCTCATCCTAAGCCTGATTCTGAGCCTGAGCCTGAAACTGAACTTGAACCTAAACCTAAACCTGAGCCTGAACTTGAGTCTGAGCTTGAGCCTCATCCTAAGCCTGATTCTGAGCCTGAAACTGAGCCAGAACCTAAACCTAAACTAGTGTTTAAGCTTAAACTTAATCTTGAGCTTGCGGTTAATCTTGAGCTTGAGCTTGAGCTTAAGCCAGGCCTGCACCTGAGCCTGAGCGTATGTAAGGTAGCAAAAGGATATTCTATAATATATTGCTTTATATTGTTTAAAAAATGTGCTACACAATTACTAAATAATAGAATTACTAGACAGAGCAACAACATTAATATCTTGTTTCTTTCGTAGAAACATTTGTACGATAGCCTTTCGATACGGAGTTAAAAAGTACATCATGGAAGCTAAATCTAATATACCGTGCATTTCCATCAACGCTACACAAACTGCGTATATTGTGTTGCTTTGTTCCCATTGAAAGTGATATGTAAAGAAGAGCACAGCCAACGGTGTTATGAGAAAGGTACTACATATTGCCGTTTGGACTGAAAAGGCCTAAAAATATAGTGTAACTGTAGGGTAGATTAGAATACAGAAGAGTACGGTAGAGTACGGCAAGGTACAAAAGAGCACGGTGGAGTAGAAGTACAGTAGGGTAGGACACGGTGCGGTAGGAAAGGGTAGGATAGTGTAAGGTAGAGTAGGGTAGGGTAGGGTAGGGTAGGGCAGGATAGGGTAGGGTAGGGTAAGGTAGGGTACAATAACTTACCTTAAACAACATTTTTTGCATTTTTACTGTACTTTTCATTAAACCACCCAAGTCTGTAAGGTAAATACGGTAAAATAACACGCCAAAACCCATGAAGCAACAACCCACAAACACAATTATAAAGCAACTGCCAAATAACATGTAGTTTCTAAAGTTTTCCGTGTTCATAACACAGAAATAAGCGATTGGTTCGTATTGGACTTCAGGCACTTGTTCAATCACTATTTGATGTTCTATGGACTCTGAAAAAAATTTCAAAAAGGTGAAAAAAAATTCGAGAAAAAATAATTTGTATAATGTACCTGGAATATTATAAGCAAGCAGTGGAACCAAAAAGCATCCCATTGTAACGCTCTCAATAAGTACTATAAATATCACCGTTAATCGTAAATCATCAGCCAGTGAACTAAGAACGCCTGGGTACGCCTGAAACATTCTAATAAAAAAAGCAATGAATGCATTGAAAAAATAAAATGGTTTGCTTTAGCCTTACATTAGTTCTAGTTTTACGATAAGCCTAAGCATTTGCTTTTGCGTTAGACATAGTCTTAGATTTAGTATATTCTTAAGCTTAGCTTAGACATTGATTATAGTCTCAATCTTGGTACTAGCCTTAGCATGAGCTTGAACCTAAGCCTAAGCCAGAACTTAAGCTTTAGATTGAACTTGAACCTGAGATTGAGATTGAGCCTGATTTTGAGCCTAAAAATATGCCTTAACCTTAGTTTAAGCTTAAGAATACGCCAGGATGTCACACTGTCAAAAGTAGAGCATAAGCTTGACCGGGTCGGCACGTGTAGGACAAAGGCTAGAACCTAACCAAAAAATTGAGACCGGCCCGGCCTCTTTACAGATTTAATCAGAGGTGATTTTAAAGACTTTTCACTGTAGTTAAAAAAACTTACTTTCAAAAACCGATACACAAAGCACCAAAAAGATGCCAGTTCAACATTAACAACAATGACTACATTCAAGGCTAAACAAAATTTGCTCAAATGATAGTCGCAGATCCATCGTCGAGTCGATAATATGCATGATGGAGTTCCAAATATCGGCATAGATACAAGAAAACACGTATTAAAAGCCCAGTTCCACATTATGTTATTGATCAGATAGTACTTGTACTTCCGAATCTTACCTGAGTGATGTACAGCAACGTAGACTAATAATGGCGCAAGTAATGTTTCTAGAATGGCAGTTGTTGGAGCTGTGTAGCCAGTTATGAAGCCAAAGTTGTTGTTCACATTTTGCATAATATTGAGCTCTGATCTTTAGAGTAGAGTAAGGTTGGGTGAAGTAATGTAAGGTAAAGGGGGTTGATGCCAAATGGAGTAAGGTATAATAAAGTAGGGTAATTTTGAGTAGGGTAGGGTAAATAAGAGTAGGTTAAAGTAAAAAAATCTACAGAAAACTAAGCTATAGACTTAGAATATATCATTGCGTCTGTCAACGTCTACGTGTAGAAGCAGCTGTCTTTAATTACATTGCTCCAACTTGTGTTTGCTGTTAATGTATTATAAGTTACTTAAATTTGTTTGTTTTTTTTATTGTATCTGACGACCAAAGATTAAAACAATTATTTTTTGAGTTCTAACCATAGCTCTGGAGCTTTAGGTACACTAATATTTTTTTTTACTTTTGCAATACATTTTCTTACTTTATCGCAATCATACCTGCAAAGAAACCGGGCTTAAGAACCAAGTCTCGAACGGGTTCCAGCCTTTGGGTTCATATATGCCGGCTCGGCCTTTTTATTTTTTATTTACTTTGCATTCTTCAAGCGTCCACATTGACAACTCGCGAGATACAAGGTGCTCCAAAAGTTCTGTTACAAAACGTTACTGTATATATTAGATTAGATAATTTTTGATGCCATAGATTGTGAAGTACAGTGATGATGTGCAAGGATGTTCAAGGTTCAGCTGAAGACCAACGGAGCTATCCTTGAGTTTGACGTTTCCCATAATTGTTCCTTTCCCCAGGTATTTCACTGTTTCTCGCGTCACTGAGTCGTAGGTGTGGTGCTCCATAAGAATTCTGGCGTTCAATCATATACTCGTGTAGGCCAACTATAGATGTGCCTAGTCCCGGTGTACTCAGCGCTACTCATTCCTCAAGCCGCTTGGGTTGGGCGGCTCACGGGGTCGAACCAAGGTCCTTGCAAATAGCAAGCGGCGGCACAGCCAATGCGCTACCAACGCACAATTCATAGTTTTGCTTAGTCTTAAGTGACCAGCAGTACACTCTAGAACCTTTTCTTACCGTTTAAAATTGATTTATGTTGATTTAAAGCTATTTAAAATGAACTCACAACTATCTATGCAAAAAGCATGGTTCTATCAAATGTACTAACTTTATTAATGTTGCAAAAAAAGCCTAAAAGCACCTGTTATAAGATCGTATAATAAACGTATAATATGTTCATACTAAATTCGCTTCAATAAAGGTTTTTATCCTACATAAAACACCTAGCACCATAAGCCCACGATGTAAAGTTATAATATTTACCTTCCTTAAACAATCAGCAATTTTATAGGAGCTTTTTAAACACATAACAATAGTAATATAAAACTTACCTCTTTCACATCCTTTAAAATTTGTCCTTTCCTGTTCTGGTCCTCCACAACAAGTTCTTGAGCTTGATTCTTTATAGATCCAGCTCATTTCTAGACGAAAAGAGAATAGGCATCCTTCAAACTCTCCAGCCTTAGAACATTGTGCCTCCAGTTCCAAACGCTGATCGGCCAAATCCTTAAGGATCTTGTCCACGCCACCAAAATAGTCGTAGATCCGATCTCGTAGGAGCGCTGAGAGGCGCTTCCTCACTTTAATCTCCTGAAAATACATTGACGCACCCTGTGCAGACATTAGATGTAGAATTAAACGGCGAATTTTCAATAATAAAAAATTAAAAAATCAAAATAAAGAAAAACAACAAAAATAGAGGAAAATGTGGCCCACTTTTATACGACGAAACGTATTCCTCCAATAACACAGAAAACCGTCTGAAACCTACCGTGTCCAAACTAATTCGACTCGCCATGACACGTGTAGCTCCGGAAACGCCAAAAAACAGAATAAACAAGTTTGACTTCTGGGCGGCCGAATCTGGCATAGATCACCGGCGTTTGGTATCGCTCTACAACTATAGTTCTCGATATATGGGGAAACCCGATTGTACAATAGTCGGCAAGCGTCACAGTTAACATTACTATAATATAAACATAAACCGATATAATAAAGATTCTGATATAAAGGGTAACGTCCTTCGAACGTCCCAACTGTCCTACGTGCCCGCTGTCACAAATGTCCACCGAATGTTCACTTGATTGACCGTCCTTTCCTTTTAACGTGCTGGCCACCGTACGTGGTGCGGAATGCTATGTGCTGTTTGTTGTCGTGGCAGGAACAAAAGGATGCGCTCGTGCTATGTCCAACTCTAACGTATCAAAATATTTTTTTTCAATTTGTGCCAAACATTCATATATTAAGGAAGTCTTTATTATGAACACACTTTATTGCCATCATATTATTGTATATTAGAAATGCTAGTTATTGCAACAACTTTGATTTTTCGCTTCTTCCGTAAAAACATTTTTATAATAGCTTTACGATACGGAGTTAAAAAATACATCATAGAAGCCAGATCTAGAATACCGTGCACTTCCATCAATGTTATACATACAGCATATATTGTGCTACTTTGTTTCCATTGAAAGTGATATGTTAAAAACACGCAGGCTAATGGTAGCATAAGAAAAGTGCAACATATAGCTGTGTGGACTGAGAAGGCCTGAAAAGGTGTCGTGGTTAATGACTGTAGATAGGGTAAAGTAGGCCTAAGCAGTACAAATTCGACATGGTCAACAGGTCGGGCCGGGCCCTTAGAATTACCCCTAGATTAGGATTATGAATAATTTTAAGGCTAGATCCGGGACTAAGATTAGAAATTTGAGATAGAGATCTAGGCTAGGGCTCTGGGCTAGGATTGTGGGCTCTGGGCTAAAGCTCTGGTATAGGGCTTTGGGCTAGGGCTCTGGGCTAAAGCTCTGGGCTAGGGCTGTGGACTAGGTCTCTGGTATAGGGCTTTGGGCTAGGGCTCTGAACTAGGGCTCTGGGCTAAGGCTGTGGACTAGGTCTCTGGTATATTGCTCTGGGTTGGATACTTACATTGAATAACATTTTCTGCATTTTGACTGTACTTTGCATTGATCCACCCAAATCGGTAACGTAAATCCGGTAAAATAAGATGAGAATTCCAATGAAACAAAAACAAACAAACAAAACAATGAAACAGCTTGAAAATAACATAAAACTTCTGTAAGTTTCTGAGTTGAAAACGCAAAAATAGGCAATGGGTTTGTATTGGACCTCAGGAACTTGTTCAATCACAACTTGACGTTCTGTTGCTGGGTCTGAAACGTAATTTAAAGGCCTTTTATTGACAAGTAAAAATGAATTTCAAATTCTAAAATTAGCCAATTAAAAAATGTCATTTCTTTGGGATAGCTTACCCGGAATAGAGTAAATTATTAATGGAGCAAAAAAGCATCCTAAGGTAATAATTTCAACAATCACAATAAAAATCGTCGTAAGCCGTATGTCATCCACTAATGAACTAAGCACGCCTGGGTAGGCCTAAAATTTTGTTTTGATAAAAAGCTTGAACGTAGTTAGTCATAACTTCAAGCTTTGTTTAAACTCGATCCTAAGCTTCAGCCTAAACCTGAGACTAAGCTTGAGCTTGAGTCTAAGCCTCGGTCTGTGCCTGAGCCTGGAGTAGAGCTTGAGACTAAACATGAGACTTAGTCTTAGCCTTAGCCTTAGCCTTAGCTTTAGCCTTAGCCTTAGCCTTAGCCTTAGCCTTAGCCTTAGCCTTAGCCTTAGCCTTAGCTTTAGCTTTAGCCTTAGCCTTAGCCTTAGCCTTAGCCTTAGCCTTAGCCTTAGCCTTAGCCTTAGCTTTAGCCTTAGCCTTAGCCTTAGCCTTAGCCTTAGCCTTAGCCTTAGCCTTAGCCTTAGCCTTAGCCTTAGCTTTAGCCTTAGCCTTAGCCTTAGCCTTAGCCTTAGACTTAGCCTTAGCCTTAGCCTTAGCCTTAGTCTTGGCTATTAAAAAAAGCAACCGGCGTTTTTAAATCCAAATCTTTCCAAGAAACTTGCCTTCAAAAATCGATAAACAAAGCACCAAAACGACGCCAGTTCAACATTAACAACAATGACTACATTTAAGGCTAAACAAACTTTGTTCAAATGAAGGTTGTAGACCCATTTTCGAGTCGATAATAGACAAGATGGAGGCCCAAGTATGGGTGATGAGAAGAAAAACGACACGTTGAAGGCCCAGTTCCATATAATGTTATTGGTCAGATAGTACTTGTACTTCCGAATCTTACCCGAGTGATATAGAGCAACGTAAATTAATAATGGCGCAAATAGAGTTTCTAAAATGGCAGTTGCTGAAGCTGTGTAGCCGGTAATAAAACCAATGTTGTTGTTTACATTTTGCATAATATTGAACTATGATCTTTAGAGTAAGGTACGGTAGGGTAGGTTAAGCTATTTAGTTTTTAATACTTTTTAGATTAATACTTTTTGTAAATCAAGTAATAAAGCATTTACTAGCAAAGTTTAGAGTTACAGTAAAGCAGGGTAGGGTAGAATAACAAAATTTAAACTTAGAGTAAGGTAAAGCAGAGTACGGTAGGATAAGGTAAATTAAGAGAGGGTAGGGTATAGTAGAATACCCTACCTGGTATAGTGGAATGCCAATTATCGTTTCGCTTTAAACGTCAGTTGTAAAAGTACAAGAATAATAAATAAAAAGTAGTACACAGAAATGCTTTGAATATAAAAGCAAAAACGATTAATCAACTTTGTTACTGTTCTCTATGTAAAGTTGAACTTTCAAAACATCTGCTCCTCATGACATTATTATACCTTGCACTAATATAATTCGCTTTGGTTTGTTGATCTTCGTATATATTAGCAAAAATTGTATGAAAGCAAACGTTACCTTAATTTTTTATTTTTTTGTATTAGGAATAGAAGTACGAAATACAGGGTTGCACACAGAGTCTTGTGCTACCTACCCTACCCTACCCTATCCTTTTCTGTCTTACCCTACCCTATCTTACCCTACCATACTCCTTTCTACTCGACTTTTTCTTGCCCTTCGCCTTTCTACACTACCATAGCCTACCGTACTCTATCGTAACCTACTGTACCCTAACATACTATTGCGTAATCTACTCTACCCTACCCCAAGATTTAGTAATGACAAGTAGTGGGTAGATAGTAAGTTTATCTTAACAAACCAAAGTAAATAAAAAATCAACATTCAAAAATTTTCAAAGGCTGCGCCTCTGAAAATTGCCGTAGGTCTTTGAAAAATGGACGGAGCGAGTTGTTCACTAGTGATAGCCTTTTTACATGCGCTTCGTCCGCCTTTAGAGTACCTAAATAATAAAGTTAAAATCAAAATTGGTCCACATGTATACCTTTGACCTCTCCTCCTAGACCAAAACCGTAGCGATGTTTCTGGGCATAGCACAACTTTATATTAAACGTTACCTCGATAGCAAAAATGTTGCATTGGTTTCCCGAAATAGTGTTTGACTTTTTCCTTCAATTTATCAATACTTAACTCATCGGCTGTGAATGTTTCCGTATATCCATTCAATTGAAATGAGATGGGGAACAAAGATTCTAGTTTTAAGCGCTTTGGATCTTCTAAAAAATTAGTCATAAAAAGAGACGTAAGAATTGAAGAAATGATTATAAACTTTAAGAAACGGTACCAGGGCCAGGCAGAAACTTTTGGTCAGGAAGCGGGGGTCGAAATTTTTTTTCCAAATATCCACGGGGGGGGTTCCCCCTTCCGTCTACCCCCGCCCCTCCCGCGACCGGTCCTGAACGGTACATATCTAGGATGAAAAAGCATGAAAAATGAATAGTAAAAACAAGTTGTGGTCTAGCTAACCTAGGACATTTTCTGTTATAATTTTTTTGCCTCACAAGGAAAGCGCAAAATTTTTATATAAATTCCTTGTCCCACCAATAGTACCCATAAAAAATTTTAGTTCGCGTTTTTGAATTTAAACTTTGAATTATATTGGTTTCCCGCCAATTTGGCAAATTTGGCATTGTGTTTCAAGCACTTTTTTCGCCTTTCCACAAGCTACACTTACAAATTTAAAAATGTAGGTTCAATTAAAAGGTTTTTATCAGTATATGAAAGAAAAACGGTTAAAACCCAAAAAACGGCAGAGTTATAAGCTTGAAACACAATGCCAATTTGGCGGTAAATTCAAAATGTAATTTTTTGATCTCGGTTTTCTCGAGATTTACTGGAAAGCGCGATTTATTACTTTGCTAAAGATCCTATATTAAATGATCTTTCTATATAAAAAGTTTGAAGTCACGTCAAAAAAGACCCTCTTGAGGCATATTTTGTGAAATTCATACCTGGGTTTGAAAAATATTTTTTAATTGCATAAGAAGCTGATTCAGCCGATTCTGCACCTATTTCCTTCAATGACGCACCACTTGTTGCCCATCCAGTATACGCAACTCCAGCTTTTGTTAAGTATTTGAGGATCACATCAAATTTATCTCCTTCAACAAAAAAAAACATCATTGCAAAAACAATAATTAAAGCAGCAATCTTCATAACTGTTTTTGGTTGAATCTGTAAATTCATTATTGAGCCTTACTAACTTATATATATAAAGTGAATAAACAAGCGTTGCAACCAAAGCAATCACGCGGCGACAATTAATTACTAAAGATCCCACGGCCCTACGACTTCTTGTTACGGAGATGTAAAAACTACAGAAATCCTAAAGTACTCTACAATCTATGACATAGCAAAAAAATTAAAAAACTTGTATTTTTTACTCCGTTAGCATTGTCTCAGTCCATAGTAATTAAATTTAAATTTTTAAAATGTCAGAAAATTTCACGACGACAGTGCTATTGGTCCCTCGTCTTAGGAAAAAAACGAGTTTTAATGTAAAAAATCAAAGATTAAGATAATCGAGACGAAAATACATTTTATAAAATCTTAGCAAGTCCCAATCTCTCTAATTATGTAAAGATGTAAATGACTAATGTGTTTTTGCAGTCTTTTATACACATTTTTGACGCGGCGTTGTTGACCAAAGGTTGCAGACGCTAAAAAAGAACGGCGCTAGGACAATTGCGGATTTGAGACATTTTCAGATTTTTAAAGGGTTTTTTATTATTTTTTGGTTAATACTAAAAGCCTAAAGTGGTGCTGTTTTTATATTATTTGGTGCTAAATGGTACTAAAAGTCCAAAGTGGTACAGTTTTTTGTACTAAATGGTACCATATTACCCACAGTACCATTTAGTACCAAAAAAATATAAAAACTGTACCAATATAAAGCTTTAGTAGAGGGAAGAGGGAGAGGGGGAGGGGGGATTAGTAAAAACTAGTGGATTTTTAATTGTCTGAAATGTTCTTTGTCCCAAATAGAATTGTCCCAATTTTCGCTGTCCCAAATGTCGGTACGCAAGTACGTTTAAAAACACAAAAATTTCATAACTGTCTAGGTAACATCCAAAACAGCTGTTCCAAACATAAAACATTGCATTTGCAACAATGTTCATTTAATATACTTTTCTGATAACGGTATAGTTTTTTACTTGTAGTGGGCAATGTACTATAAAAGTTGAATTTAAAAAATGAAGCAAAATGCGTGTTCAAATTAAGAAATTTTAAAATCAGTTCTTAGAGTTGCTGGTGTTCAATCATATACTCGTTTAGGCCAAGTATAGATGTGACTAGTCCCCGTGCATTCAGCACTACCCATTCCTCAAGGCGCCTGGGTTTGGCGGTGCGCGGGATCGAACCAAGGTCCTTCCGAATAGCGAGCGGCGCCACAGCCACTGCGCTACCAACTGTTGTAGGCCGTTTACGTTTACTTAACCAAGGTATTCGAAATCAAGAACTAATATAACATTTATTAATTGCTTTTAAGCCTCAAGACATTAAAACAGAAAAACTAGGTCTGAGTGAGCTCAAAAGCCATGCTTGTCTTAACACTCAGTCGTCGTCCGCGTTTGGAAAGCATACGTACAACCGCACGCCGATACGGAGTTAAAAAACACATTTGTGTTATGATATCTAAACAACCGTGAACTTCCATCAATGTAATACAGGTTTGACATATTGTCATGCTTTCCTCCCATTGGAAGTAGTGGACTAAGCAAAACACTAATAGTGGTATTGCAAGAAATGCGTAACACAGTGCTATCTGAATGGTAAAGGCCTGGAATTAAGAATGGTAAGATTGACAGGACTGGGCAGAAGACATATGTCTAGAGCAAAGAAAAAAGATAAGATAATACTTATACTTACCTTGAACAACATTTTTTGCATTTTTATAGTACTTCTCATTGCACCATGTAAGTCCATGACTATTAAACGATGAAAAAAGAGACTGAAGCCAAAAACTCCCCAAAATAAAAAGACTGTAATAAGTATAGCTACACACAACATAAGTGTCTTATAGTTGTTAGTATTGTAAGCGCAAAGGAAGGCAACAGGTTCGTATTTGATTAATTCAGGCACTTGTTCCAGCATTACTTTACGTTCTACTGCTGGATCTAAAAGTTTCATTTTTTAGCAATTTGGTGACGGTGTTCCATTGTTTTCTATAAAATATTTCATGAATAGTAAGTACCTTCAACAGTATAAAACAGAAGCGCAGAAATAAAAGTGATTGAAATAGCACCTTCAAATAAAACAACCAAAAATGTCACAAATCTGAAGTCGTCTGCCAATGCGCTAAGCCAACCTGAATACGCCTTAAAAGTTGTAATTACAAAGCAGTTGTGCCGTTCACAGAATATGAAACTACAGTTCTCTTAATTTGGCTTACTTTGCAAAACCTAAGCTATTCTGCGTTGGTCTATCCTATCTTGTCTTACTCTACTTTATGTCGCCTTACCCTACCCAGAAACATCATAAGCCCCTCTACAGAACCTCTTGCTCTCGCTCCCCTACCTTCAAAAACCGGTATGTCAAACACCAAAACGATCCAAGTTCAGCATTTATAACAACAATAAGTGCGACGGCAACACAAGATTTGCCGAGGTTGTAATGATAGATCCATCCTCTTGGTGATATTATACACGATGGAGCTCCAAGGACAGGAGCACATAAATATAGCCAAAGGTTTAAGCCCCAGTTCCATAAGATATTGTTGAGTATGTAGTACTTGTATTGACGCATTTTACCCGAATGATATATGGCAACATAAATTATAAGTGGAGCAAATGCACTCTCAAATATAGAATCGTACGGGCTTCCATACTGCATAGTATGCTAAAGCAGTACTTAGCACTATAGTTTAACGTTAAACACTATAGACTAAACATGGGTGCCTAGAGTCTAATAAACCTTTACTGCAAAATTTAATAAGGAAGTTAAAATCAAACTAACAAACTGATAAATTCATCTACATTTTAACTTAGCGTCTGGTTATGTGTGTTTAAGATACAGCTGAAATAAACTAATTTATGCAAGTTTTATATGCATAGATCGCATTGTCTCGCAGGCTAAGTTGTCCTTTTATATCTTTCTTGAAACCTCGTTTTTTTAAAAGTGTATACACTATTTTTTGTTACTTCATTAGTTTTTTTACAAAGTCCGAAACATATTCAGCTGTGCCGTTTTTATAAAATGTATTTCACCGTTAGTTTCAACAAGTACAGTTTGAAAAAAAGCTTATTTTTAGCGCATTTCCTACCTTTACTCTACCCTGCTTTAACCTATCTTGCCCTATCCTACAAAACCCTACCCAAAAATGACAACCTTTAATCATATCAACATGACAAATGTACAATTTATGTTTGAGTAAGGTCAAAAGAAATGATTGTTTTAAAATTCTTTCGCCGACTCGAGATCATTTGTGCTACAGCTCGTCGATACGGAGTTAAAAAGTAAATTTGGGTTACAATGTCCAAACAACCGTGAACTTCCATCATTGTTATACAGATTTGGCATATTGTCATGCTTTCGTTCCATTGAAAGAAATGGACTAAGAAAAACACCACTAATGGTAGTCCAAGAAATATGTAGCACAGTACTATCTGCACAGTAAATGCCTAAAAATGGAATAGTAATGCGACCAAACTGTCGGATAAAGGAAACACTGAAATCCAAAACTTTTAAATATACTATACCTTATATAGCATCTTTTGCATTTTTACAGTACTCTTCATTGTACCGTCCAAATCCATGATTATAATGCGATATGACAAAATGCTAAATCCTCCAACACCAACCAATAAAAACCCACAAACAATAACAGCTGCGAACAACATAAGCGCCCTAAAGTTGTTGGTATTGAAAGCACAAATAAAAGCAATAGGTTCGTAAATTGTCAATTCCGGCACTTGTTCTAACATTACTTGACGTTCCATAACCGGTTCTAAAGAGTTGTTTATATTGGATAACGTCCGACTTTTTGATTTATAAGCGTCAAGTGTAAATACAGTGTACAGGGCCGGGCGGGGACTTTTGGTTTGGGAGCGGGGTCAAAAAAAATTTTTTCCAAAAATTTACAGGAGGGGGGGGACCACGTTAACCTTTTTCGTAATTTTTTTTTCTTAAGGGGGGGAGGGGGGTTCCCAACAAATCACTAGGGGATTTAAAATTGTTCATTATGAGAAGGTTTCGTTATATAGGAAGACCTTATACAGAGGTTCCACTGCAACATTGTTTAGTTACCTTCAACAGTGTAAAAGATGAGAAAAAAGAGAAAGCAAGTGGATATAGCACCTTCGAACGCAATAACAAAGCAGGACACATAACGAGGGTCGTCTGCCAACGTGCTAGGCAAACCTGAGTACGCCTAAAAAATTATTATATATTAGTTCTTAAAAAATACCAGCTAACACTCAAAGCTTCCAACAGTGCATAACCGTTACCCTAAGTGTTATTTAATTACATGTTTTAACAGCGTGAAAGAAATCAGCAATAAAATTTGAACTCCTCCCCCCTTGGTACGTTCTAAGAAAGCTTTGTCTGCTTCCAATTTTGACCTAACAGAATAATTTAGAGTTCGTTTTTTCAATTTTTATTTATTAGTGTAGTGGGTAACGATTATGCTTCCGTGAGTGGGTAACGATTATTTAGTTTTGTAAAATCAAAATAAACCTTAAAGAACCGGTATGCTAAACACCAAAACGACCCGAGTGCAGCATTTATAACAACTATAATAGCGACAGCAACACAAAATTTTGCAAGCTGATAATCAAAGACCCATCTTCTAGCTGATATTATACACGATGGAGCACCAAGAATAGGAGCACATAAATATAGCCAAAGGTTTAAGGCCAAGTTCCATAAGATATTGTTGAGTATGTAGTACTTGTATTGACGCATTTTACCGGAATGATATATAGACACATAAACTATTAGTGGGGCGCATGCGCTTTCGAATAGTGTAGCTGTTAACGAAATGTTGTTGAATATAGAATCGTATGGGCTTCCATACTGCATGCTATGGTAATGTAGAACTAGGTATGTAGACTGGCTGTAATTACTACAGATTAAATATAGCTTAATAAGCTTTTGGTTATAGTGTCGCACAAGTCATTTAATAAGTAAATATGACAATAACAGTTTTGTGCAAACATCTACTTATTAACCTAGCGTCTGATTATAAGTGAGTTTGAGAAACAGCTGTATCCGACTAATTTTATTTATGCAAACGGCTATTTTATTCACGTTTCATATGCATTGATGTTCGTGTTGCTCGTATACATAATTTGCCTTTCAAATCTTTTTTAAAACCTGTTTTTTTAAGTGAAAATACTGATATTATTGTAATTTTATTTGTTTTTTTACCAAGTTTGAAACATGCAGCTGCCCCATTCTTGTAACACATTTCATTTTTGATTTAACAAAACTTAGTTAAATGAAAAAAAATTTTTAGCACGTTTTCTACTCTAGCTTACCCTACACTTCGCCACCTCGACTTAACTTATCCTACTCTCCCCCCCCCCCTTTCCAACTTATACCTAAATTAAAATAAGAAAATAACAACGTTATGACGTCTACAAATTCGTATTTATTACAAAAATATGTTTTGGCAGTCTTAAAAGTGTCGTTGGAACAAGTGAGAGAACTGATATGTAAACAATGCTGATATTTAGTCTATAGTAAATTTTTTGTTTGAGATTAGGTAGAAGATTCTTTGAAAAGCTAAAAAAAGACCGATTAAACAAGCCACTTAGATATACTGTTAAAAAACAAAAAAAACACTAAATAAGAGTTACTAAAAACCTAAAAAATAAAAAAAATCCATAAAAAAAGAAAAAATGCGTAGTCGAATACCACAGTAATCTATTTGTAAAACAAAGGCTTCAATTGTCGTAGATTGAATCTTGATCAATATAATATAGTCACACTTCTTTGGCCCCAGTTTTCTCTAATAAAGCATGAGTTTCGTGATCAAAGTCAATCACAACGTTGTACAAGGCCATTGCTACGTAACTGAAACACAACATGTTTTTTGAGTGAACTAGCTTTATCTTAAAGTCTTTCGATGTTTTTTAGTTTTATCGTGTTTTATAATACAACTAAGTTTTAAAAAATCATTATTTACAATAACCCACCTAGCAGGTAGATCACCAATATTCAATGCAAGCTGATGAAGAACAAAAACGCCATCATGACCCAAAGCTCTGAAGAACTTGTCAAGATAGACCGAGCCGGCATGGCACGCTAAATAAGCTCGGATACGTTCTTGCGAACGTGCTGGTGTGCACATTGTCATGAGCCATGAAATGCAGTTTGCACTGCTGATTAAACAAACAAACAGCATCCAGAACCATAGGAACAACAACAACTTCTCGTAGTAAATGTTAAGGGTTAACACGCAGTTGACCGTTTGTTTCTGGAAATGACACTTGAAAGGTTTGACAACTTATAAATGGTTGATTAATATTGTGGCGAGTAGACATGAAAATGGGTCTATTAGACTGAGGCCGGGCCGAGTCAAAGCAACTTTGAACGGAGTTGGCCAATACATGTAAGCCAGAGTTCGCGGCTAAAATCAGGACTTCAAAGGCCAGCTGAGGTTCCACAACCAAACGTTTGGGCACGATCCGTAAGACGGACTGAAAAATACGGCTCGACTGAACCTTTTGACTAATGTAGGAGCGACAGAAACTTCATCTTCGATGTACTCCGCCATGTTTTAACTACCTTTCATATTCTCATTAGCAAATATAATACCCCTACATATTCATTTCTCAAAACTCACCGGAGAGTTAGCCAACATCCGTCTAGGCACATCACAATGTGTAATGCGAGGAAAATGCCCGCTTTCTTGCCAACTCTCACCGGACAACAATGAAGCAATGACCGAAGCACCATGGAAAGAATATAAAGGACTGTCAATCAAATCGTTAAGCCAGTAGAACATTAACCAAGCATTTGTGGCTTGCACAACCGTATAGATAATGTAATAGAAAACCATTCGGCCACGTTTGTGTCTGCGGGCTAGCCGAATTGCATCCCAGATGTAGGTGCCGACTTGCTTTTCTAGCACGTCCATTCGGCCTGAATACAGTATGGTAAAATTTAGGGTCCTTTAGGTAGGGTAGGGTAGAGTAGGGTAGGGTAGGGTAAAGCAGGGTAGGGTAGGGTAGGGTAGGGTAGAGTAGGGTAGGGTAGGGTAGGGTAGGGTAGGGTAGGGTAAGGTAGGGTAGGGTAGGGTAGGGTAGGGTAGGGAAGGGTAGGGTAGGGTAGGGTAGGGTAGGGTAGGGTAGGGTAGGGTAGGGTAGGGTAGGGTAGGGTAGGGTAGGGTAGGGTAGGATACTGTAAATTAACATACCTTGAAAGTTTCCACCTCTAACCTTATGCCAAACCACATCAGTGTACTTGACACAACCACCAAGGTCAAAGCCAGAAAAGCTGGCCAACACATCCCAAATGAACCTAGGCATATAAAACGCAAAGGCCTGCAAAGTCAGAAAGTATGGAATCCACTGATAATAGTTGATAAAGTTTCTCTGACGAGTTTCGTCCTTGAACTCGAGTTGTTCATCGAGTTTGGCAAAATAAGTGCCTTCGACGTAGCAAAACTGGTTCACAAAGTCGGACCAAATTCGAGGAAATTCAGCTGGCGTCCAACAGGTGATCGGATCACCCCAGAAGTGAGTAGACAATAGTAAACCTGATGATACAGCTAATATGGCTACGGTGAAACGGCTGTTTAGACGACCGGCCTGAAAAAGTTTTAAAGATGTATAAGTGCCTATTTAACCTAAAATTTATAAAATGGTACATTAGACCTAAAAAGAGATCCACTAGAACCGCACTCGCCCTGGGCAAAATACAACTGAGCTCAACAGTCCCGGTCTAAACTTGCCAAGGGCCGGCACAGGTAGGCTTGAGGTTGAGCACTCCTGGGACCGAGACTCAAGACCTGAACCAAGACTCGTCCCATCCCATTTACAAGCCTACCTTACATAAAACGGCCTTAATTAAACCTTTTTGTTGTAATAAACTATGAACATACCAAATCACCTTTAGGTTGGGTAAAGACCTTGCCGATCAAAGCATTCACACTGGAGACGGCTCCAATATGAGCGCTCATGCTGCTGATCTAACTGCTGATTAACCCTAAAATTTGAAACACATACAAAAATCAATAGAGTATTGACTAACAGAAGATAGTTGCAACCCCGTATTTTACTAAAATATCTCACTATGACTCAGTAAAACAACAACATACTACATATATGAGCATTAGGATTTAAAGAGTTTAAACGGATTTCGTTCCGTAAAATCTAATTTTGTAGCTTTAAACTCTTTTTTGTTTTAGGTATTTTAACATAGTATTCTATCTAATATGGCTATCATTGAGTCATCTTATTTCAAAAAAAACTTTTAAAAAAGAAGTAAAAAACATTTTTCTACCCTACCGTATCCTATACTACCATACTTTACGTTACCTTGTGTCCTATACTACCATTCTTTACTTTACTTTACCTTATCCTACCCTACCCTACTGTAACCTTCTCCACCATACTTTACCCTACCCTATCATAATCCGCCTTACTCTATAGTAACTTAACATATATTATCCTACCGTACCTTACCGTAATCTATTCTACCACACATTACTCTAAAATATCCTACTTAACTCTACCCTACCATACCCTGCCGACCCCTATACCTCTTCTTTTACCGACGACTCTCGGTTGTTACTTTACTATGTCTTACTGTAATATTCAAAACCCTTTACTATCACCTAAAACTTCTCCCCCCCCCCTTTCTTTAGTTATATTTTAAGCCTAATTAACAAAATATGTTTTACATAAATCAAAACGTAAATTAAAAAAGACGTCGGCCGGAGGGGAATTGACAGACCTCGAGGCGATCAGTGTTTGTCGTCTTGTTTCAGTGATTTCCCGAGGCCAGAAAAGCCGTGTCCGCGCAGCAATCGGTGTACCCAAAGTCTTTTTTCTTGTCATTTCGTCTTGTTTCATGTCTCTTCTTCAACTACCTCTCCACCCGTGAGTGTGAAGAATGTAGTGGGGCACGGGTAAAACGTGTGCTATGTTCGATATCTGCAAGATGATATAAAAAATGTATTGAATAAAATTGTGTCCTCGCTATTATAAAGATAGTAGCCCTATCCGAACCTACCCTACCCTACACTACCCTAACCTACCCTACCCTACCCTACCCTACCCTACCCTACCCTACCCTACCCTACCCTACCCTACCCTACCCTACCTTACCCTACCCTACCCTGCCCTACCCTATCCGAACCTACCCTACCCTACCCTACCCTACCCTACCCTACCCTACACTACCCTAACCTACCCTACCCTACCCTACCCTACCCTACCCTACCCTACCCTACCCTACCCTACACTACCCTACCTTGACTTGTTTTACCTTTTTCTTTTTTGCGGTATCTTACTCTACCTTACCGGACCTTAATGTACTCTACCGTATCCTACTGTAATATACCTTACAGTACTATAATCTATCCCTTCCTGCCCTGACTTGCCTTACAACCCTAAACTTAGCCCTAATTTGAAATTACTGTAACCTTACCCTACTCCTCTCTAGCTTACTTTAACTTACTTTACCTTCTTGCCCTATGCCTTACATTAAAATTAAAAATAAGAACAGTAATCATACAGTAATTACCAAAAAACTTCGTAAAATTACATTACAACTTTTAAGCGCACCAAATTAATACTTCTAACTATTTTTTATCGTAAAATACGTGCCAAATTTTCGTTTTGTTAAATAACCATATCAAACCAAAAACGATTCGCCACCGAATACTATCGTATTACAACCGACTCTTTTTGTAAACCACTTATCGTATGTTGAGCGTCAAAAAGTGCACTTTACACTCTGTCATCTCCTTTTGTTTTATAAAATTCGAGCAAATACTCAATGACGTCAAGTTTAAGGTCTCAATTAGGCCTGTAGAACACATCGTACTAAATTTTTCGATCAAGCCCTTTGAAATTTGTTTTGGCCCGGCCTTGTTGGCCCACTTTAAAGTCTAGTCTCAACGTGTTCTTCACGTTTTAATTGAAAAAAGATTTAAAATTAACGGCCTGTATAATCAAGAACTTGATCGAATGTAATTGAATATTGTGCCTGATTTTTATAAAGTTTTATGTTTTTTTGAAGATTTATAGATCAACTTTTAAGTACCCAGCCAACACTACGCAGAATATTTAAAACTCTTCTGTAACAAAAGTTGTTATCTTCAAGTCATTCTTTACACAAGAGTTTTACAGTAATTTTTATAACTTTTGAATTTTGATTTTGACCGAAAGAGCAAGCCAATGTCCTAAAAAATGAAATTTCTTGTCCTTACTATCAAACACAAGAAGTAAGTGAATAAAAATGTGTTAATCTTGAATCAAGCTAACTACAAAAACAAACAAAAGCACCCGGATCAAATACAACAAACACAGTATTAATGTCAAATGTGTCTTCTTTTTTACTTTTTATTCGTTTTATAAAATTAAAACAGTTGAACAACTTAATTTTATTATAATATATTATAAAAAAACAGTACCAATAGACCTGAAAAAGGTCCACTAAGTTCCAGCTGACACCATTTTGAAAGCAGGCCGGCCGAATGACCCAAGAGCCGAAACTAAATGAACATCGCAGGAGCCTAGCTAAGGTCCCGCAACGAAAGATTTGACTTGCAAAATTTAAATAAGACATCGGGCCGGGCCGAAGCAACTTTGAAGGGACTAGGCCGGAAAATGACCCCTCTGCAGTTCTAAGTACCAGCTATATAATAGTACTAAAAGTAGACATAATATTGTAATAGTGCTCGCAGAAAATTAGAGTAAAATCCCAGCACTCGCAGTCATTTGTTGGGTCGTTTTACATCGAGGCAAACATTATAAAAATTGTAAAAATTACATAATAAAACGTTACGTAACACGAATTCTTGCAATTCCTCTAAGGCAATATTATGTTAGAAAATTAGGTAACACTTCGATTATTACGCATAAGTTTACATTGAAAAATATCATGAGAAGATGATGTAGCATTCGGCTTTAGTAATAGCCCTAGCCGTAACCCTAGCCCTAACTTTAGCTTTAGCCCTAACTGTAACCCCTAATCCTAGCCGTAGCTCTAGCCCTAGTTGTTTGATTTTATGAGTTTAAATCGTAAAGAGCAATGGTGCTTACGCTGTCGGTACTACTATTAAATAGTCCTTGTCCTAGCCCTCCTTAGTACTATATTGACGGCAAATCTATGTTTAGTAGATTGCTTGTTTGGGCCTAATAATCTCACATTTTCTTGTCATTCTTCGACTCGTAAAGAAAGTTCTTGCCATTTTTTGTTTTGTAAAGAAGGTTTTTGCCATTTTTTGTTTTGTAAAGAAAGTTCTTGTCATTTTTCGTTTTGTAAAGAAAGTTTTTGCCATTTTTTAAAGAAGGTTTTTGCCATTTTTTGTTTTGTAAAAAAAGTTCTGGCCATTTTTTGTTTTGTAAAGAAAGTTCTTGTCATTTTTTGTTTTGTAAAGAAAGTTCTTGCCATTTTTTGTTTTTTATGTAAACTACATTCTAATAGTAGTTTTTTTCTAATGAGTTCTTTGCTGTTTGAGTTCAAAACAATGATCACGAATGAGTTTTTTGTCGCAGAATACGACATGCTTTCGTTTCTCGTTCCGTGCATTCCGCTTACTATACAAAGCGCCAGCTTGTAAACAACATTATATATCCACATGTTGTTCATGGGTTCAAAATAATTTTATAATGTTTAAAATTGCCTCAGGCAAAAACATAAAAAATTTAAAAAATGGCAAGAACTTTCTTTACAAAGCGTAAAATGACAAGAACTTTCTTTACAAAACAGAAAATGGCAAAAACTTTCTTTACAAAACGAAAAACGGTAAGACCTTTTTTACAGTGTTGAAAACTTGATTCTGATTCATTTTGTAACCGTTTTAAATTCGATTCACATGTCAACCACCTTGCCCACCACCATTCACATGTTATCCATCATCTTCCGCATGTTCTCATCAGCTGTTGTCCACTTTGTTTCGCTCCGAAAACCTAAATTTAAAAAACGCGTACTTTGGTGTGGTCACTCTAAACAACAACACGATATTATCGTACCTCTCTTTGCTTCGTGTCGGCTCGTATTTTCGTTCTCTAGTGCTTCAAACTATAGCAATATCTTCTCAACCTTCTTCTCTTCAAAACTAGTGCTATTTCTCTCGTTCTCTCTCAATTTTAAAGCACTATTTTACCCTCCATCTCCTCTCCAAAACCCGTATTATCTTCCTCGTTCTCTGCTCCCAACAATTCTCGCTAAAATGACCCTTCACGAAGGGATAAAAGCGAAAAATTCGGAGGAAAACGCACGCATTCTATACGAATATCCCATTCGCAGCGGCGTCGCTCGTCCGTTTTCGGAAGTGCACGAAACATAAACACCGTGATAAACAACGCTACATCAGCGGATTTTCATGCTTTTTCAGGGTCTTGAGGATTTTTAGCGATATCTTGATTTTATCATCAGTTATCAACGATCTTTCGCGATTTACGGCGGTTTTTGTGGATTTCGTCTGATTCCTGCGATCTTTTTTGGCTTTCTTCGCGGATTTTCATTTTTATCGCGAATTTTTTGGGCGGGGTAGAAAGAAAAGTTTATTTTCCAACAATATTTATAGGCGGATCTTTTAAAATCTAAAAGTTTTCAACTTGTTTTGGCGATGTTTCAGCAACCACCTTAATTTTCGCGATATTTTTGAAGTTTCTTCTTGAATTTTCGACGTTATCGCAGTTTTTTCTCATTTTTGAGGGTGGGGCAGATCGCAAATTTTATCTATCAACAACATTTATAGGTGGATCTTTTAAAACTTTAATTTTTACCCCATTTTTTGACGATATTCCAACGATTACCACCAACTTTTCGCGATACAACAGCTGATTTTTCGGAATTTGGGTCAAAATGGGAGGAGTTTTCAGAACAAAAACATTTATCGTATAGTTAAAAGGGTTGTTGACAACATGACCAAGAAGATACTGTATTATTTTAGCTATAAAATGGGTGGAACATCGACATTTTTGACTAGATATGAGACGAAACCCCGATATTATAGTAGATTTTTGATGTGATCAGAGAAAAGAGACCGTACTGTTTGGAATATGATAATAAAATAAAGGTTCTTGGGCTTAAAATGAAGCTAAAAGAATGGACAATATTTTACATTATTAATCTGTTGAGTATTTTTGCTCAACCAAGGGCTTGAAACTATGTTATAGTAGGTAAACTTTGACGTTTCCTGGAAAAAACTTTTGAAGATTTGAGGCATTGATCTTTTGGCAAAAGCTTTGTAAAGCACCTATTAACTTTTACTAATGAAAAAATGTTGTTTTACACTCAAAATTTGAAAGTTTTGTTCATTTTCATTCTAAAAACTGGGTTTTTAGTGGAAATCGGTATGTTATCCTTGAGTTTCCTTAATATTTTAATGTGCTTTTAATATTTCTAGCTTCGTATTTTATTTTTTGATATTTTATCTTGATTTTTCATTAAAAGTTTTGTCACATTTTACAGTTTTTAACTCGAAATTTGATCAGTTAAACTTGTTGTTACCTATAAAATCAAAAAATTGGTGTTTTACATAAAACCTTGAAGTTTAGGTAACAATAGCTCAAAATCCTTGTAAATTTGCATTCTCATTACTCCTTTACATCTCTCGACATTGATTTTATTACCTAAACTCATTTCAGCAACAATAAAACTCACTTACCGCGATGTTGGCCGCCAAAGCGGCGACAATGATTGACTGTGCGGCGAATCAACGGCTCCTGATGGATCGGACGGCGATGAGAGCTTTCCAACATGCTGTCGATGAGATTCTACATGTTTGCCATGTTGACATGCACATTAAGGTAAGGTTTTAAAAGTTTTGGGTGGAAAAGGCATTTTAAAATGGTTTTTTTGGAAAAGGGACATCTTATACGATGCAACATGCACTGGCGGAGAAAAATAAAGTTTTGCTAACAGAATGCTAGATATATTTACACCTAAAATTCTTATTTTCACTCAAAAATCTTCTTAATTTCAGGTAGAAATGTCCGAATTCCATTCAAATCACGTCACGTTTCGTCAGAAGATCCCATCACAACATGAGACAGTCCATTTCATGAAGGAAGCGTTTGAGTACGTTCATACTCATCCGGTTGGACCACCACATTTGCTTCCAGAGCACGAACATTATGTGATTCAGTCGTTCGAAGAACACTCACATCAGAAATGGATTGACTTGAAGGAGGATTCTGAAGTCAACGAAGTTGTCTTCGAAGGATTCGTCAGATTGCCTAGGAAGCTACAGAAATTGATCATGTAGGTTTGAAATGACATTTTTAGAGATTTTGAAAATTGATGGTAGGGTGATTTTTTTCGGGCAAAGGATTTTAGGGGCATGGTATTTTTATGATGAAGGGGGGGGGGGGAGGGAGAACTTATTTTTAGGGTAGAGTAGGTACAGTACATCGGGTGATAATAGGGTAGATTACGCCAGTTTTTGGTCAGGTTCAGGTTTTAGGTCAGGGCATGACAGGAAAAGGTAGGGGTGTTTTTTTTGGATAATGTAAAGCTAGGTAAGATAATTTACATGGCATGGTATTTTTTTATAGGGTAGGGCAGGGGACAAGATAGATAATTTTTAAGTCAGTGCTTTTTACAGGGCGCGGCGACATTTTTTAGGGTATGGGTAGGGGAAAGTACGGTAGAATAAGTGGGTTTGTAAGGGAAGGACATGAGTGACGTAGTACAGGGTATGGTAGGACATTTTAGAGACAGTAAAGGATATGTAAGGGCGCTGTAGGGTATGGCAATAGGGTAGGATAGGGTAGAGTAGGGCAGGGCAGGGTAGGGTAAGGTAGGGTAATATACGGTAATGAAGTGATATTTATAGTGCTAAAATCAACATTTCAGTTCAATGGTACCATCCGATCACAAAGATACCCAAAAATGCACGGTCGTGGCAGGTCTTGCTCATGTCCGTATGTCCAGTCGATTGTTACGTCGAATTGGAAACGACGTGATCAACGAACACATCTTTTCAATTGATTGTTTTGCTACTCTTTAGTTGTTACTTGTTGTACATAGTTGTTGTCTACTAACACTAAAATTGATTACTTACTTTATATTACTATAGATGTTGTAGTTATGATTGTAATTGTCTTTTTTGCAACTTTTGTTTGAAAAATGTCATGATATAGGGTCTAAAATGTCATTTTGAGTTGAAAATGTCATTTTAGGCTTAAAACCGTCATGTTAGGCTTAATAATGCCTTTTAGGCTTAAAACTGTCGTTTAGGCTTAAAACTGTCATTTAGGCTTAAAATGTTATTTTTAGGCTTAATTATGTCTTTTAGGCTTAAAACTGTCATTTAGGCTTAATAATGTCACTTTCGGCTTAAAATGTCATATTAGGCGTAATAATGTAACTTTAGGCTTAAAATGTCATTTTAGGCGTAACAATTTTATTTTAGGCTTATTAATGTATTTTTAGGCTGAAAATGTCATTTTAGGGTTAATATTGTCATTTTGTCACACTTCTTACGACATTTTTTACATACTTTTTTGATTGTACATATAATGTAAATATCAGGTTGTATCAGGAATACGACAATTTGTAAATAGTTGTATATATATATTCATAACTTATTAGACGTCTTTCAAATCCAAAGAATTTTATAACCTCAACATTATTATTATACATATATATTACCGACTTCTTTCAAACCTTTGGTATAATATTATTATTGGTTCAGTACTGCCTATACTATCAAATAGTCGACTACTATGTATAGCTCAATAAAAGTTTTTTTTAACAATTTTGTTATGTGTTCAGTATATCAGTGTGTTGTTTTTCAACGTTACTTTTGCTTTCGTGCTTGTTTTTGTTTTGTTTTTTTTTGTATTTTATTATATTTTTTAAGATTTTTATTGTGTTTGGGCTTCTTTTATACAGGGGTGAGAAAGGGGCTGGACCGGGCTCATTTTTGAGGTTTGGGGCTTACTTTCTAGGCTCGGAACGCAATTTTGAGGCCCGTGGCTCACTTTTGAGGTCCGGGGCTCAAGGTTGAAGCACGGCCCGTTCCTTCCCCACCCCCCTACTTTTTATTTTATGTTCTGGTAGAGTCGAGTATGGTAAACAGTGTAGTCTTAGGAAAAGTGGGCTGGGAAAATGATGAGTTGAAAGCCCGGCACTTTAGAACAGGGCATGGTTTTTTACAGTAAAGTTTTATGTTGTGGTATTTAGGTCACTATGCTAGAGTGGAGTAGGGTATGTGAATGAAAGCTACTGTAAATACAATCACTGCGGGCAGGGGCGTTGCTACGGATTTTCTCTGGGGGGGAAGGTCAAAATTTTTTAACCAGTGGACCAACTTTTTAAAAATTTATTTTTGATTTTTTGCGTTCAGGTATCTACCTTACTGCATGGTAGAAGAAGTTACTGTTTGCTGGAAAGTACTTCAGGATAGAATAGGGAATAGCCAACTAAAGTAGAGGAGGTCAAGATAAGATGTGGTAGCGTAGGGTAGGTCCGGAAGCTGTAAGGTATGGTAGGGCAGGGTAGGCTTGAGCAATGATGTGGGTTGGGCGGCGTAAAAGGCAGGGCAAAAATAGGGAGGGTTTGGTAAGTAGACATGAGAAACGGTCCAGGCTTGAGCAAAATTTCGAACCGACCGGGCCTGAAAAATGAGCCCGGCCCGTTTCTTATGTCTAATGGTAAGGGAGGGTAACGTTGGGTAGGGTAGGGTGGGGTGGGGTAGGGTAGGGTAGGGTAGGGTAGGGTAGGGTAGGGTAGGGTAGGGTAGGGTAGGGTAGGGTAGGGTAGGGTAGGGCAGGGCAGGGCAGGGCAGGGCAGGGCAGGGCAGGGCAGGGCAGGGCAGGGCAGGGTAGGGTAGGGTAAGGTAGGGTAGGGCAGGGTAGGGTAAGGCAGGGCAGGGTGTGGTAGAGTACTGTAAGAAACACTAATGTTTTTTGATGTCTATAATGATCATTATACAAACATTAAAAAACAAAAGTGTCTTCCCTCCGTCTAATTTTTTGTCGCTAAAAAGAGACGTCAGCCCTTTCCGACCACGTGACTTTGCCTCGAGACAAAAAAAGTTTTAAATTTATGGACTTTCGAGGAGTATATAGTAAACGAAATGAAACTTTTTAAGACTGATAAGATTTATGGTTTAAGAGATTTAAAAAAAGGTTTATTTTGAAATTGCACTTGTTGCCTGAACTAAAAATGATCTTTTATTCTGTATAAGCTAAGGTTTTTACGTTTTTTTAAGATGGGGGATAGGGGAGGGGGATTGGAAGAGTAGTAACTTTGTTTAAATTTGGGGTAGATAGGTCAATGAAATCTTTTTTGTTTGAAGTTAACTTTTATAAGCCTAAGATGTCAATTTTAAACATAAAGGGAGATTTATAAACTTAATATGACTTCTTACGCCTAAGATTACGTTTTGAAGCCAAAAGTTACTTTTCAAGCTTAAGGTGCCAGTTTTAAGCCTAAAATAACATTTTTAAGCCTAAGGTGACTTTTTAAGTTTAAGATGGTATTTTTAAGCCTAAGGTGACGTTTCTAAGCCTAAGCTGACATTTTTAAGATTAAGTGACATTTGTAAGCCTAAAATTAGATTTTTAAGCTTAAGATGACTTTTTAAGCCTAAAATGACATTTGTAAGCCTAAGATGACATTATTACCTTAAGATTACAATTTTAAGCTTAAAATGACATTCTTAGGCCTAAAAAACCTTTTAATTCTAAGATGACATTATTAAGCCTAATATGACATTTTTAAGCCTAAACTGACATTTTTAAGCTTAAACTGACATTGCCAAGACTAAAATAAGATTTTCAGCATTTGTAAGCCTAAGACGACAGTATTAAGCGTAAAATAACATTTTTAAGTCTAAAATAACATTTTTCACGTTTTAAGCTTAAAATGACATTGGTAAGCCTAAGGTAACTTTTTTAAGCATAAGTTGAAATTTGTAAGTTTAAGTTATTTTTTTAAGCTTAAAATGAACTTATAAGCCTAAAATTTTTTTAACTTGATGCTTTTTGTCCTAAAACTTTGTCACTATCACGAGGTATAATAAATTACCACGTTTCCTCTCCGAACATGTTGTAATCTACCTCATGGTGGTGGAATCACGTTTCCTTATTTGAGAGTGAAAAAGGTCGCGTGCCAGTCGATTTCTAACCGTGAGTAAGTGTCGATAGTGTTATATTGTTGGGAAATCAAGGAAGCGTGACCTGGAACGCGATTAAGTTTTGTCAACTTTGACTGGGTTTTTAATAGGCTTATGATGTGTTCGCGAGTTTAAAGGTTATGAAGGTTAATTTTGAAAATTTTTAATGTAAAAAAAAATTAAATTAGGCTTAAAGGGTAATTTGCAAGAAAATAATAAAGGAAATCGAGCAGGGCAGTTCAGGACTTAGGCTTACATTTTTGTGTTGATGTAGGCTTAATTTTAAGTTGAAGCTTAGGTTAAGTCTCGGGTTTAGATTGTGATTTACGTTTAGCCTTAGACTTCAGCTTAAGATTGTGCTTAGGCTTAAGCTTAGGATTGTACTTATTCTTAGACATGGTCTTTGGCTTAGGCTTAGCTTTCGCTTTAGTCTCAAAATTGGGTTTAGCTTTAGCCTTACTCTTAGGCTTAGTCTCAGGCGTAGGCTCAAGCTTAAGCTTACAAGGGAAGTGTCTCACCTCATTCCGGAGATATGAAACGGGACTAGGCTCATTTGAAAGCCTACTTGAATACAAATTTAACAAAAAAAAATTTAGCTGCCGAATAAGCCCCTAAGGCAAGTTATGACGGTTTAAAAATTTGCAGTGCTTTCCTTTGTTCGAGTTTGAAAACGATTGGGAGCGAGAAAGAAAACAAGGGGAACCAATGATTCGGTAGTTCAGTGGTTAGGTGTTGGGTTTAGGGGTGAAAGGAGAAGGGTTCGATCCCTGCCAATTCGTTTTGCTTTAACAGCTTCCAAAAAAAATTTTTTTGTTTTTTGTACTATATAGCATTGAATAGAGTAGTTTTAATCAGTTAAATACAAAAATTAAGCAATTTGACAAATTATTAAACTTTAAAATTTTTTGGAAGTTTTTCGAATATGTATATTGAGTAGACGCACCAATGGTGATTGGTTTGACATATTCAAGACTGATGACATTTATCACTTCCCTGATTATCAGCTGTCTTACAACGACGCCGAAGCTGTTAAATTTTCTGAAAGTAGGGAAAATAAAGTTACTTTTGCTGTTGGTTCCGTTATTCCAGGTGATAGGTTGCTCAATTTTTTTCCAGAACTTGAAAAATTTCCAAAAAATTTTAAAGTTTAATAATTTGTCAAATTGCTTTATTTTTGTATTCAAATGATTAAAACTAGTCTATTGACTGTTGTATAGTATAAGAAACAAAAAAAAATTTTTTAGAAGCTGTTAAAGCAAAACGAATTGGCAGGAATCGAACCCTTCTCTTTTCACCCCTAAACCCAACACCTAACCACTGAACTACCGAATCAATGGTTTTCCTTGTTTTCTTTCTCGCTCCCAATCGTTTTCAAACTCAAACAAAGGAAAGCACTGCAAATTTTTAAACCGTCATAACTTGCCTTAGGGGCTTATTCGGCAGCTAAATTTTTTTTTGTTAAATTTGTATTCAAGTAGGCTTTCAAATGAGCTTAGTCCCGTTTCATATCTCCGGAATGAGGTGAGACACTTCCCTTGTTAGGCATAAACTGTGACTTAAGATTAGGTCTAGGTTCAAATTTAGGCTTAACTTTAGAGTTTAACTTAAAATTAGGCTTAGGATTATGTTGATCTGTAGGTTTCAAGTAAAGATAGCTGGGTTTATTTAAGCTTACTAAGCCTAAGCCTACTAAACCTAAGCCTCCTAAGCCTACTAAACCTTAACCTACTAAGCCTAAGCCTACTAAGCTTAAGCCTACTAAGCCTAAGTTTACTAAGCATAAGCCTACTAAGCCTAAATTTACTAAGCCTAAGTTTACTACACCTACTAGTCTAAGCCTATGTTATTTTACTACATTTGGAATGTCACAACTTGTACGTTTTCCA